GTAACGTTCTCCCTTAGAACAATAATTTAAACAAGGTATAATTTTAATACCCTTAGTAAAGAACTATAAGGTTTAAAATAAATAATAATAAGAAGAAGCTTTAGGCATTTATGATTTTAATTTTAATTTTTCTATATAACCTAATATAGTGTTAGTATTATAGGTAATTAGGAAGTAGAATTAATAACTCCTTAACCTAGGAGCAACAACCTACTTATATAGGTCTTAAGGGTAAAACCTTTAGAGGGAAGACCTAATGTTATAACCTAACAAGTTATAGGCAATATTGCCTTACTAGACAAGATAACTAGTAGGTAGTATAGTATTTATATAGAACTAATAATAGATTAGACTAGGATAGCCCCTTAGACCTAGAAGAACTATAGTATAAGTTATATAATAATAAGGAACTAAGCAGGAGATAAAAGCTTAGTATAAGCGCTTAGGAGATTAATATATAAGCGCTTAGCCTACTTATTTATAAGCGCTTAGAAGGTATATAAGATAGCGCTTAGCAATAGGATTAGGACTTATATATAGGATAGACTTAAATATACCTAAGGACAGACTTTTATAGCTCTTTAGTAATTAACTTCTTGTAATATAATTTATTTAAATAACTTTTAGTATTTAACCTTAGTAATTTAATTAACAAAAGCTATATAAGCTATCTTTATGACTATTAACTACCTAACTAATTACTAAGTAATTAATAGACTAGTAAGCCTACACTACTGTTAACTAAGTATTAACCCTAGCTTATTCCTAGCAGAAACCCTACTGTCAGATTACTGACCGTAACACACCCTGTCTAGGATCTTTAATAAGTACACTACTATTAAGCCTTAGGAGGCTAAGCTCTAAGATCTACTTAATAACCTTTATTATAAAGCTAACACTATTAGCTTTATTATATTTAATAAGGCTACCTTTATTAAAGTTAAAAAGGATAAATATACTTATTATAGTGCTAACTATACTAATAGTAAGTGTTACTTTACTTATCCTAAGCTTATCCTTGCTAATTACCTTTACTATAAGGAACTTTACAAGAAGGCTTATTACTATTACTGCACTAATGCCTACTGCAAAGACAACTACCCTGCCTCTGTCTTTATTAGAGGTGCCTTTAGTGCTCTTAGAGGATCTTCTATTACTAGATAAGGCTATACAAATATAGATTTAAGGGGAGGATTTACATTATATATAATAGTAGTCTGGCTAGGCAGAGCTAAGGGGAGGTGTTGGTCTGGTCACGTGGCCACTGCTAGCCAGATATCCAGCCTCTTCACCTTGCCAGCCAGCAGTCCCTTTTTCCTAGCGACACATCACCAATATTAATGGATATTGTCTCGTTGCTTGCCGCCACCCACATCACCCACACCTTCTATTACCAAGTAAATGCTAGGATTGGCGCAAAACGGGTTCTCCCAAGACCATGAGACTGCTGCAGTGGTTTGTCCTAGCTTTCGAGGAATAGAAGCCACTGTATCTCGTCGCATCTTCCTCGTCGCGCCTTTCGCGCCTTCTTCACAGGCCCTCCCTATAGAGTCCGGGTGTGTTCCGCGCGAAGTGCTTTAGGAGCAATATCTGGCAGCTACTCTTGATCCTGAGATCAGACAACACCAAGAGTAACTTAAAGCATCGCCCCTATAGACTCAACTACCAAGGAGATATGTAGGGCAGGTCAGCTAATACTACAGTCTAACAGAGTTTAACTAGCGCCTCTTCAGCCTATGGATACACCAGTTAGGAAAGAATTCTACCTAAGATGACAGCAACACTTGCCCAGTATAGCAGGCTGGCTGAGTTAAGGCTCCAGTCCAAGGTCTATAGGAACAACCTAGGACAAGACTCCAGGACATAAGAAACCCGTCCTTCTAAGCACTCGGTACTCTCAAATTGTAGCCGGCCAATCAGCAGGCATAGAAGTAGGTTAGCGCAATAGCCTGTCTCTACGTCCTTACGCCATACTTCTACCTCCACTAGCCTAAACCAAACGATCTCCTGTATGTTCTATATGTGACCTTACTTTGCAAGCTAACAGACCTGATTCTTCTACATCACAAGTCAATAGCCTAGGTTGCATTTCTACTTGCTACAGACTACCTCTTCAAAGCAGCCACAGCAATTAAAGGACTCAAGATACTACACTACAACTAGCCTCTGGATCATTACGCTATTCCAAAGGGCTAACAGAGAATCACCTGCAGGCACCCCAGCCCAAATGTGCTAGGCTTTGGTCTCAAAATCTACCAGCTCAACAGGGCTCTTTTGGCTTCATGCTCCCTCCTACATTTCCTATTCTAGTCATATCGCTTTGAGAAGTTGTCATATCCAGAGACGGCCATTTCACACATTCACCAGGTATATCAGACTTTTGGTTTCGTGGGAGCCATCACTCACACACGTGATCCAGTCCGACTCCGCCAGAGCAGTTCTCCCTCTTCGAACTCAGCCATCGGGCTTTGTGGGTCGGTTCTTGCAGTTGCAGCGAGATCGACTAACAGATCGATCGCCATCCTTTGCTTAAACTCCAACATATGATTCATACCAGCCATGCTAAAGAACCCAAAATTTGATATGACAGGCTGGGCTGGTGCAATCACTAGTAAATATAAGCGGACTCAACAATGGCATGTGATCCCCTGCGCGTAGATTGCGCGACTGCCCATTCTCGATGACCTTCCGCCTTGTGTTCCGGCCAATTGCGTGTTCCCTGGAAGCATCAAACGCCTCCTGCTCTTGGTTGTTCGAGTGTGACGATGCGAAAATCGATACAGAGATATAAGTTGTGTGCTTCTCTCCCAAGACCAGCTGGTAAGTGTTCAATAAGATGTTTCATTCTCAGGTGAAGAGACTATGTATTTTATTATATAGAAGCAAAATATTATATAGCTACTAGCTACCAAGGTGGATAGTAAGTAGGAGTACGAAAAAGAGCTATTGTGGCATAGCTTGGCTCTACATATTCCAGGCTCCGGCATGCGGCCTCTGCAGTAATCAGTACTGCGACCGTGACATAAGTAGAGCACGAAAGAACAATTATATACGTTTGCCGTCGCAGGAACACACCAGACATCATCTCAGTCGCAAGCCAAGGGTTAGTTGTCGTTCAAAATAGCGTCTGCGATCTTCTCCGCGAACATGTCCACGCAAAGTGTGTCAGCCCGAATCCGCCAAACAATTAGAATAGATGCAAAGAGATTGCCTCAACGTACAAGTCGTGGCCATAGGGTAGCCGGGCGGCAGGATAGCGAAGGCACTGGCATCGCCCACGCGGAGCCCCTTGACGCCGCGGACTCTGCCTCGAGTGTCGACGACGGCCGTCTCGTCATCGTCGGCTTCCATCCTGTTCGTGCAGGCGCCGTGGTACGTGAGACTCATGCTGCTCCTGATCCAGTCGACAATCTCCTCCTTCGTCTGGACCTCCGGGCCGGGGCTCCAGGCCGACTCGACGATGGTGCTGTTCAGGGCGACCTCGCGGATGCGCGTAAAGGCGGCGACGGCCATCTCGAGGTCTCGCTCGTCGCCCAGCCAGTTGGGGTTGATGACGGGGGCGTCCAGAGTGTCGGCGCTCTTGATGGTCATGTTGCCACGGGCCGCGGTCGAGTAGAGCGTCGAGCCGATGAGGAGGTAGTACTCGTCTGGACCAATGTCCGAGGGCACAGCGGAGCTCTCCAGGCCGAGGAAGTTGAGGTCAGGCCAGTCGGAGGGGTAGCTGTCCAGGAGGTTCCGGGTGGCGTTGCTGAGGAAGCGGTTGCGGACGTTGGGGGGGAACTTCTCGTAACCTGCAGGTTGTCAGCCATACGATGGCCAAGAGTCTGAACCTCGAGGAGCGTCATCGAGAGTGCCGTCTTCACGACTTACCAACAGCCTGGGTGGCGCCAATGGAAGAAAGAGGACCGGACTGGCTGGTCAGGTAGTCATCGGCTACTTTTGCGAGGACCTCAGGGTTATGGGCAACGATCTGCGAGTTGGTCTCGACATTGACCTTGAAGATGTGTGCCTGGAAAGGTTGGTCCTTCACAGCAAGTCAACACAGATCGCTCTCATTGATCGTTCGATGCCCACATGACTCACCCATTGGTTTTGCCCAACACCAGGAACGTCCGCCACAACGTCGATACCGTGCTGAGAGAGAGTTTCGGAGGGACCGACGCCAGAAACCATGAGAAGTTGAGGTGAGCGCCACTGATCCAAGTTCTGTCAGACAAGTTCATCGAGACCCGGGAACAAAACACTCACAACACCAGCGGTGAGGATAACCTCCTTCTTTGCCGAAAGAACCCACTGTACGGTATGAATCTTGGAGTTGCCCTCGACCACCACGCCTGTGGCCTTCTTGTCTCCGTCAAACAGGATGCGCTTGGCCATGGCATTGGGGTAGATCTTGAGACCGGCCTTCTTGGCTCCGGCCTGCAAGAAGGACGTCTCGGACGAACTGCGGGTCGCCGTTATACGGTCGACAGCCGAGGTGATGGCGCCGTATCCGAGTAACTTGCCACTGTTGAAACCGGGGATGTGCTCGAGGCCCTGAGCCTCCATCGACTCGCCAAGGCCGACCATGGAGGGGTGCACATAGTTGCCGTAGGACACCTGCAGCGGACCGCCCGCGTCATCGAAGGCTGCCGGATCGTAGCTGATGTTCAGCTTGGGGTTAATCTTGGTGTAGTCCGGCGGCGTGAAGTCGCAGCTCTTCTTGTAGAAGGGGAACACGTTATCCCAGGACCAGTAATCGTCCTTGACATCCTCGGCCCAGAGATCGTGCGCGCCGGCGGTGGATCTCGAGTACCCGCCGTAGTTGGCAGCAGAGCTATGTGATGGCTAGTTTAGATGATGATGGCCCCATGGAATGTATCAAATCTCAGAAGGGGGGAGGTGATAACTTACGCGCCGCCAAATGTAACGCCCTGGACATAGCCGATCTTTCTCCCATTGCAACCCTATAAAAGGCGAGAGTGAGCTCAATATGCAAGTGAAACAACGATACCAGCCAGAAGGGAAGTCACTCACAGCGATAGGCTCCGTGTTGATCTGGATGGCGGCCAAGGAGTTCAGGGTTCCCACGTTGGTCGGGTTCGCCGCCTCAAAGTTGTAACCGGGAATCTGGGTCCTGTTGCTGGTGACGATCTCGTAGAAAGTGCCGGCCTCGATCAGAGCAACGGGGTAGTTTGCTGGATCTAAAGCCAGGCGAGCAGCGAGAGCGTTGCCAGCGGTGCCGCCACCCACGACGACGTAGTCGTACGTCGCATTGGTTCCGGGCATGCCAAAGGAGTTACCAAAGATCTCGGTCACTTCCGCATCGTTGATCTTTGCCCCTATGGTCTCGGACGCAGCGGCGGCCGCGAACACGGTCAAGGCCGCGATATAATGGTAGGGCGGCATGGTCGTGCAGGCTGCAGAGGCGGAGACGATTCAGGGGAGAGTGCAGGAACTTGAAAAGAGCAGCGAATGAATGACCGACAAGTCTTGGAAATACTGCAGAGAACGAATGTGATTGCTGCCTCTCTGGAATTTCTGCAGCTCATGCAGATGGAACTCCATTTGATCTCCGCTGCGATGCCGTTGGTCTGGTTTTGTACCGTCTTCGGTCGAGTTGCCCGAAGCCCGGACAACAAGCCCGGTGGCCGGCCCGCAGATCTCGGTGGCGGTCCACTTTTCGCAGAACTATTGTCTTTACGTTTTACTATTTCATGGGACTGTAATTTCCTCGTCCGGCAAGGGGGGCCTGGCAGCTCTTCACGAAGAACAGGCAGCACGCCTCGAAGTATGGATCCGGCACGCCATCAGGACCGCCACCACAGAAACGGGGCGGCGTTGACCCCTGCCGTCAGGCTCGTCTTGTACTCTCTCAGTATCGCAGGCGGAATGCAGCTTTGGGGCCGGAGCCTTGTCGACGGGACTTTGGTCAAACTCTTGTCGGCTGTGCATGGGCCGGACCCGTATCAGCTCCCAGGCACGCAGACGCAGCTGAAGTCCAGCTTCACGGGCGTCTTCGCCATCGACTACCTGCTCCGCATCTTGGTTGTGTTCTTCTGGGAAGTTGCCGACGGCTCCCATCCCGCTTCCTCGGCCATCGGCCTGTACTTCCTTGGCCAGTACTTCTCAGTCTTGTTGGTGTTTTACTTGGAGGACTCTCGACACGGGGCGAGGCCAAGCTACGTTAGGTCAGTCTGTTTACTCTGCATCACTCTTTGAAGTCTGACGGATTAGAGCGTCATCATCATAACTCGGGAACAACGCTGACATCCAATCCCACAACTCAGGCCGACTCTCTGGCTTCTCCTGTTCCAAGCCACCGGCATCGGGTGTGCCGGACCGCTATGGGTCCTTTCTCACCTGGGAGCTTCCAACGGCGGCTCGGTTGGCCGCATGTCTTCCTTGAAAGATTCCCTGGAGCGAGCAGCACCTTTATCGTCCCCACATGTCCCCTTCCTCATCCTTGCAGCCCTCGTCATGGGCTATGCCGCTCCCGCATCCCTGATGCTGCTGCCTTCTCCTCGCGTCCTGTCCGCCGACTCCAAGCAATTCGCGCTGGTTCTATGGAACATCTTTCCCATATGGGTGCTAGCTGCGTTGCTTGGGCTCCGTAGTGTCCTTCCCTTGGCCCGGAGCTCGCAGCAGCAGCCCGCTGGTTCCTTCAAGGATGCCGCGGCCGTAACCCAGCTACGAACGAACCGCCGTTACATAGCGAACATGGCCCTGGTCTATGCCCCCGCGCTCATCGTAAGCGTGTACTCACACATCGCGGTCTTGGCAGCCACGGTATCCACGCGCCTGTTCCCCGCCCTCTTTCGCCCGGAGCACCTGGCCAGCCTGACGCCCTGGGAAGTGTTCGTGCCGCCGCTGTCCGTGGTCGCTGGGCAAACGGTCGGTGATGGCACTCGAAGCTTCATGCTGTGGGATCAGGTCTTCGGGTACGGAACAGTTGGCATTGTCATGCTATTGCGACTTCGCAGTGCGGCTGACGCGGTTGGGAGGCCGTTGGGTTCGGTCAAGATGGTTACCGGGATATTGCTCGCCTCGCTTGTTGCGGGACCAGGCAGCGCTTGCTTACTGGCCTGCTGGGTCAGCGAATTGCTTCTTCTACTCGGTTGACGACGATTCCTGTGTGTTGGTACACAGCTTCGAGTCGCTGGCCAGGCAGAAGCCAAGCCCCGGTGGAGCTTTCGATAACACCACTCGTGCATGAAGACCCTGTCAATGGCTGCGATCTTCTCTCGTGTACAGATTATTCTAGGTTACAATGCTAGACCTTTATTGGAGTCAAGGAAAAACTTCTATTGTCTCTTTGCAGTATCTTGTAGACATTATATACGTCGCGTGGTTATAGAAAAGCGATGTATTTGATAACGCGGATCGATGCGAACGACGTGTTACCTTTGAGCCTGATGTGTACATGAGCAACACTATAATTACTATCACGTGAACTGCTTATATAGTCTGGAACGTTCACCTGTCCCTTTAGTGCGGGTGAGGGGTTGAAGGGGTCAGTATGGAAAATCAATGCTTAATTTACAAATCGTACCTGTCGCTCGTCATTGACCTATTGAATCTGACAGCAGTTTTGGTCTCCTTACTATCTGAGGTTTGGTCCCAATGACTGTGGCGGAAACCAGCAGACGTTGTTTTTGTATGCATGTAGCTACCTACGTAACTGCAACTACAACAATACTAAAGTACTGACGTATCGAATGCGACAAGGCCTGCAACCTAGTACTGGAACTCCTGTCCGACGAGCTTCTCACTCAACTTCCATAACCTTTCAGCCTCAACAGGGCTGGTGCCCCACGGCTTCACAGTTTCGACCCAGGGATCGGCGATGTGCGAGTTCTCCAGGTAGACACCGTTGTTATCTGCGAAAGTGAGTTAACCAATGGTCGTGCCAAACAGGAAGCATTAACAGTAATTAAGGGGTGCTGTGAAATGACCGGCACTGGCGCCAATATACCCTTCAAAGACGGCTCGAAAGCGGCGTACACATGAGTAGCAGTGCCCTCGTCCGGTGTCTTCCACTTGAAATCGGCCCAGCCCTCCTTGTTTCCAAGAGAGCGGTCGACGGCCGCTGCCATGTCACTCAAGGTCAGCCACATATTCTTCGGATGGCACGGTTTAAGTTCCTAGTCCACTTACTGAGACCGGCAAAGTCGTTTCCCCATTCAATATGATTTCCAAGGTTCGTGCCAATGACGCCGGGGTGCAGACTAAAGGAGAGAAGGCCACGCTTTCCAAGCTTCTCAGCAAGGGAGAGGGAAAACAACATGTTGGCAGTCTTAGACTGGCCGTACGCGATCCACTTGTTGTACGTCTCTGAACCCTAGGATTATCATTAGAACACAGTTCATTCGGAAGGAGGGGGAAAGACATGATCACTATCTTACCCTAAAGTTGTAGTCGTCCCAGCGGACATGACCGAGACGATGGCCATCACTGCTAACGTTAACAATGCGAGGCGCGCTTGAGGCGAGGACCTTGTCGATGATGAGGTTGGTGAAGAGGAAGTGAGCGAGATGGTTAGTGGCAAAATGGCTCTCGTAGCCGTCGGGCGTCAGCTTATAGTCAACGGCCATAATACCGGCGTTGTTGACAAGCACGTCGATGATAGGCAAGTCTTCCCACGACAAGACAGTCTCGGCAGCCTTTTGGACGGCGGCCAGAGAGCCGAGGTCTAACTCGAGAACCTTGGTCTTGACATCGGGATTCGCGGCCTTGATTTTCTCTGCAGTCTTCTCCGCCTTGGCTAGGCTGCGTGCTGCCAGGATCAGAAGAGAGGGCGAGGCTTTGGCGATGGCCTCGACGAAATTGGCGCCCAGGCCGCCGGGTGAGACGCCGGTAGTCAGGACGGCCTTGCCCTTGATTTCAGAGGCCAGGTCGTTGACGAGGCCGCTGGCGGTGGCTTTCGCGTCGTACTGTGAAGGCATCTTGGTCTGCTCTGGTCTTTTTTATGATGTGATGGCAGTTAGTGTCTAGCTGAACGGCACACGCATGCGATGGAATTGTAGGGCTGGGCTGGTTAATCAGCAGGGGGAATGCGATTGATATATCAAGCATGCGAACTGGTTGGGAATCATACATGCGATGATGCAAATCGGAGATAAGAGGGACCGGCTGGTCGGCGTTATTCCAGCGGTTTGTTGGTTGAGAAGGAGCGGTGCACCTGTAGCCAATCGGGGCAGACCTCCGGGAAAGGCGGGGCACGGCATCCCGGCCCAGCCGGCGGACTAGCCCGAGATAGCTCTAGCTCCCGAAGTGAGACAGCACACTACCTTAGTTTGGATGCTAATGCAAGCATGTGGCGGGAACGATCTGCCTTGTTTCTTCGAAGACAGAACATTGTTTGTCTTGCATCTACTGGCTGCTTCTGTCTGTTTTTCTGGGCCGAGGACCAACATGGATACACGAGCTGTGCCTGATGCACCGTGATGACGCTTGTGGCATGGAGCTCGCTCATTGGAGCGCTGAAATTTCTTCCTAGCTGAACGAGTTGCATAGACCATCCCTGGCTCAGTCCTTCCGTTCGTTTCGTCCCTGAGTGCTGCTTAGTCTATCGTACACATGCAGAGCAGGCTCGGAAGAGAGCTCCAGGACCGTTCGTTCAGTCCATGACGGTAGCCGCAACAACCAGCGACTGTCTCGTCTCCACCGTCAAGCCCTTCTCGTGCACCCTGATGCGGCCGTTGCTGACGAAGACGCTGTTCTCCAACTTCTTGAGGGCCGGGTCGGCCACGAGGAACTGGTGCTGCCCAGCTAATGGATCAGACAAAACGCTTGTCAGCTTCAACAGCAAAAGAAGGTGACGTCGCACATGCTGAACCGAGCCTAATAGGGTCCATGCACGAAAAAACTACAGTACAGGTGTTGGTGGGACTCACTGGCAAATCCAAAAGGCACCGTGGCCGCGTCCGGGTGCATCTCGAAGATCTTCTTGACTTCTGGAGCCATCTCGATAATCCCAGGAGCTAATGTTCTCCAGTACACCATTGGTGAGCGCTAGGACTAACAAAAATGTAATCTCATTGTAGAGGAGAGTTATGTCACCTTCACCAGAGACGCCAAACCTTTCTCAATTAGTGTTCCACTCTTGATTGTCTAGTCCAGCTAGGATGAGACTTACACGACATTCTTGGGATCTCCGTTATTTTTGACCCATTTTTAATCAAGCCAGTACACTAGCTTAATTTCTCTGTTGTCAAGTTATTTAATATCAACTTAGACCTCCTTACTACACAGTTAAAAGAGCCTTTAAATTAACACTAGTGTAGGAAACTTACCTAATAGTAGAGCTTACTAGTAAAGAATACACTAAGTCAGGCTCTTAACTATCAGAACGTTAGGATAATGTATACAACTTAAATTTAAGTCCTTTTATATATATACTTAAGGTCTATGCAGGTTAACAAGCCTCTTATGGTATAATCAAGTTCTATCTTTGTGAAATTAAACTTCAGGATGTGCACATTCTTAATCAAGCGTTCTTCTTCGCAAATCACTCTCTTTAGCCACTATAATTTTAGCCCTAAGAATCCTAGACATGTCTATTACGCCTTACTATGTAAACTTTAGACCTATCATCTTTAGAGACCTCTATATTAGTGTATTTCTTAAAGCCCACAAAGAACTGTTCTACTACACTCTTTATTATGTCAAGGGAGGAACACCTGTTCTTAGTTATTTAACCTTTGGCCTAGTAGATATAGTATTAGAAGAAATCTTTGATTTCTTAAAGAGGTGGGAACAGGCGTTGCTTTCTTAACAACATGTCCTAGATGTTAGTTTTGTAGTGGCCTCTAGTTCTCTTGTTAAAAGTAGTCCACCACCTTCTAAATCGTAAGCTATAAAATAGAATACTGCAGAATTAGTGCATCACTTACAAGATATAGTTGCTCAGGACACAATTGTAATAGATTTTAACTCTCTTCACGTATTTATTTAGACCCTGTTGTAAGTCTTTAAATACGTGCTAGGAGTGTTAATAGCCACTTTGCATAGCACAATTAATAGCAATAGATTTCTTTGATAGATTAATAAGAGGCATTTTAAAATTTTAGTAAAAAAAAGTAGGTAGAAACAGAATATAGAGTAGTAAACCTGCTATTAAATTAAGAAATTAACAGGCAAGTATTAGTAAGAATAAAAAACTGAAATATGGAGGATTACCTTATTCATATCTTGTAAAGTCTCTTAGTAGAATCCTCGATCTCTACACCACCGACAATTTCAGCTTTGCTCACCTTGCTTTCTTGTGCCTCACCCTAAGCGGGCACTTTTCACCCTGGCTCACCCTCGCTCACCCAGTGCCTCGCCCTTAAAGCAGCGTCACTGGGTGAGCCTCAAGAAAGCTTTGAACACAGGATCCATGGAATAAATAGTGCCATTTCTTTTCTTGTGGGTGCGAGTTTTCTTGATAACATGAGACAGGCTGCAATTGTCATGGCCCGGTCATCCGCCTCCTTCCAACTCACATGTTTGAGTAGATGCTCAGTTGTCGATGGAACCAGCCCGGTTGATCCAATGAGTTGTTTTCTCACCTTCCTTGGCAAGCCTATTTCTTGCCCAAAACTTTTATGACTCCAAATCAAAGATTCAAAATTCCTGATCACATAAACTCACTACCTTCCACCTCCATCACCACCAACATCCAAAGCTGGGGCCTTTGTCGTTCCCTTCATCTTCCTTTACCAGCCCCTGACGGCTTACACTGCTTACTGAAACAGAGGGTCAAGAGAAAAAAGAAAGATGGACCAGAATCAGGACAACGAGGGTCAGAATAATGGCAACAATGGCGGCATCAACGGCGGCAATGTTGGCGGCAACAAGGTCGCCAAAAAGAAAAAGAGAAGCAGGAAAGGCCGGGATTGCTGTAATTGCAGAAAGGGTTACTATGTTGCTGCTGGTGCTTTGACAGAGGGCATCGAGGAGGCGATTACAAGCTGCCCTCCCAACAACCAGGCCTTACTGGGTCAACTTCGGATTCTCCAGAGAATCAACACTCTTCGCCCCGATGGCGGCGACCTCACGAGAAGAACCCAGGCCGCGATCCTCAATGATCTTACTGAAGTCCACGAGCCCATGCCGAGCGACGAAGCCATCATCAGTCTCGGAGACCGCTGCCACAACCATCTGTGGTACTCGGCCTTGATCCGTCGCAACATGGTCATCCCCGCCGAGTGGCAAAGAAAGCCGCACATTGTGGTACGTCTCAGGAAGCTCAGAGCTGTGTGGGATGCGGTGAAGAACACGCCCAACCTGCGGAAGCGCTCGGCCGGAACCCAAGTGGCAGCCAATCAGTCGACTGTCAACCAGCCGGCTGGAGACGAGGATGGGGAGGATGAGGAGGATGAGGATGATGAGGATGATGAGAACGACCTGGATGAAGGTCTCCAGCAGCCTCAAAACCAGAGCACTTATCCTACCACAGTTCCGTGTGTGAACCGGCCCCAGAGCATGGCCATGAACGCACTCGCAGGATATGCCATCAACGGCATGGGACAGGTATTATGATGCGCTTGCATGTCTTTGAGAAAATTTCTGACGTCTTATTCCAGGGCTATGGGCAGATGCACCCTGACATCGCCTACGGTTACCAAGACCAGACAATCTTTAGTAGCAATCCGACTACTCAGATTGGGAACGTGGGTTTGCAAGACCCTGTTCGCCACGGTCATTCCGACGGTCTCGGTCAGAACGGTCTGAATCGCCAGATGCAACCGCTCAACCAGCAACTTCGCGCGCGTGGCCCTGACTATCTGCCTCAGCAGTTCACGAACCCGAATTTCTTGTCCAACAACTATGGCTCGTTCAACAACTTCGCTCTCGGCCAAAGCCAGCTCCCTGGCTCCCGCAACGCTGCCTACAGAGGTTTCGACGGAGCTTCATTGGGTCCTGCTGGCGGAATCCCCTCTGGAGCATATGCTAGCTACGCCTTCCAGCACGCCATGCCTGACATGAACAACGCAAACCATCCGTTGGATTTGGTGGACTCCAATTACATGGGACCCATGCTCCATGGCAACTTTCCACGCTGGCGTTCTCCCTTCAGTCATTCGAACCAGACTTCATTCCAAACTCGGCCCGATGCCCTCGGTTACATTGGCGACTCCACGCACGTTAGTCATGGCGTCGTTGGCGAAACTGTTTGGAACCGGGTCGTTGCCAGCGCTTTTGGTTCCCAGCTGAATACGGAGCCGGCTGCCCTTTCGGGAAACGGAATGACCAACGCAGCCGACATGGAGACCGGCTCAGGCGGTAACTCGGAATCTTCTACCGATGGTACCGACGACGATGCAAATACTGCGGATGCACCAGCTCCTTCTGGTTGCGATGGATCCCAAGATGATGAATCCTATGATGATCCGAGTGCTGACATTTCCGAGAGCGAGGAGGAATTTTGAAGTGCGCTGGGAATCGTTGGATGGATTGGCTACGACGGTGATGATTGCGGTCCAATCATCGCGAGACAACGGCACTGTGGCTTGGATTGAGAGGATGAGGTCTTCTCGTTAACCACCTCCAGGCTTCATCCTGCCCCCATTGTCTTCCGCAAAACATGCGGTATTCTCTCGACTGGTTTTTGTTTTGGGCTGCTTTTTTTCTGCTTCGGCTTCCCTAATAATCCTTCCACCATTCATGTTACTTTAGGCTTTTATCCTAGCTCCGTATGCAGAGCAATAAGATTCTCGGTAAGAACGCACGCCGCAGCGTGTGACAGACTCGGTTGATTCACTCTAACGCCTCAGGAAAGCTACTCGATCAACTGCAAATAGGGACCGTCGAAGGCTTAGACACGGGGTTGGATGGGTTGGTTTGCCAACACCCCACGACGGCACTTAGGATGGTGTCATCGACAGCAGCCTTGTATGCGGCGCCGCAGTTGGGGTCACTGCATTCGGAGTCAACATTATTTGCGTCGTTCAAAATTAAGGACGCAGGCCCCATAACAGGAGATCTGATACTTACTCAGCACCACCAGTTGCGTTGTTGAAGTAGGAGCAGATGTCGTGAGAGAAGCAGTCTTGAGTGTAATCGTTGCCCAGAGCACTCCCGGTACAGCCAGCACCACATCGACCATTGCACGAATAACTGGAGCCATGACTCGTATCAGCACACGAACCCGCGATGGAGAGATGGAACGGCTCACTCTCCCGATCCCGCGCCATTGGCGCCGTAGTTGCTCCCTACCACGCCCTCAAAGGTGCATGTCTGTCCGGCGCTATTCGTCCATTTGGCTGTTGCGGTCGCTCCAACTTCTAGACACTTAATGCCTCTCTTTTCGAGCTCGAGAGGGAGAGCGGACGGTGCAGCCAGGGCTGCAAGAGGGCAAAGCGCCAGTAGAAACGAGACCAAAGGCAGCATGATGAAATTCTAGAGAATGATTATTATAACTGCCAAGACGCGCTGAGAGTTAGGAGCTGGTGACGGATGCTGACTTCATTTGGAGAGAGATTATTTTGCGACATTATATATATTTATTTGTCTGAGTCAGGTACACAAGCGATGCTCAGTTACACGGAGTTCACGACGAGAACCCTAGCTCGCCGATCCACATGGCAATAGACCCTTATCCTGGATTGGCTGTGTTGGGCAGCTGCATCGTGCTCTGATCCACGCCTAGATTAATCTTCAACCACCTGACAGACCCAGGCGGGTAGTTCGTCAAATGAAATGCGGGGTCAACGCAATGGCGCAATAAGTTGTCATCGGTAATGCACCAGTGGGTAATGCCGTTGAAGGTTCCGGAATCTTTTACGGAGAAACATGCCAGGACTGGTAGCGACGGACGATGATCTCCCGCTCTGCCTGGGACTTGACGAGCTACAAGTGTTACTTGAGTGTCGGGGGAAAGTTTGTCTGGTTAGATATGGCCTACGAACAAGACTTGAGTTGGTTTAAATAAGCGGTATTGTACTTCTCCTGCGCTCGACCACGCCCCGAGTCATTCGGCAGTACCGCCGTGAGCCCGGTTCTTAAGCCGACGACAAGTTCCACAGAAAACATGGACTACGAATCAATGGCTACGTGACATTGGTGAACGGGTGAGCAAGTCCATGAAGGGTACGCCCGGCTGATGTCAACCCCCTCTGCCCCGAACATCGGTCTCCCGGCCTCAGCCACCTCTGGCTGCTCTTGCCCGTGTGCCGTCTCATCTCCTCGAGAAGCAAGTTCCATCAGCAGACATCCCGCTTCGATCTCGCGAACGATATCGTCGGCCGACGCCCCGGATCGGATCCTCTTGAGAACCTGGTACGCTTGGCCCTCGGGCATGGATCGCATAACGGCGTAGAACCTCTCCAACGAGTCGTTGCGACTGGCGATTTCGTCGTATTTTCTCTTCAGCGACGCAACGCGCGACTCGGATGGGTCGGAATTGTACCGGCACTCGAGACCCTTCGCCATGCAACCGGAGCATTTGGGTTGACCGGCGGAGCACTGGCACCAAGGTGTGTCAGCCCAAGGCAGTCCGGGCAGTTGCTACGAAGACGGGAGCTCCAGTGAAGCGACGCACCTTGATCTTCCGCTTCCTGCAGCTTTCGCATGCTACCGACACATTACGTCTTTTCTGTTCCGGGCTCGAAGATGGCTGGCGTAGGGGCGGCCCAGGCGCGACGTCGTCGTCGTCGTCGAGTGACCTCTTTCGGGTTGTGTCGGGACAGGAGGCTGTTACATGGCTATGGCCAGACTCCAATGCGGGACGAATTTCCCGGTAACAGCGACGTTTGGTCGCTGGCGTTTTGTAAGAGACGAATATAGGGCTCATCATCTACTGATAATTATGGGAAGACTGCATAACTGTGAGCATCCATCATGTGCTCCGAGAACAGCGAGCGAGATGGTAAAGACAAAGCGACAATCGCATTTTCCCATGGTAGGCTTTTATTCGTCACAGAAACGTAATGTAATTAACTACATATGCGGGTCCAAGCACCACCGGAATGACGTCCGTCTTAACCATGCTGTTGCGAGGCGATTGATTAATTGGCGTACGAAGTTCGGTTAAACGGCTCAGACTCCGGACCCAAAGCTCCGGTGGGAACATGGACCAACTAGGGTGCATCACATGACCAAAAGCCAACATCACGTGGCTCTGGGCCAGACTTACCGTCAGCTTGTTCGGTGGAGGAAGTCAGGCGTTGAAATGGTAAATCTACACCTACAAATGTACCAATACAAGACAACGCCAAGTGTGGTGTCTTTTGAGTCTTTCGTTTACTCACTTCGCCTTAGACCCCATGTCTACTCCAGACGAACCAATGCCGCCCGTCCATGTACACCTTGTCCGAATCAATCTCGCTGGCAATTGACCCATGAGAACATCAGGATCAGGATCGGGTGGACCAACGTTGGCTGCCGGCAAAATACCAAAAAGTACTGTACACCGGCAATTTACCCACTAATGCCCCCTTTGGGTTGGTCGCGTTATGGCTTTCCCTACGGTTCATCTCATGTCTGCACGTTCGAACGCAGCCCAACCCAGTCTTGGCGCCTTCACACTGTTAGGTTGACCCAGCCAGTGAAATCAAGCCGAAGGCCTGCGGTTCAAGCAAGATGGTCTAGCAGTTGACGGCCAAATGGAACCAACTTACTTTGTGGCTAGGCACCATTCATCAAGCCCTCCCTCTCTCTTTACGCTTTCCCGTTGATATCAACCACAAACGGACGTCCATCTGACCCCGAAGCGGCACAACCTCCAGACTGCTGCGGGTTTGAGAATGCGACGCTGTTCAAGCTAAAACCCCGCACACTCACACTGTAAAACTTGACAAGTTCACCTGCATCAAGTCATGGATGGCCCTAGCTCATCCCCTCGAGCTTGATTGAGCTAGACTGGGGTTGTTTTACGGTTGTCGCCGGAGCTTCCCCCGCACCGCCACATGTCACCGGCAATGATTTCTCCAGGTTGATTTGTTTGGCTCAAATCGTTTCTTTGCCCAGGGCCGGCCTTGGCAGCTTATTTCGCCCAGCCACCCCACCCAAGTTTGCCCTCCTCGCATTCAAAGAGCTCGCGCCCTGGGGAGTTCGTTGAGCTCCCCAAGCCCGGCCACAACCTGGGAGGGTCTTGGCCTTGCGTAATTTCTAACGACTCTCAATGGCTCGGCTTAAGATAGATTCGCCCCTCGGGACAACGCCAGCCGGCCTATATCGGCCGCGAGCCCTTCGTGAAGTCACGAAGCGGGATAAAAGGGCCAGTGTTGCATCACAGATTTCGTAGCGGTGGAAGGAGGGAGGTGTGATCCTCGGCTCGCCCTCTCACTGAGCCTCAACTCTCATCATGACGCTCGCAAAGCTCTTCTCGTTCGGCCTCCTGTTCGCATCCCTGGCCGCCTCCAAGTGGATCGTCCCCGGAGGCAGGTGGCATGACACCGAGGGCAATCTCGTGAACGCCCACGCCGGCGGCATCACCCTTGATAAGGACACGGGTAAGTTCTTCTGGTTTGGCGAGTACAAGGTCGAGGGCCAGGAGGAAGGCGGCGGCGTATCCGTCTACAGCTCTGACGACCTGGCGACCTGGGAGTACCACGGCAAGGCTCTCGAGCCTGTCCAAGGCCACCCGTACATCTCGAACGACATGATCATTCAGCGTCCCAAGGTCGTCTTTAGTGAGCCGACCGGCGAGTACCACGTATGTTGAGCCCCCCCTGACGCAACCCCTTGACCATTCAGCCTCGGGACGCTCGCTGACCGACTCCCCGCAGATGTGGTGGCACGCCGACAACTCAACGTACGGCCTTCTCCTCCAGGGCCTCGCCACGTCGCCCAACATCTCAGGCCCCTATACCTTTGTCGACGCTATCGCGCCACTCGGCAACTGGTCCCAGGACTTCGGAATCTTCACCGACTACAAGGACGGCCGCTCTTACGCACTCTATTCCAACGGCGACCGCGTCGAGGGGCGCGACGTCTATGTCACGTCCTTCAACGACGACCTTACCAACGTCACCGAGGTCGTCCACCGCTTCGACAAGTACGACCTCGAGGCCCCGACCATCATTCAGACCGACAAGAGCTACTACGCCCTCATGTCCCACAAGACGGGCTACCGCCCCAACAACGTTGTCGCCTTCCGCGCCGACTCCCTCGCCGGTCCCTGGTCCCAGCCCTTCATGGTCGCCGACCCCTACAGCCGCACCTACAGCTCCCAATCCGGCTTCTCCCTCAAGATCGACGGATCCGAAACGACGACCTACCTCTACCTCGGCGACCAATGGGACTCCAATTCCCTCTGGGAGAGCCGGTACATCTGGCTGCCCATCGCCGTTGATGATGATAAGAAATCCCTACACGTCGAGTGGCATGACGTTTACGACCTCGACATCGGGACTGGCGTCGTCACCCCGATCAAGGGCATCACCTACTACGCCCACGACCCCGCCGTTGCTACCGTCGCCGGTGGCGCCTCTAGGCGGGAGGCCAACTTCGCCAGCGGCGGCTCCATCGTCACCGGCATCTACGGCAACGACAGCACCGTCACCTTCTCCGGCATACAGGGCGCGGGCGAGCCCCAATGGGTTTCCTTCTACTACCAAAACACGGACGACATGGGCTTCGGCGACCAGCCCGGGGGCACCCCGGACCGCATCGGCGGCAAGTGGCAGCTGCGCCGCATCGCCTCCGTCATCGTCAACGGCAACGAAGAACACGTCGAGACGCTCTTCCAGCGCGATACCCACAAGGGCATCATCCTCTCCACACCCCTGCAGCTGACCCTGGACGAGAGCGCCAACAACACCATCACTATTGGCGGCCTGTGGAACGGCTTCGACTTCAAGGGCGCCGACATTGATCGCATCGTCGTGTACCCCCCTGAGGGGGGGGCCCATCAAGTTCAAGAAGGGCGTTTGAAGAAGTCATGATGATGAATGTAGGAAAAGGCAGTATTGTTAGCTACGAAATACAAATATCTTCCCAAACCACGTCGTCTGTGATGGCCTCCCCAAACATAACACTATGAATGTAGGCATCGCTGATAAGCACCCAATCACCAGGCCCTTCTTTCCGGATCAAAACTGGGGCGTAGCATTCTTTCAGTATCCAAACCTAATCTCCCACATGTGCAAGATCGGTCACCAGACCTACGTGTTCTTTTTTCAGTAGCTGCAAACTGCAGGCAAAGTAATCCGAGTCTAGCTTTGGCTTTCCATTCCTCAAACACGTATCTCTGTTCTACCGTCCACCTCTTCGACCCCCATCCTCCCGACCTCTCCGGATCGCCTCCTCAGCTCACTCACCTCTGGAAAAAAAAAAAAAGTCCCGTGTCGTCTCTCGGCAACGCGGTGGAAGACTTCGTGCTCGCTCTCGAGACAGTCCCATTTTGTACCGCCTTGAGCTGCCCCCTTTACTCTTTAGGCAACCTCGCCGATGAGCCACGCGTTGAAACACGGACCAAGTTCTGAGTTCGCGGGAGTTCTAGAGTCATCATCTCGGGTCAATGTTCGCCAGGCGGCCTCGACGGGTGGCTGCGTCGTGAAACTATACCTTGAACGGTAGGCCGGCCTATATGGTATCAAAGAACCCAAACATCCCTCTTCGCGTCGTCTTACAAAGCTTGGTAAGAGTTGACAGCTTGGTTCCTCGCCAGTAAAGCCTGTTCTCCTTAATGGTGGCCCTTGGAGCTGGCTGAAAAGCGCTTTTGGATGCGTCTAGGCCTTCACGACGGCATCGATGAGGTGGCCCTGGTATAATTGGTGAACGATACACAGGCTGGGAACGCGGGGGGGAGGGACAGACCCAGGGCGGCCATGATGACGGCAGCAGTGGGTTCATGTGTCATCAGTCACAGTCACGAATGCTGTTAAAATGCCTGATTGGAGAAGGAGTTGCGACAGAAGAGTGGCACAGAAATTCCCACCCCACTCCCTCTTCAGCTTTTAACGTTAAACTCTTGAGAAGGAGCGTTAGATACTACCAGTGTGTTGTGGAGATGGCAATCACTGGGAAGCATCGCGTCCAAACGTCTGTCTTGAACATGCATTGACTGTTCAATTTTAGAGAGCCCTAGGCATTTGCCTCGAAAATCAACCCGTCACCCGCTACTGCAACAGTGCCCCGTCTTCAACGCCTTTCAATAATGAACTATCCTTTTTCCTATTCGTCTAGTTTACGAGGTATGGACCTCCGTCTTGGAGATGGCCTCCGTTACCGCCTCGATGGCCGGGTCGGCCTCGGCCTTCTTCTCGCTTGACTCGACGGAGGGCCCAGCGTCGGCCGCGTTGGCCTTTTCGGCCTCCTTCCTGGCCTTCTTACGAGCCTTTTCGGCTTCCTTGGCCGCCTTCTTCGCCGCAGCCTTGGCGGCGGCCTCCTCCTTCTGCTTCCGCACCTCCTCGCCACCAAAGGCATCCTTCCACTCCTCGACCTTGGACGCCGGGATCTGCGTGAAGAGGTGCTCAGGAGTTCCGAGCTTATGGCCGGGCTTGATGGCATCGGTCACCCAGGAATCGGGGATGAAGGGCTTGGGCTCGACGCCGAGCTGCTTCAGGATGGCGGTGGAGGTGTTGGGGAGGTAAGGGGCAACCAAAGAGGCGAGGAGGTCGATCTGGTTGAGGGCGAGACCGACGACGGCAGCGCACCGGTCGGGCTCCTCGTTAAGCAAACGGTTATCCAGCTTGTTGTCCTGGAGCAACTTGTTGCCGAGGCTGTAGGACTCGGGTCAGCTTTCAATTTCAGGAAATTTGGGACAAGAATCAACATACGCTGAGATGGACATGATGGTCTGGAGGCCAGCCCTCATCTTGGTTGCCTCCATGTTGCTGATGTACTCCTTGAGCAGGGTGTTTACCTCGCCGATGTGCTTCTTGAGGTAGTCGTCGGTGTACTTTGTGTAGTCGGGAACGACGCCCTCGGTCTTGGCCTGGCAGAACTTGTTGACTCTCTGGCAGAAGTTGCCGAGGTTCTTCAGAAGCTCGTTGTTGTTGCCGTCAACCATCTCTTGCCACATGAACTCGGAGTCGGACGTCTCGGGGCGGCGAGAGAGCAGGTAGTACCTCCAGACGTCGACGGGCACACCGGTCTGCTGGACTTGGTTGCCAAAGACGCCGACACCCCTGGACTTGCTAAACTTGCCGCCCTCGTAGTTGAGGTACTCGGTGGTGGAGATCTTGTGCAGCTTCGTCCAGTTCTCGCCAGTACCGATGAGAGAGCCGGGGAAGATGATGGTGTGGAACTGGACGTTGTCCTTGCCCATGAATTGGTACAGCTTGACGTCGTCGGGGTTCTTCCACCACTGCTCCCATTTCTTGCCGGCAAGGTCGTCGCCGTCGGTGTAGTTCTTGGTGATGGACACGTAGCCGATGCAGGCGTCGAACCAGACGTAGAAGACCTTCTTCGCGTAGTCCTGGCCGACCTCGTGGGTCGGGATAGGAACACCCCACTTCAGATCTCTGGTGATGCCACGGGGCTTCAGGCCCTTGTCGATCCAGGCCTGGGTGATCTGCTCGGCATTGTTGCTCCACGCGCCCTTCTTGCTAGACTCCTTGAACCACTTGACGAGCTCGTCCCTCAAGGAGTCGAGTCTAAGGAAGAGGTGCTTCGTCTTGCGCTTCTCGGGGGTAGCTCCGTCGAGCTTGCAGCGAGGCTTGATGAGGAATCCGGTGGGCTTTGCGGCAATGTCGTCCTCGGCGGTCGCGTTGGCCTCGGGCTCGGGCTCGAGGGGGTCAAGGAGGTTGCCACACTTGTCACACTGATCACCTCTGGCGCCGTCGTAGGCGCAGATGGAACAGACACCCTCAACGAAGCGGTCGGCGAGGAAGGACTGATGAGCCTCGACGGGGCAGAAGGGCTGGGTGGTCTCGCGCTCCTCGATGAAGCCATTCTTCCAGAGCTTGGTGAAGATGTCCTGGACGATCTCGGTCTGCTGGGGGGTCGGGGTCCGGCCAAAAATATCGAAGGAGATGTCGAAGTAGTCATAGATGCCCTTGTGCAGCGCATGGTACTTTGCGCACAGCTCGGATGGCGTGACGCCCTCCTCGAGGGCCTTGGTCTCGGTCGCAGTACCGTATTCGTCGGAGCCGCAAACTGTGCAGAGAGGGCGGGCGTCAGCCGGGTCAAGCAAGGTAAGCAAGCAGCGGAGGGCGGGCGGATCTTACTATAGACGGTGGGGTTGCCGCGGGCGCGGGAGTAGCGGGCGAAGACGTCGGCGGACAGCACACTCCCGATGATGTTTCCGAGATGGGGCACGTTGTTCACGTAGGGCAGCGCCGAGGTGATGAGTACGTTGTTCTTGCCCTTGACGGGTAGGATGGGATTCGGCGCCATATTGCAATGATTCGTGTGGTCAGAATCGGGATCGGTCGTGGTCGTGGTCGTGTGCAGGAGAAAAGAAAATGGCCCGCCGTTGTACAAGGGGAGAAGAGTCACAGAGCACGAAGAAAAGGTTCAGCAATAATGCGCTGCCGGCTGGTGTGATTCCACCGCCTTGATTGACGCGAAAGCCTCAACCCCGCACTATTCCCTTTTGGGATGAGGGGCATAGTCTAGGGATCCTCACAGGGAAGTACTGAGTACTGAGTACCTACCTAGGTAGACCTAGGTCGGTCCGTGTAGGTAATCCGAGTACAAAATTATCGGTTGTCTGCTATAAAAGGTTGATGGTTTCAAATCAAAAGTCAACTCCTCCGAATTTAATATGGGCTCATGGCAAGAAAATCGCGAGCGTACTTTGGATCAGCTTGGTCTCTCATCACTCACAATCCCTTTCAGAAGACTTGGAGCATTAACATATACCAGATGACTTGATCCGTATGTATCGCAGCATTAGACAGTGTAAGATGCAATTGACAAGACCTGCTCTGGAGTCCATCACATGATGCTGCTTCAAGTGGCCATCGGCCCTTACCCCGGATTCTGATTCCCACTTATCATCTGGCCTCCCACCGACTTCTACTGACTTGGGCAAGTCGTAATGGCTTTGACTCGCCTTAGACTCACTGTTAGCCATTCGACCTTTGTTCGCGTTCAGATGGCGTTGGCCGCAGTCGGTGTCGAACACAAACCCGGGCTAGTCCAAGGTGGAACTGTATCTACGTTGCCTAACTCATCGAGTTCCAGGGCGTAGCCTTGACCGGCGACTTTTCTCGAGTCATGGGTGCCCGGAGAGTTGTATTCTCGCGAAGTGGCCAAAATGCCGGCCTAGGCCCTACACGTGCCTACGTGCTGGGGTCTGGGAGCCGGGCAACTTAAAATGAAGCCTCATGCTGGCGAGTGGAAATGGACGCTTTTTTTTTTCTTTCGTCCGAAGCAGCCGTTGACTCAGATGACACTTTCCAATACTGGACGACCCGTCGCTATCGTGGATAGCAGTAGGCGAGTATGAACTTTCTTTTTTTCAATTGGTTTCTTCCGCTCGTCCATCATCATCAGCACAATGCCCACCCCTCAGTCCACAAACGGTGCGAGATTCCACACGTCGACGACGCCCGTGTACCGCCCGACAGCCATGATGTTTCCATTCGCTGAGAAGGCCGCCGCCGTGACAAGCCCGTCGATGCCAGCCGCCGTTCGCACCTCGGCGAGCACCTGGCCCGAGTAGACGTCCGAAATGTCCATACCGTCCTCGGTTCGGCACGCCAGGAACCTGCAGTCTGGTGACACCGCCAGCGGCCACCCCTCGGTGCCCCGGACCTTGTTCAGCTCCCAGCTCGACACGCGCCCGGCCTCGTGCTCCCACGCATACACGGCCCGCGGCCACACCGACACGATGATCCGTCCGTCCGGCGACACCCCCAGCGCCCGCGCCCCCGCGCCAATACCCGCCATGGCGTCCACTTCCATCCGCCGCAGCGTGCGGCCCGTCCTGGCCTCCGAGATGCGCACCGTCCCGTCTCGCGAGAGCGTCACGAGGTTCGTCCCGTTGGGCATGAAGAGCACATGCGTCGGCGGCGCGTGGTTCATCACGCCGGCCACCCTCTTGGTCGGCGGCATCCCCGGCGGGCTCGTCGCCGCCTCGAAGACGACCACAATCCCCGACGGGTCCGCCGCCGCGAACATCTTGCCGTCCCCGCTAAACACTGCGGGCCCGGCCACGCCGTTGAGGATGCACCGCACGCCCTTGCCCTCCTCGCCAGCGCGTAACTTCACGCGCCACTCGCGCTTGGCGCCGGCGTCCTTCTCCAACACGGCCACAAGCTTCCCGTCCGGGCTGAAGACGACGACGGGCGCGTCGGTGCCGATATCGGAGGACACTTGCCGCGCCGCCGGCGCCGCCGAGGGTCGGGGGGCGAAGTCCCAGAGCTTGGTGCTCGAGGGTAGTGCTGTGCCGGCGTTGTCCTGGGAGGTGGCGACATATCCCTTGGGGCTGATGGCGATGGCCGTCACGGGGCCGTTATGGCAGAGCGTGCGGCCCAGGTTCCTGAGGCGGAGGATGGAGGGGGGCAGGGTGCCGTCGTGAAGGTGGAGCGAGCGTATCGACCCCGAGATGGACGGTGCCCTGGCCGTGTGCGGATTCGGTCTGGACGACGGCAAAGACAAAAAATGGTCAGCCGTTCGTGTGTGTGTGTGTGTGAAGTGTGAAGTGTGAAGTGTGATGTGTGCAGGCCAATACTCACCTCTCGGCGATCGCCTCCTCGTAGGTCGGCATCTGATCGTCAGCCGACGGGCCATTGCTGGCGTCCAGGTAGGTAGTCGTGCTCATGGCGGCCATCAATCAGATAAAGCACGCACGACTCGCCAAGGCAATCTCGTCATTGGTGAGTCTCGAGAAAAGTGAGTAGACCCATCGGAGAAATGAAACCGAATTGAAGTCGACTGGTTTTATCCTCCGGTTCTCTCGGCGTTTCTTGGGATGTCACCGCACAGCCGCAATTGTCGCTGAGCTACCTACCTACGGAATTATACCAACTCCCCCTTCGTCATAGTCGACAGGGTACTTGCATGTTGTGTGGGCGGGACGCCAGAAAAGGCGACTGTAGCACGGACCATCATCGTCGCTTCGGGCCTTGTGCTATGGGGGGGGGGGGGGCCTGGCCTCCCGGAGCTATTGTTTTTCCACGCTCTTGCCCACGACGAATAGGTCCATCAGGGTTCCCGTCACGCCAGATGCCCCCCCCGTGATGAGACGAACAAACAGTCTTGACGTCCCTCTCGGCTTCTCCTGCTCTTTTCTGTCCCCCAGCTCTCTGTTGCACTGCCTCCTCAATCTCGATTGCCTTTGAATCATGGCTTCCAACAACCCTCAGCGCATGAGGATGGGCCTTACCATCCCCAGGCTGTATCGCGTCTTCTTCCTCGGCATCGAGCCCATCTCTGCCCTGGTGGGAGCCTACTATGCTCATGTCAGGCCCGACGACTACCTGCATCTCACCCACGCCGCTTCGAAGCCAGACGTCATTCCTCAGGGGACATCCATCGTCCTGTCTCAACTCGCGAACCTCTACCTCCTTTTCGCCCTCAACGAAGCTCTCGTTCTTCGCTCGACGTCAGACCTGCGCGTGTGGAAGACGGTCCTCTTCGTCCTTCTCGTGGCCGACATTGGTCACCTCTATACCGTGCGAAGCCTGGGCCCCGAGGTCTACTACAACTTTGCCAAGTGGACTGCCATCGACTGGGGAAATGTCCCCTTCGTCTACCTTGGTGCCTCGATGCGGATCGCGTTCCTCGCCGGTGTCGGGTTGACCCGCCGCCGAACACCGGTCCAGAAGCAGCGGTAGAGCGGCCATGGCGGATATAACTCTTTCCAACGGGGTTGTGTGCCCGAACATTGCACCAAGCCCGAGAGTGAATTCCAGAAAACGCCGCTACCGAGGAACGAAAACTCAACCAGGATAAATTCTCGAATTTGTGCCGGCTGCGAATGACTACGGGACAATGAGCCAGGTCGCACGGCCGAGGGTTCAATCAAGCCAGACTGGATACCGACATGCTGGTCTGGCCGACCCTCTGACTGGCGCCACACCTTCCTCGACAGGCTGTGTATGAGCGGAATGTTGGGAGCTTCGTATGCTTCGGGCCTGACGGGTGGCTAGGGCCAATTGCCTGACACAGGGGTCTTCGGGGACAATTGCCGAGATGCAGCGAAATAGGGATCCCAATATAGCGAGGTTGACCCCTCCTCGTCAACCTCCTTTTGGCCCAGGCCAAGCCCGATGTTATCTGCGATCGTGGACTTTCCGTCCAGCCTGTCGAGTACCGAAACAAGGACCTCGGGTTCTGGTTGGTGGGAAGTTCGGCATCCTGCCTCGGAAAATCCCCCGGACCAAATCCCTCCACCCAACCCCCTGGGATAGCCATCTCGAATCGGGTGGGTTCTGCGGTGCAATTGGCAGGCAATGGTGGGGTATCACCGCGGGGCAGCGCGGCACGATACCTCGACCTATGTGTATGGAGGAGAGGAGTACGGGTTGGTGGATGAGAGGATATGACGGACAAAGATGCCGATTCAGCAGTATTGTGGCAGAGAAGGCAACGGTTCAGACAACGAATTCGTCATGTGAACATCTTTTCTGCGGCCATACAGCATCTCGTTTGACCGGGCAGCTGGGTGCGAGAGAAGCCATCATCACGTCTTTGCAGGAATAAGCAGGACACCTCCCCCCTTCTCACCTGGTCTTTCAACACACGTCTAGCCTTGGGCAAGGGTCTCGGCCACCCGCATACTTCTCGCATGGAATGGTATTGCGGCGCGACTTTAGCCCCTCCTCGAGTGTTGCACCCCTCACCCTCAAGGATGAACGCCCTCCCCCCCCCCATACGCAACGCCGGAACAAATGAGAATGTGGGGGTTCGATGGCAGCCCTGGGATGGCCAGAGTATTTCATACGCCGCGGTCCCCTCTGGCAGTCTCGACATAACTTCGATCCTTCCCTCCTCCCTCTTCCCGCTCGTGCTGTCCTTTCGCGACTTCACATCTGTCATTCTCTAGGAAAAGAGTTGACCGATCCTCCAAGTACCCTTTTTTTTTTCTACGTCCGATCACGGCCAGACAACATGTCCATCCCCGAAAAGTTCACTGGCTTCCAGGTCAACAGCGCCGAGACGTGGCAAGACTTTAAGAAGCAGGAGTTCGACCCTAAACCCTTTGGCGACTACGATGTTGATATCAAGATTGAGTGCTGCGGCGTTTGCGCCAGTGACGTTCACACCATCAAGGGTGACTGGGGCGCTCAACCGTACCCTTTGGCTGTGGGTCACGGTAAGCATGCCTCCTCGCGACCTTGGCTACAACGAGAGTGTCTCGGGCTAACAGACGTGTGCCAGAGATCGTCGGTAAGGCTCTGAGAGTCGGCCCCAAGGTCACCAAGATCAAGGAAGGCGCCCGCGTCGGCGTCGGCGCCCAGTCCTACGCATGCCTCGAGTGCCGTCAGTGCAAAAACGATAACGAGACGTACTGCAAGCACCAGCTTGACACTTACGGCTCGACATTCCCCGACTCTGGCGCCATCTCCCAGGGCGGCTATTCGTCCCATGTCCGCACGCACGAGCACTGGTAATAAGCCCCCAAACCATGCATGCTTTACAACCAGGAACAAAGACTGACGGGTGACAGGGTCTTTCCCATCCCCGACGCGCTGCCTAGCACTGTCGCCGCGCCCATGCTGTGCGCTGGCCTCACTGCCTACAGTCCCCTGGTCAGAAACGGTTGCGGACCCGGCAAGAAGGTAGGCATCGTTGGCATCGGCGGCATCGGTCATTTTGGTATCATGTTCGCCAAGGCCATGGGGGCCGAGGTTTGGGCCATTTCGCGGTCGCGGTCCAAGGAGGAGGACTCGCTCAAGATGGGCGCCGACGGCTACTTGGCCAGCGGCGAGAAGGGCTGGAACAAGGAGCACGAGATGACGTTCGACCTCATCCTCAACACGGCCAACTCGTTCGAGGGCTTCGACCTGTCGGCGTACCTCAGCCTGCTCGACGTGCACGGCAAGTGGGTTTCGGTTGGTCTCCCCGGCGGCGGCGGCATCACGGTCCGCAACCAGGACTTCCTCCCCAACGGCTGCTTCATCGGCAGCTCACACCTGGGCAGCAGACGCGAGACGCTCGAGATGCTGCAGCTCGCCGCCGACAAGGGAATCAAGACGTGGGTGCAGGAGGTCCCCATCAGCGCCGACGGCCTGCGGTCGACCATGAACGGCATTGAAGACTCCAAGGTCCGTTATAGGTACTGCTTGACCAACTACGACGAGGCCTTTGGCCAGTAATTGTGACTGTGGAGGATGCAACGTGTATAGCGAGGCTGAAAAGAAGACCATTGATGACCTGTATCATTTTGCGTACATGACACAGTGATAACCCGCGTAGACATGAAGGGCACTGCAGCAGTGCAACCGCCACTAGAGACCCTTAGGGGCCGGCCTGTGACACTTGGGAGTGACTGTGTCGTTAGGAGTTGATGCGTTCTGGAAAGGTACTGCCACTACAACAGCAGCTCTGGCGCGAAGAGTGACTGATTAAAACATCATTATTCCAGACTCCTATAAGCTCTGGCCCAGCTCACCGCATAACCCGATACGCAACACCTCTGACCTGTGCCACATCTCAACCTCTTGATACGGTACAAAATACATACCCATGACGCAGAGCAACTGCCTAACCAGACTTCACTTCAACAAAGATGTGGCTGCATAGGTGGACGATCCGGGCTGGAGGTGCTGTCAGCTGGTGGATTGGTAAGCCGAGGTGAAAGTCGCCGCCGGCAGAAGCCCTAGCAACTCCCTGCAGAGGAGTGTGCAATAGGTAATTATGAGAGTGCCTTTGTCCGCGCGCCCTGTCGGGTTGTCATCATGCGCCACGTGTGAATATAGTCATTGTATGCTCGAACTGGTGGCTTGAGCGTTTCTTAGCATGTTCAAGTTTCTTTGAAAGCCCCACGTTTGCTGGCTGGCCTGGGGTAGCGAGGGGTCGTGGTGGAAGAGGTCAAAGGGCCGTGTCCCTGACAAGGGAACGAACGACGTCCGAAGGGGTGCCAGAAGGACCAGGCAGGTTCGCAGGAAGATCTAGCAGCATCTGGGTGTATATGGCATGTGCGTTTTCCTTGTTGTCATACGCGAAGGCGCAAAATGCAATGCGGTGCTTCGGGAAAAGGTTACCACGGCCATGGGATGAGCGAGAAGCTGGCGGGCTGCTAATGTCTGCAAGCAGCTGCAGATTGTTTCGGGAAGGGGAGGGAGAGGGCGGTGAGATGAGTTGGCGGTCGAATGTAGGATGAGAAGGGGTGTGGTGTGGTGTGGCAGCTCATCTCGGATGTCAGCGATGCCAATGTGATGGGCGTGGTTGCTCATTTCTCGGTTGGCCCAGCGGGCGTGTCATCGGAATGGGCGAGGCGCGTCTTGGTGCTGACATTGATTGACCTTCTTGACGATGGCAAAAGTCTGGGCAGGGGTTCCAGTCATAGTGAGACGGGTCGGAGACGGGTCGGAATCGAGTCTCACGGTCTTCCCATCGTCTTTGTTTCTTCCTTTTTTGGGGAGGGCGATAAGTGGCAGCATCTCTGGGGGGCAATAGAGTTTGGAAGCTCCGGAGGCACCCACAGGGTTGCAGCGCAGCAGCCCGGGGTGGTGATGATGGGGTGATGGGACCCGATGGCGGAACAGGGGATAAAGAGCATGTGCATGTGATGTATGTACGATGTACATAGTACATATCCAGGGGTTCTTGGACAGCCGGGACCCTTTATATGCAGTGCACATACTGCAGGTCTCCACACGACAGTGGTGGTTTGTTGATGGGGCGAGATGATGGAGAGAAAGGGCAAAGAGGCAAATGCATCCATCTGGCAGATTACGAGACTGTTCCAGACCCAAACTGGGAGGTCCAGATGGAGGGTTACACGATGCTACCATTGGAGGCAGAGGTGAGTTTCTTATGTACTCGACCACCTCTGCCTACCCACCTACCTGCCTACCTACCTACCTACCTAGGTCCTGAGTTCGTTCCTACGGATACAGCACTGGGACGATGCGCATGCAGTGCAGGCTTTTAGGGGGCGCAGGTACTCGATACTTTCTTTCTGCAGAAGAGGCCACGTGCATGGAAGTAGCTCGACTTGAACACACAGCCGCCGAGTATAGGGTATCTGTACCGTAGCAATGCTATGCAGGCAGGTACAAGTACGATGCTAGAGAGCCTACGGATGTGTCTCTTTAGCATTGGAATTGACATTGGGCCGGCACGCTGCATCGTGATCCGTCCGTGTGTACAGAGTAATTCTTCCGCGATTTGTGCCTCGACTGGCTCGGAATGTAAACAATGCAACGCGGGGGGGGGCCAGATCTCGATAGGTTGACTATGGCAATCTATCTGCAGATACTACGGATACACTACCCGGACGGGAGAGCAACAAAATGCCATCCTTCTTCTCGCGAGCATGCATCTCACCTTTCTCTCTCGTTTGCTGTAAGACAGCCAGACATTCACATTCCTGAGAGACGACGATTCCTCAGTGGCCGATCCACGCCGGTTCTGTAACAAGCGCGCCGCACGTTCGCACGTTCGACTCGACACCGGCAACCAAAGGAAGAAGAGAACAGAAGGGGGCCCGCCACGGCCAGTCTCTCGGTCTCTTCTTTTTCTTTTCTCCCTTTTCTTTCTTTTGCCCTGTCTCTGTCCGTGTCCGTGTCTGTGTCTGTGTCTGTGTCTGTGTCTCTGCCTCGCTCGTCCCTCCCTTCCCCAGGGCTTCCGTCTATCCCAGCATTGTTCCTTACAACGGCCCGTCACTTTGGACTAGGTAGCCGGTGGCTTGCCGTCCCTCCCCTCCCCCGTCAGTACCTATTTCGTTCCCGGTTTCTTAGTCTCTCTCTCTCTCTCTCCCCGTCCACTGCGGCCATCAACGCTTTTCCGTCAGAAATAGGCCGAAACAAGGCCTTTCCTTGCTTGTTTTCCTTCTTTTTTTTAAAGTTTACATCAACATTACTCGATGCTGTTGCCCGTCCATAGGTGTTTGGACTGTCAACAACACCGACACCAGCAACCATAGGGGGGGGCCAGTCTGCGATCTGCATACACATACACACCCCTGTCGGCCGGTTCTCAAACTATTTGTTTTCCTTTGCTTTGTTCTTGAATCTTCTTTCTTGACTCGCGTGGTAATTAACGCCTCTGCGCCTCGTAGTACATCTTTCCGCCGAACTCCAGTCCTCTTCCGGTCCTCTCTCCCTCCCCATTATCATTATTGTTATTACGATTGTTATTATCATCATCATTATCATTATCCACTTTCAGCTTCCTCTGCCGTAAGGATATCTCTCCGAGCCGGGCGGAGTTGCATAGTCGAGTGTCCACTCCCACCACCCTTTTCCTTGCATCCGAACCCAGCCCCAATTCGGAAGCCCCAAACAAGCCGAGCTGTCTCTTTCTCCTTTCAAATGAACTCTGCAAGGAAGAACGGACCCTGAAAGAAAAAAATCACTTGGAAAAGCGAGCCAGACCGGGGTTGTGGACGAACTCCCATCGACGACCCTTAATGCCCCCCATAGGCCAGAACTGACCAATCTTCAGCACAGCCCAACCACCAGTCAGTCACCCACCACCCAAACATCATCCATCTCTCTCTCTCTCCCTATTTCTCTCTCTCTCTCTCTCTCTCTCTCTCTCGCTTCCTCGGGAACCTCAGAGGCAAAAGACGGCCGGCCGACTTCCGTGATCGATTCACATTGCCGCTGCCCCTGCCGCCACCGCCGTTCCCTGCGACCAAGGATCAACAAGCCTGCAGCGATACTGCAGCCCGATTTGATTCTTCCTGCACAACGTCCCTCCCTAGTGTACCGGGTCCCTTTCTCGTCCCCCCCATCCTGCGCCCTCCGACTGGCCGCCATTCTGCCGTCTAGTGTAACCCCCGTTATCCACCTGCAGTGGCCCAGCTTGGCCCAGCCCTTTTGGTGGGGAGACCGAGACAGTGCCGTCCGTCTCGACTCCTGCGCGTTTCGGGCGCTTCAGACAAGACTCAGGGTCTAGGAAGGGGGAACAACAGTTTGGCAGAAGAACAACTACAGGGATAAGCTCGGACGACAGGTAATAACCAACGAGCCCCCCTTGACTCGATCACACTTGACCCGACTTTCCCTTCCTTGCTTTTTCTCTTTCTTTTTTACGTATCTGAACAATCGAGCCTTTTCGAACCTCATCGCTGACCATGCGATGATCTCCAGTTTGCTCGTGCTGTCTTGCTGCCCCGCGACCCCATCCCGACCTCCCCTTTCTCTTCTTCGAAAGCGCGCCAAAGTCGTACCCGACTCCTAAGCCCCAGGTCCACTCCTAGACGACTTCGATCACGACTTCTGCGGCGACCTCGATCTCGATCTCGACTTGGACTTCGACACCCTACCTAGCCGTCGACGGCATCAACACTCGCCATGTCTGGACGCATCTGCAACGTCTCCGAGTGGGCACCCACACAGGAGGCCATCTACGACGAGCCCGCCTCCACATCCGCCATCCAAGAAGAAGACGGCCCCGACGGACACATCAACCCCAGGTCCTCCTTCCAGGCACACCGCCTCCGCAGCCTGAGTCTCTCGCTTCCATGGCGGCGCAAATCATCCATCCATCATCTCGACTCCGACCTCCCGAGCCACCTGGAGGAGCTCTCTCTCGAGCGGTCCCGGAGTCATGGCGGCCCTAGCGACGATAACCCCTTCAGGCACACACACGACACGCACCCGGCTGGACACGGTAACGCTAGTATCAAGGGCATATTTCGTCGCGCGTCCATCTCGTTGAAGGGTATGGTTCATCACAGAAGCCACTCTATCGGCGGCGCCCATGGCCTTGGCCTGGGCCTCGAGGAGGTCCATCGCCACCACCACCAGCAGCGCCCTGGAACTTCCCATGCGCACTCGCCTTGGCACCGGCTGCGTCAGGCCACGAGCTTCCGCCACTCCAAGTCGTCCCATGGCCACGACACGCATAGCGATGCCTTCGTTGCTGAACACCCCTTCCCCTGCTTGCCGCTCCCTGGCAACGGTAGTGCGCCGCCAATCATTCCCTACCACACCGGCGGTGCTGCCAAGGCGGCGGCGGCGGCGGCGGCGGCGACGACGACGACGGCGCAGAATCAGGTCATTCACAACAAGTGGCTGAGTGCGTCGTCGGATGACTTCACCGACCACGAGAGCGGCATCGGCATCACGGTCACCGGCGGTGACTCGGACGTGGACTTGGACGTGGAGGACGCAAACATCAGCCGCATCGATTTCGTTGCGCAGCTCCCTGTCGAGCTTGCCATCCAGGTCCTCGCCCATCTCGATGCTACGGCTCTTGCCGCCGCGAGCCGTGTGTCCCGCGAGTGGCAGAAGATGATTGAGAACCAGCACGTCTGGCGAGAGTCCTTCTTGCGCGAGAAGACGGGCACGTATGCAACCAGTCTACCAGTTCAGCCAGGCACCGGCCAAGGCGTGCCGTCCATCAGCCCCGACGTCGACTGGAAGCAGATATACAAGGCCAAGGACGAGCTCGACCAGCGATGGAAGGAGGGCAAGGCGAAGCCTGTCTATCTGAACGGCCACTTGGACAGTATCTACTGTCTGCAGTTTGACGAGTAAGCGCATCCACTCTCCCTTGGAAACCACCATGACCGAATGGCTAACATCCGGGCTAGGACCAAGATCATCACCGGTTCCCGCGACAAGACGATTCGAGTCTGGGACATGCGGACCTTTGAGTGCCGTCTGGTCATCGGTCCTCCCGAGGTCGTCAACGACGTTTCCCTGCTGCTCGACGACGAAGGGAACCCCGTCCACTATGCCACCCTTCCCGACAATCAGCGTGCTAACCCGTCGATGCCCGCAATGGTGTCCTTCCCCACGCACCACAAAGCTTCGATTCTTTGCCTGCAGTACGACGACCGCATGCTGGTAACGGGCTCGTCCGATTCCAGCTGCATCGTGTACAACGTCCGCTCGGGCTACAGGCCGGTCCGCCGTCTTCAGCACCACACCGCCGCCGTGCTCGACCTTGCCTTTGACGACAAGCACATCATCACCTGCAGCAAGGACATCAGCATCTGCGTCTGGGACCGCGCGACGGGCACTCTGCTCCGCCAACTGCGTGGGCACTCGGGCCCTGTCAATGCCGTCCAGATGCGGGGGAACACGATAGTCTCGTGCTCGGGCGACTTTCGCGTCAAGCTCTGGAACATCGACACGGGCAAGAACATCCGGGAGTTCCAAGGCCACACCAAGGGCCTGGCGTGCTCGCAGTTCTCGGAGGACGGCCGCTACGTCGCCTCGGCCGGCAACGACAAGGTCATCCGCATCTGGGATGCCAACACCGGCGAGTGCCTCCGCGAGATGAAGGCCCACGATAACCTCGTGCGCAGCCTTCACATCGACTCGGTCAGCGGCCGTCTTGTCAGCGGCAGCTACGATACGGACATCAAGGTCTTCGACATGGAGACCGGCCGCCAGTTGCTCGACTTCCCGCGGTGGCACGCTAGCTGGGTACTGAGCGCGAAGAGCGATTACCGGCGAATCGTTAGCACGGGTCAGGACCCCAAGATTCTGATCATGGACTTTGGCGCCGACGTCCCGGGCATCGAGGCCCTGGAGAGCGGCGGGGGTTACGCGATAGATGGCGGATACATCTAGATTCTCACGAACGACGCATCGCATCGCATCGCATCGCATCGCATCGCATCGCATTGCACCGCATCATCCTATACACGCTACATAATACGCTAATACCGAGAGCGGCATGGCTGGACCGCCCTCATTGACGACTTTTGTTCATCACGAGCCGAGATGTGGATGATGAATAATAGGTGGTAGACTTGACTTGAAAGCACGAAGGCGGGACGGAAGACAAGAGACCCCCTTCCACAGAGAGGCGTATTGGAGAAGGATAGGCATTTCACACCTGCATTGGGGGCCGCATGTTTCTTTCTGGGTTTGGGTTTCTTTTCACTCTTGCGGGTTCATTCGTTCTTGAGCCCAAGCTTTGTTCTTTTTTTTCTTCTTCTTTTTTCTTCTTTTCTCTTGTTGATATTTTTTTTGCATGGCATCCCTGGCTTTGCTCGCATAGACAGCCACTGGATAGAGAGGCATTACAGATTTTATCTCACCCACATTTTTTTTTCGCTGTCCAACCCATCCAGCGAATGTCGATGACGGGCATTCTACGTGAGACACCGGCGCCGTTCATGTCCATGCTATAAAGGTGAGAGTGACGAGTGGGCACAGAAAACGGAGTTTCTGATGGGGAGAGAGCGAGAGAGAGGGCGGGGAGGTAGGCTGCGGACGCGGGGATGCGACGCGGGGATGCCCTCGCTCGCACATCAAAGCGGCGGCCGGGTCGGCGAGCGGGCCAAATGCCATGGTCCGACGTCTACGGATACGGGGTTTCAGAACGGCGGGGTTTTCACTTCTTGTTTTTCTTCATTTGTCGAACTCGGACAAGAGAGTAGGGCAAAGGCCGGAGACGTTCTGTTCCGTTTCGACTTTTAAAAGCAACAGATGCAGACGCGGGGTGGTCTGATGGTCGGCGTCTCCTTTTTTTTTCTTTGTTCTTTTTTCTTGCATGTTCCTTCAGGACCGCAGGACGGCTTGTTTCGAGAGCTGCGCAGCAGGACCTTCTATTTTTCTCCCCGTCTGCATGTATGTCAGAGCGTATGCGTCCATGCCTCTCGTCTCTTTGCGTCTGGAGTTGGGGTTGAGTTGACTGTTTGACAGTGAACAGGGGGGGACTTGGACGGACGGGGAAGGGTCTGTGCTTGGGGGCATGAGATGAATATGGAATTGCTGGACGGGGGGAGGTTCTGCGAGTTGCTGCGCTTTTCGTCTTTCTGTTCGTCTGGTCGCCTTCTTTTCGTCCGGACATCGACTACTTTTTTTTAGCCTACGCGGGCAAGGTGGTGCTTAGACGTGCCTGCGGCAGAACTCTGCGGGCGGTAGCGGGGGATGTCGACGATGCCAGAGGGGGGGGGGCGTCCGGCGTGGAAACACGTCGAGTCCCATAATACAAGAGACGACCCTGCAGCGGCGGGAGGGGATGGTTGCTTAAGCTTCCCGCTGGCGGCATCATTGCGAGGTGCCCGCGTCTCGTTTGACGTCGGACAGGGCTGGGGATGGGGGGGCACTGAGGTCCATCCCGTATCGTCATCTCGTCGAGCCATGGTGCCCGGCGACGGACCGGAGGGCGTGGTTGCGATCAGCCCAACTCTGTCCTGAGACGGCGAGGTGGGAGGGCGAGCGGCCCGATGGCGTTGTGAGCGAGTAGAGCGCGGGCCGTGCCTTGAGATTCTCCGCGTAGCGGCCGAAGGGGAGGGAGGGATGAGAAGTCTTGGAACGTCCGAGGACGGGCGCCGAGATGGCTCTGACGAGACGATCGCGACGATCAAGCGGGATGGCGCTGTGCCGGCCTGGTGCTATGTGGCAGTGCCTAGGCCAGGTGCTGTCGACTCAGCCACACTAGTTTAATCAAGATAGAAGAGACGGGTGAACGTTGGGGTGTAGTAGACACGAGGTCTCGCGTGAGAACCTTGCTTGCTCTCGTCGAACTAGAGCGTTCATCTCAAATCTCCCTCGTGTCACCTAGAGTGCGGTAGATAGGTCAACCCATTTGGTAGGACTGAACCACGAGGGGGGGATTTCAGCTGGCACCTCGACGCAATGTCTAAGAAGAGGTCGGCTTAGTAGTAGTTCGGCGTGCATTTCCAGCGTTCATGGAGTATCCTGTTGTTTCTTGGATCATGCTCCCCCCCCGCAGATCCAGGGTTGGGCAAGGTTGGGGAAAAGGGGGGGTCGCAGATATATTGCACCGGACTCAGAGGTTGGCCGTGACAGTCCCGGACGCAGCGCTGTTTGGCCGGGCCTGTACGGCCACAAGGTACGGTGCGTCATCAACGTGTGTTCGTCTCATGACATTTTTGACTCCCCCTCCCCCTTGTGCGACGGCCTTTGAGCGCTCTGGCTTCGCTGGACGCCTTCGTCGCCGTCGAGTCAAACGACGGGAGTGCTTCGGCCTCATGGCACTGTGGCTCAGCTCACTGATTCCCTCCGCGAGACTTTTTCCCCCCTCATACCATGTCCCTGACATTCCTCAGCACGCTTTCAGCCTAAGCCTCCCGCTCCTCCAGGTTTTGTTCCCCCCCGGGGGGGAGCTAGAATGAATGAGGCCGCAGAGAAGCCGGGCTAAGCAAGCCCCCCCAGAGAGACCAAAGGTCTCGAACGCCGGTCTGCGTGGCGCCAGCGCGGCGGTGACACTACCCGTTGGGTCAGAGCCGGATCAGCTGGCACGCTTCCTGGTGATGATCGGCGCCCATCACCCGTCCCGTCGTCGCGAGACGATCTACGAGGACGTACACGTGTACGTGAAAGGAGGGAGGGAATGAGGCGAATGCGTGAGAAACCACGGTGTCGTGCGGAAGTGGTGGGAAGGGTCAAAGAAACGCGACATTCATGTTTTTCCAATACCGGTAATGGGTTGGAGCGGGAATGGATGCCACAAAAGGGGTTTGTGTGGTTCGCGCGGGGCACTGTCTCACTACCCCACGGTTCGATTCGCGAGCGAGCCAGAGAGACGACACACACTCCGCAAGAGAGGTAGCATGGTACCGCAGCCATGAGCTTTCTCTCTCTGACCACTTTTTACTCGATTTCTCTCACCTGCAGAGTGAGTGCTGTGTGCAGGCCACGTGGGCAAGGGTTCCCCGGGTACGCCACCTGACTGTGGACTCGAGGACGAAATGGCCGGGGGAAGAAGGTCATATTCTTAGAACATGTCCCAGCGCACCCCAGGGCTTCTCGCGGCCATGGGTGCAAGATATGGGTATGTTGCATACGGATACGTTGCATTTATCTACGTTATGGCGAACGACCTACGGGCCCTACAAGGGTGTCGTTTGGCTAGGTGCGCCTACCTTACCTTGGGGGAGTTGAGGTCCCTTTAAGCTGTTTAGGGTTTATTTTCGGCCTATTCAAAGAATGGGGGGGGGGGGGGGAACGGGCTCTGCCAGCCTTCGCCCATGGCCCATGTCCGATTCCTGTCAGATGGGAACTCGGTGAGGGTGAGAGCGCGGTGGCGCGGCAGGCAGCAGACGGCACTGGTGGCCCTGCAGCCCAAGGGAGGAGGTGTGGTGGGGTTGGCGGACGAAAAGGTGTACCTGTCTCGTCTTGACTCGGACGTCCTGGGCATGTTGTCGTTGGCATCGTCCTGACTCGAAGGCGGCGGCGGCTGTGTTACTAAGCCTGTGCTGTCCGTCATCATCGTGATGTCCCCGCTGCCCTGGCGGAAAGGGACATCCGGGTTGCTGAACAAGATACAAAGGAACTCGGCCGCAGTCTTGCTTACATGGATGGCATGTCCAGGAATAGGATCGTGGAGATGCGCAGATAGAGTGCGGGTGGACATGAGATGCGGCGGGTGCGCAAGGTGGGGCGAGAATCAAGGCTTCGTTCGACTGGGAAAGGGTCTCCAAGATGGAACAGGGCCGTCCAGAAACCCAATCCGACGAGGGGACAGCCGGGGCCGGGGCCGCATGGGTGGCGGGCGGGTGTTGGGAGCGCGCCTCACTCGTTCTGTCTGTTCTTTCGACGGGGGGTGGGCAAGGCACAGGGGCTTGCTCGAAAAGCCAAAGGATGTCGGCGATGGGACGTTTCGAAACGGCTGCAACGGCGAAGATCGGGTCCAATGTCGACGACGCACGATCCGGTAAGGCGTTGCGAATACGCATACGCGGTCCACGGTCCGGATGCTGCACCGCGCAAAAGCAACGTGCTGCACTAGGTCGGGAGCCGAGCCGAGACGAGCTTCGAGAACGGGTCGGCATCGCTCGCGCTCAACTCTCTTTCTCCTCCCTCTTCTTCTTTCTCCTCGTGTGCGAGGGAGGAATCCATACCGCCGCACCGGAAGAGAGGCAGCGTGGTGGTACGCATGTAACAAAAAGGAGCAGTGAGCTATCGAGGCTTCGGGGGTCGCGGTGACGATGGAACCTCTCAGGTACGGGTGGCACGGCGTGGCAATGGCATGACACGGGCACCAGCTTGGCGCAGGAGGCACGTAGTTCCGTCCCAGCCCAGCGGACACGACTGTGCCTCGGCGATCCTTTTGCACGAGCTGCATGTACCGGTAGGCGGCGGGATGTCTGGTCGTCGACGGCCTCGTTCGTGACATGCGTGCATGCGTCCTTTAGGTACTCGGTGTTCACCAGCCTATCCCGGCAACTCGACGGCGGACATGACTCCTGCAAGGGGGACGCACGCAAACAAGTCAGCGACAAGGAGATCACCACTCGATGCATTCAACAATGCCAACCTAATCATCAGCTTCATCGTTTTAGGATTCGGGCCTACCTGAAAGATCCCGGAGCGAAAGGCTCTTCCCTACAGAGTACAGACTGCCAACTTTCTCAGCTCTCTGGCCATGAACGAGGCCTTGGGCGGTTTGCATTGCTATGTCCGAAACGAACTCTGCAGAGTGACAATATAGAGAGGTTTGGGCATGAACAGCAGCCAAAGCCGCCAAGGAACCTTTTCGACGCCGCGTCCTTGTGACTACGCTTGGCTCTGGAGAATGACCAAGTCTTGGGTACTGCAAGGGGGTGGTGGTAGTGCAGTAGCCTCATCGATGAAGGGGGGGGGAGAGAGTTTGGGGATTGGAGCATCGTCGCCAGCAACGATGATGCCCACACAGGCAATGCGAATGACTGTCATCACGAGCCTCCATGGCGGAGATTGCAACGCAGCATCATCACGGGTCTAACCTTACAGCTGCTGCACACGCTCTCGGTAACGGCAATACACGGCCAGTGGACGGAGGCGACGGACGTGACGTTTGGCTGGCTGGTGTGTATGCTCGCGCCTCGCCTTGCCTTGCCTTGTCTGTGGCTTCAGTTGACAGGTCGTACAGCATCCAAGCAAGGGGGCCAATCATCCAGTAAGTCGGTCAGTCAGTCAGTCAGTCAGTCAATCACCCGTCAAAAGAAGCCATGTGGTACCGACAGCCAGGTCAATCTTTTTGTGAGATTCTTCCGTGAGATGGGCACCGCCCGCCCTGTGGACACACGGCGATGCCGTCGTGGAGAACAAACCCGCATCGCTTCCAAGGTGCACAGAGTGACATCAAAGGGGATATTAAGGGGACTGGGCCTCGCGAGCCCGCAGTGCCGCTGCGGGCTCGGGTCGCAATGTGCTAGGCTCCTCTCGCGACGACTCGACGAGACGCTCTCTTGCGGGTGCTGCGAGCGTCTACGGAGCACACTAGACTCGTTACCGTCACAGTCGCCTTCGGCGTTGCTGGTGGTGGAGGGCAGACGAGCTTGAAACGGCGCTATGCCCGATCCTGGCGGACCCCGGCATCTTCTCCCCTTGTCGGTTGTGCAGAACGTCTTTGGGGTGTTGTTCCCCCAGGAGAGACACACACACAGAGAGAGGGAGAGAGAGAGACAGGGAGAGTACAGATACACTAGGATACACTAGGGAGAGAAGAATCCCTACCGCTGCTCTTCCGTATGGGGGCGGCTTCGGTGGGGAAAAGGGGGGGGGGGGGGCTCAAAGGCAAAATTCAAATACCTAAATAGGCTACGGATACTTGGTACTCAGTGATATGTACGGATACACCACCCCGTAGGGGAACAAGAAACAGAGTGCTGCGTGTGGCGGGTGTTCCCTCCCTCCCCTTTGTGCACGAGGCTGGAGAACAAGCCCCATACATAGCGGTACATACAGCATTCTCAACCGTAGGTACACGCTACTTTGTGCAGGATAGGTACGGTAATACTCTCTGTACAGAGTATCCATACACTACAAGCTTGTGCATCAGTGTCTGTCTCGTCCTTCTGAGGGTTTGCCTCTTTATCCTTGGCTTCGGCCTCTGACTGGCCTCGATGGTCGGCTCCTCGAGTCAGAGTGACTTACCGACCCGGCTCATGTGCCACGTCCAGCCACAGCGAGGCTCGCAGAAGGGCTTGGGTTTTCTCTTTAGGGGGGGGCGGGTATGTTGATGATCTCCCACTTGACGTTTTGCCGCCGCTGTGGAGTACCTACGTTTGATGTCCAGGCGAACGAAGGCCAGAGACGCTTGCTCCTTTTCCCTCTCTCTCTCTCTCTCTCTCTCTCTCTCTCTCTCTGTCTCTTTCTCTCTCTGTCTCTCTCTCTCTCTCTCTCTCTCTCTCTCTCTCTCTCTCTCTCTCTCTCTCTCTCTCTCCCTTTCTCCCTCTCTCTCCCCCTGCTCCATCCGTGACCCCGTCGACTCATCAACGTAAGGCAAAGTCTTGCCGCCGTTTACTTTGTAAGGTCCGCACTGACAGATCTTGCCCGGGATCATTGCCTGCAGGCGCGGGGATTTCGCAAGAATCCTGACAGTCCGTCGGGGGGGGGAAATGCAACCTTGAGTCGTCTGCCCCCCTGTGCCTCCAATCGGTACCGAGTACTCGATCTAATTAACCTCTCACTACTTCATGACCATCTACGGCGGGTATTTTCCAGAAGCAGACCAGTGGGCTTAGCAGGTTGCAAGGTTGAATGGTTCTGCTCCAATCCAGACTAGGGGCGGCGGTTGCATCGCATTGACTGACCCCCTGAGCTCCGGACAGGGCCTTGTCGTCCGAACTACTTGCGTGCGCTTGCTTGCTTGCTTGGCTTGGCTGCTTTTTTCCCCTTTCTCCTCTGCTTCTTCGCCTTGCCCCTCTGCCATGACTTCCACTTGCTGGCATTACCTTATTGCGTAGGTATACGGATACACTGCAACCTATACCACACACGCCCCCCCTCTCTCTCTTCCCACTCCTCCTCCAGCTGTGTTTGAAGCTATATCCCCTCCCGACCAATAGCGACCCTCCCCGGATCCCTGTTTCATCGCATTTCCGTCCTCGATCCCAGCATTACCTATAGCTGGTGCTGGCTAAGTTTGGTTTTATCGAGCTTGGACGGGCCACGGACACCCAATATCCCCCACTTCTGTCAACCCTCCTGGCTCTCGCCTCTGGCCCAGAAGCCCGAGATCCAGTCGCTCGACGAGAGGCATCTCCCTACCTACGTGCGAACCGGGATCTCAGGCCCTTTGCCTTGCCTCAGACCGGGGGAAAAGTCCGACTGCTGCTTGCCACCATGGCGATGAATCGTTCGGCGGAGCAGGGGACTGCGCTTCGGGTAAGTCGATATAAGACGGTGACCGTCAGCCTCTTCCAAGCTTGTGGTTCACTCCCCTCCCTTCTCTCGTTGCCTCAACCTCACACCCATCGACGCTCTTTCGTTTTGCTGTATCTTCCCTAGAGGGGATATCTCGCCCTCTCGTTTGTTTCCATTCGTCACAAAGTCGCTCTTTTACCCCGGCCCAACCAGCGAACGCCTTGATCGGTCGTCACCCGCTGCCGTCAGCTTCAACCCGACCAACCCTTGGTGAGTGTTGTGCGCCGACCCCTCCGATTCCGGTCCCGTGGCTGTCTTTCTTCCCTTTCCCCACCCTCCCGGCCGGCCTGTTGTCTCGGCTCTTCATGTCCATGGCTCTTGGGCTTCGTGGCATGGTGTCTTCTTGGCCAGTACCGTGACGTAGGACATGTCATCTGAGGCCACCCCCCTCCCTCTCTTGGAAGTCTGGACTGAAGGGAGCCGATGGGAAGATGTTTTGTCTTGTCTGAAAGCGGTAGACAATGGGACATGATCCATGCTTGTGACGAACAACGGCCCTTTCAAGTCACAGACACCAAAGGGCTGTTTGTCGACCGGCCGGGTGAAAGTCGAGTGTCAGCTAGTCACTGACACTCACAAGCTGGCCATACTTAAGGTGTGGCTTCTGGATCATGGTTCGGTTGTCGAGAAGGGACCAGCACCTTGCCCCATCCCGCTTTCGAGACTCTTTTTTTTCCCGCACATACGAATAAGCAGTTGCTTGCGTCTTCCTCCATACCTTACTCGAGCAGTCTCGAGTTTCTTCATCATTTAGTGGCTGAGACTTGTGTTGATTCGCAGCTCTCCTTCCGCCTCGCGTCACCTTTTCAAAATCACCTCAAGGCTAACATCGTGACCTCGGGCAGTTTATACCGACAAAACAACACAGTAGGAGCCCCTCCATCAGCTGGTTCTACGTCATGATGGGTCTCTCTTCGGTCCTTACGACCACACTCCTGGCCCTGCGCCTCTTCTCCCTGGACGCTCTTGCAGCTCCTGCACCCGTGCCGGCACCCATTCCCCAGGCCGCTACCCCCAACGCCGCCTCCGACTTTTGGGTCGCGTCGATCGAGCGCCGCGGCGCCTCTGCCTTTGGCGACCCCAACTACAAGGTCTACCGCAACGTGAAGGATTACGGTGCCAAGGGCGATGGATCCAGCGACGATACCGTGGCTATCCTGGCCGGTAAGCCCTTGACTCTCTCGGCTTGATGCGTTGGAACCTGGCAGGGCTAACTTGAATATAGCGATGGATGACGGCAACCGCTGCGGTTTCGGCTGTGACTCCCAGACCACTACTCCCGCGCTCGTCTATTTCCCTGCCGGTACCTACGTCGTCAGCAAGCCCATCGTCATGAAGTACTACACCCACATGGTTGGAGATGCCAATGACCTCCCCACCATCAAGGCCGCCGCGAGCTTCACCGGCATGGCTGTGATTGATGCCGACCCGTACGACAACCAGGGTAACAACGCGCACACCAACCAGAACAGTAAGTGGTTTCTCCAGAGAGAGAGAGAAACTCGTGCTGAAGACCAGTTTGCTAACCCTGCCCAGACTTCTGGAAGCTTGTTCGCAACTTCAACATCGACCTGACTGGTATGCCCTTCACCTCTGGTGCTGGTATCCACTGGCAGGTTGCCCAGGCCACCAGCTTGCAGAACATCGTCTTCAACATGCGCACCGACGGCGGCGATGCCAACGTCCAGCAGGGAATCTTCATCGACAACGGCTCCGGTGGCTTCATGACCGACTTGACGTTCAACGGCGGCAAGTACGGCGCCTTTGTGGGATCGCAGCAGTTCACCACGCGTAACATGAGTAAGTCGTCTGCCTTTGGCTCTCCACCGTGACTAGTTAGAAGTCTAATGGCGTGAACAGCTTTCAACAACTGCAAGACTGCTGTCTACATGAACTGGAACTGGCTCTGGACCTTGCAGGATCTCAAGATCAACAACTGCGGCGTCGGTATCGACATGTCCAACGGCGGTGCCACCTCGCAGACCGTCGGCTCAGTCCTCCTCCTCGACAGCGTCATCAGCAACACCCCCGTCGGTGTCTTGACTGCCTACAACCCGGCTTCGACCTCCACCAACGGCAGCTTGGTGCTCGACAACGTTGACATGTCATCCAACGTCCCGGCTGCCGTTCAGATCGTCGGCACCAAGACCACCGTCCTGCCAGGCAACCAGAAGGTCGCGTCCTTCATCCAGGGCAAGGCCTACAGCGGCGCTGCCGCCGGCAACGGCAAGGCCATCCAGAACGTCCAGGAAGGCATCGTCAAGCCCCCCGTCCTCCTCGGTGCCGATGGCAAGGTCGTCACCCGCAGCAAGCCCCAGTACGCGAACGTGCCGGCCAGCTCGTTCCTCAGCGCCAAGGCGAACGGCTGCAAGGGTGACGGCAAGAGCGACGACACGGCCGCCATCCAGGCGCTGTTCAACAAGGCGGGCCCCAACGACATTGTCTACTTTGACCAGGGCGCCTACATCATCTCGGACACCATCGACGTGCCCAAGGACATCAAGATCACCGGCGAGGTCTGGCCCCTCCTGATGGCCAACGGCGCCGCCTTCAAGGACCAGGCCAACCCCAAGGTCATGCTCCGCGTCGGCAAGCCGGGCGACGTCGGCACCTTCGAGATGAGCGACATCATCCTCCAGACCCAGGGTCCTCAGCCGGGCGCCATCCTCATGGAGTACAACATTGCGGGATCCACCCCTGGTGCCGCCGGTCTCTGGGACGTCCACTGGCGTATCGGAGGCAGTGCCGGAACGCAGCTGCAGTCGGACAAGTGCGCAAAGAACCCCAACGTCACGGCCGCCGCCAACCCCGAGTGCATGGGTGCTTACCTGCTCATCCACATGACGCCCGAGTCCTCCGGCTACTTTGAGAACACTTGGTGGTGGGTTGCCGACCACGAGCTCGACCTCCCGGACCGCAAGGCCCAGATCAACGTCTACAACGGCCGCGGCGTCCTCTGCGAGGCGACCAAGGGCACCTGGTTCTGGGGCACCGCCTCGGAGCACAGCGTCCTGTACAACTACCAGTTCAACAAGGCGTCCAACGTTTACATGGCGCACATCCAGACCGAGACGGCCTACTACCAGGGCAACCCGGACGCCAGGACGCCCTTCACGGCCAACGAGGCTATCCTCGACCCCAACTTTGAGACCTCCTGCGCCGGCCAGGGCGACAAGTGCGCGCGCACCTGGGGCGTCCGCGCCGTCGACTCCAAGGACATCCTCGTCTATGGCGCCGGGCTCTACTCCTTCTTCGACAACTACGACCAGGTGTGCGTGGGGGAGAACAACTGCCAGGACCACATTGTCTCGCTTGAGAACAGCGACATCAAGTTCTTCGGCCTCAGCACCAAGGCGTCCATCAACATGGTGACGGTCAACGGCAAGAGCGCCGCGCTCGACAGCGACAACCGCAACAACTTCTGCGCCACCGTCGCCTTCTTCCAGGCGCCCCTCTAGGAGAGGCCGGCCTACGCCGTCGGGCCGCCGGCTCCGACGCACGAGCCGACAACCTAGCAGGAGAGGCCCAGCTACGGGATCGTGCCGACGTCGACCATGCCGGTGGATTTCGGCCTGTGGCGGACGAGGACTGCATACGACGACGCGTATGAGTATGCCTACCAGCTGCTCAGCGCGCAGACACGTGTTACTTTCGTACAGGCGTAGCTAATCTGCCCTAGTGGTAGAGGCTGCAGCGCCTGCCCCTTTTTCCACACCATGGGTATTTTTCTTCTTTTCTTTTATCTTTTATGCTGTAGGATACACACTTTGCATACCGGGAGTTTTGAGGTTTCTGGAAAACAGGCCACAGGTGGTTATTATACAACGTGGATTTGCGGAGACGAAGACGAGGGAACGGGCGGGATGGATTGACATTCTTGACACTTTTGCCTTGGAGGCACTTTGATACCACTCATACACGAATCACTTGATGTTGACCACTTCTGCTGCTCCTCGGCCGTGACTTGAGAACGGCGAACTACCTCGTGATGTGATGATGTCTTGCGTCAAACAGTACATCTTGACTCCTCCTAAGCCTGGTGCTCAAGTAAGGTAAGAGATATGCATACCAGTGACGCTATACTTGGTACTCATAGACGAACCTTTCAAGAGCTCTTTGGCGCACCCTTCCTCCTATCGAAAAAAAAAAAAAAAAAAAAACCACCAAACCTTTCCGAGGGAGGTGGTAGTGTGGCGTCGCAACCAAATCTTCTCTCCTCGACCTTGATGTTCCGTCGCAGTGTGTCCTCTCTCTCTCATTTCCTAGCACGCGGTGAGCCTCGGTTAGTGACATTCACCGAGATTCCAGCGCCGTGATTCGCTGGTCGGCGTCTCCCAGTGGCCGACTGTCCGATTTTTCAGCCACCGCGCTCCACTGTGAGGTACGTAACCCCCCTAGGTGCTTGTCCTTTGCTGATGCACCACCAACGTCATACTCTACCGTTCATTTCTTCCAACATCCGGCGCCCGTTCATCGTCATCCTACTCAACCTTGGCTTCCCCCTTGCCCTCTATGCGATAACGCACATTGCAAACGCTCACAAGCAGCTCTCTACAATGGACTCACCGCCCGCCGCCAACCTGCGGTCCAAGACCAGACGCGCACTCGAAAACCTCAACGGCGCCGCGACCTCGCCGCCCTCTCCTCCCCTCAAGACGACGCGCAACAGCCCTTACCTGCCCACGCCCGCCGAGACGATAGTCCTGTCACTGTTCCCCATAATCCTCTTCTTCGGCACCGTCTTTTCCATCCTCTCTCCCGACGTCCGCGCCTCGCGCTACGATGCCTCCACGCAGGCGCATTCCACCGCCACGGCGCCCTCGTACTTTGCGCGCAAATCGAACCTGTTCAACATCATCTTCGTCAAGCGCGGATGGTTCTGGATCACGGCCGCCTTCTTCGCCTTCCTACTCACCCACCCTGGTACCAAGAACGCGACCGTCCGGCTCCAGGCGACCCTCCGCTGGGTGCTCGTCACGACCTGGTGGTTCTTCGTCACGCAGTGGTTCTTCGGCCCGGCTATTATAGATCGGAGCTTCCGCTGGACTGGAGGCAAGTGCGAGCTCGCCGAGGACAAGGTCAGGATGGGCGAGGGAGACACCAAGGAGTTCTTCACTGCCGTCGCGTGCAAGGCCTCTGGCGGGCGCTGGAGTGGCGGACACGATATCTCCGGGCACGTGTTCCTCTTGGTCCTCGGTACTGGCTTCCTGTTGTCCGAGGTCGGCTGGGTGGTCATGCGCTGGAGAGGTTCGGGAAGGGAAGAGCGCAGCGTCGTCATGACGGACGGTGCCGTAAAGACGGCCACCGTCGAGGCTCAGGGCCTGAGGGGGAAGCCCGTATCCGGCGATGCTCTGGGCTGGGGCGGCAAGTTCGCTGCTGTCATCATTGGCTTGGGCTCTTGGATGCTGCTCATGACGGCCATCTACTTCCACACTTGGTTCGAGAAGGTATGAAACTACGCATATGCGAATGACGACACAGAGTAACCATACTAACGCATGTGGCAGGTCACCGGTCTTATTACGGCCATGCTTGCGCTCTATGGCGTATACGTTCTTCCCCGGTTCGTTCCTGCGTTACGACAAGCCGTCGGTTTGCCTGGTATCTAGGTTAGGTTAGGCCACGAGAAATACATTAGAGAAGAGAAATCCGAGGCATGTTGCCTGTATAATAGAGCCAATACCCATTTCAACTACGTTGCGAAACGCTGTTCCATGAATCCCTGTATCCTTTGTGATCATTCGTTTGGCTTCTTTGACTCCATGAGTAGCGCACGACGACAACTCCTGGAAGTGAGGATATGAAAACTCGGACGAGTCGGAGTGACAAGAACAACGGACAATAACTACCAAGATAGGAGGACTACCGCCCATAAACAAAGCCACCTTTCTTTGTGTCATCCGTTTCGGTGTCGAGACCTTCAACAATGGACAAGGCCTTGAGAGCTCAGTGGGGGGTGGGGGTGGGGGTCGGGGTCGGTCCGAGGTGGGGGGCTTCGTTTTCCTGCCCGTAATAGCTCCTGCCCCGAGTCAAGTCACAGAACATGACCTCATCCTCCGGCGTCCTCCCCCTTCCCCCCTCCCTTCAACATCGCAACACCACGGTCGGAAACCAGTCAACCATCCAACGTAGAGGACCGAGAATGTCGCCAATTAAGGCCCCGGTCAACCTTCCAGAGCTTGTCAGGGCCGCTTTCAACAACGCTCGCTCAAACGGCGACCTGACATACTACGCGACCCAGGTCACCGTGCTTCATGCCAGCTCGATCCCGGTGAGTCTGCATCGCCGCTACCTGTGACTCGCATGCAGCTGAATTGATACCCTCTCTGCAGTTCCAGCTCCGCTTCTCGCCCGCTTTGGCAAACAAGCCGACCGCGTCGAGGTCCAAGTCTGGCGAGCCCCGGAAGCCCTTCGATCCGTTCGAGAGCCCAGAGAAGGGCCCCCTGTTCATCGTCGACCTTCCCGATTCGGGTCATAACCTGGTTCTGAACAAGTTCGCAGTTGTGCCGCAACACTTCATATTGGCCACCAAGGAATTCAAGCAACAGACCCACCTCCTCGAGCCTCGTGATTTGGCAGCTACCTACGCTTGCATCGAGGCCTACAGACAATATGGACATGCCCATGAGGGAGGGGACGGCGAGCTATACGCATTCTTCAATAGCGGCCCGCACTCGGGAGCAAGCCAGCCACACCGTCACATCCAGCTTTTGCCTGTCGCGCGGATGAGGGACGGGCTGCCGGAGGACTCGCGGTGGGATGTGCTGACAAGACGCCTGGGCTCGTCCGAGGCCTCGGGCGTACCATTCTCCACCTTCGCAGACAAGATCCATCGCGATATGACGCCCGAAGAGATGCACTCCATTTATCTGTCACTTTTCAACTCGGCAGTCGAAGCGGTAATGGCCCATGCCGGCACTGTAAACGATCCCCGCGATGGCGATGCTCCCATCAGCTACAATCTGGCCATGACCAGCGACCGTTTGGTTGTCTTGCCTCGATTGGCTGAAGGGGCGAAGATCCGCCAGGATGGCACGCCGGTGGGCGAGCTGTGCCTCAACGGGACGGTCCTGGCCGGAACCGCTCTGGTGAAGAACGAGGCCGAATGGAACGTGCTGAAAGAAAAGAACGACGGCGTCCAGTTGTTGGAAGTCTTATCGAAAATCGGCCTTCCTGTAGATGGGGGACACGCTAGGAAACTGTGAGGCGGGGAGAAAAGGAGGGGGTAAACATGCCTTCCAGCCGCAAAAGGAAGAAGGAAAAAAACTCGCAGGCAAACATTTGCACAACGACAGGGCTCTCTAGCTGATTAAGTACAAGTAAGCAGGGGGAAGCAGCCATTCCATTCGACTTCGAAATCCAAAACTCGCTGTCGGACCACGCTCCCCGCATCGGCATGTCGCTTTTGTTGTCAAAAGTAAACCGCTCTGCTGTCGTTACAATTCTTCAATCACAAATCCGATCTCACATCGCAATGCATCATCCAACCTTACCCACACCAACGCATCACCCCATCACCCCGGAACCTTTCCGCCTGGCATCCCTATGCGGCCAGCACGAGTTCGTCCCATTTTTTGCGACACGTAGCATTTCCGAACAAGTACGAACCGCCGTTCCGTTGGATGTACTCCGCTACCTGCTTCCAGGGGATCTTGGTTGAGGAGGGATCGTTGCCCTTGGCGAACTTGCGGACAGCCCTTTGAAGCAGGTGAATCTGCACGTCACACCGGTCAGCTTGGTTAGGCAATTGATGTCACAAGGAGGGGGGGGGGGCACTCACGTCCTTATCGGTCCACTCGGGTTTCCGGACTCTGGCCTCTTTGCTTTTGGTGAGTGTGCGGTATCGACCGCGCAGAGTCGACTCGGCTTCGGTGAAGTTACCCTTGACCCGGATCTCGCGGTACGTCAGCCCGTCTTGCTTGGCCTTGAGCAAGTATTCATCCTTGGCAGAACGCTCCGCAAGATCTACCGGAGAGGGTTCTGTCGGGCAAGGTTTCGACTGCTTCGGCCGGAGTTCCGCCTTGTGCGTGGCAGGCAAGTGCTTGCGAGATGGAGACCCATGGCGGCATGAGGGGTTGCCTGAGTCGGCTCGCGACGACCGCGGATGGTCCGGAAGCTCTTTGCGCGGCCTTGGCGCCAGCATTTGCTGCGCCATAGGGTCGGACTTGGTGGCGGTGCAGCTACCATTGCTCTCCAGCATCGGAACCCTCGTTGCTTCTTGTTGATCTGCCATACAGCACTGGCGCCCAGAGAGCTGGTCTTGCGGTGTTGGGAAAAAGAGGAGGGGCGTCGGCTCAGAGAAGGGCGGCGGCGACGGGGGATCCCCTTTGGTGTTGGTGAGATCCTCGTGCACAAAGGAAGAGCTCGGGAAGGGCGAGTTGGCATACTCGAACTGATCCGAAGAACTGGGAACAAGTGCAGCACAACCGACCGGAACGAAGGGTTCGAGGAGGTTGGAGGCGCCTGCAGAAGAAAAGCTCCCAAAACTTGTGCCCGCGTCCGAGAGGGCAAAGCCTGCAGAGGACGCGGGCATGATTTGGTCCATGCTGTTCGGCGTCTGCATGGGGAGACCATCAATGCAGGCAGAATCGAATTGGAATTGCATCGGAGCAAACATGGATTGGATATCGGTCATGTCATGGACTCCAAAAGACGACTGCCATGGCTGGTTGGGATCCATCACTGGTCGTTTGTTTCCGGAAAAGCCATCCGGCCGTTGCACCCTTTGAAAAAAGATGCCGTGATCAGGGTCAGCATAAGGGCTGCCCGCGGTGCCGGCCAGGTACCTGTTCCGGAGTTGCTGGACCTGAGGCATGACGGGTCAGTCAATGGCTTTGGTTTTCCATCACATCTCAGAAGAAGCTTTGAGAGCGAACGGGGGAGCCGGTTGTGTGTAGATGGGGGGAGGGGGGAGCCAACGCACCTCGAAACTGTCTTGGATTCCGTCTGGCACGCCGGCAAAAGACCAGTCCTCGCTCGTCATGGCGCTCTGCTGTTGTATTGACCTGGAGCTCAAAGAATGCTTGCCGTTTCGCGCGATCAGTTTTCTCTGCCGTCTGTCGTTGGAGCGCTGTGGGACTTGGGCTTTCATGAGCTGCTTAAAGGCGAAGATGTCCGAGCCATGGAAGGCCAAACGGGGAGGAGCGCTCATAAACATCTTGGACGAAAGATTTCGAGGACTATGAGAGACGGCTGTGACGGATGGTTTTTTCCCCTTCTCACCGCTCCTTCCTCTAGGGCTCTGTCGGCGTCCCGTGCTGTCTCAACTTGCACGCACGATGTCGTCTTCCGGGCAGTGTTCTTTGATCGAAGAAGGGAAGTCGTGGAGGCAGTTCCGGCGGTCAATGAAGAATTCTGGGCGGGTGATGCAAGATGCAGCGTGGGATCCCGAGGAGTTCCACGGATGTGTGCCTGATGTATGTGGTGTTCGCTTCGACGGGAATAGCGGTATAGGGGTTCGTCTACGGCTAGCAGCCGAAGAGGTGGCAAGGCCGAACCGGTTCTCGTTCGTTCTCTCGCCAAGTTTCAAGAGAACGGGGATACTCAAGATGTTCGGGTTGACCAATGAGACAGACGGAGACGAACGACGAGCAGGTCTGCAAGAGGCTTAAGCTCGGGGAGGGTTATGACACAACAAAAGTGAAGAACCAAAAGGCTGGGGTGCATTCGATGACAGAACAAACCACCGAGATGAGAAGGGATTGCTGTGGTACGAATACAGGACTCAACAAGGAATATGAAAACAGAAGACGGGCTGACTGATGATCAACCAAGACATCATCGATTTGACGGGAGAGGCATTCTTTTCAACTACGAAGGGGCGGGCATAACCCCCCCGCTATTCCCTCCCGCGATCCTGGCATACATGGTTCGACCACAGCTACCACGGGACGATGAAACTACGGCGACGCTCCAGTCCCGATCTCCTGTTCCCGCACGAGCAAGTCTGCCCGGAAGAACCTCATACATGGCCTCAATGGACCATTTTGAGCAAGATGCGCATCCGAGGCGGCTGCTTCGACATTCGGCCGTATATGGAGCCTTTCCAGGCGCGGCAGACGAGGGAGCCTCGCCGTGCTGCAGGAGTCCCCCCATGGATTGATGCGGCCTGTGCATGGCTCTGATGCCGTAGCTGTAAATCTGTCAGTTTTCAGCCTCTTCTCATTTTGCCACCAAACACATGGTGCATGATACGTACTGGCTCCTGGGAAAAATCCACAACGCAGATTACGCGCGTATGTATAATGCTGGAGCGTGGTATCGCCTCAGGGATAGATGGATTATCAAGGTCAGTCAGTTTCCCTCAATCTGCGGACAGGTGGTTGGAATACGCTTCTGAGGCTGCGTTGAGCACCGTCGTGTTCCCGACCCACCTCGCTTTCTATGGCTTTGGCGAGCCAGGCCACATATGCAATTGTACGGGTCCCGTATCCCTGTTCTTCAAGCGAGGTCTTACCTAGATCAGAGATACGTTCCATGCTAATCCCGGCTACCCTCCGGCCCAGGTGGACTCTAGCGGCAAGCGTTTACTGTTGATGGTAAAGGTGGAAAGATGAAGATGGCAGACCCGTTCTCCGCGGTGTCGTAAGGGACCAGCACCTGCGTATCGAACGGCGTTTGACGCCAGCGCGCGGGTGGCAGACCTGGCATTCTGCCGTTCGCCGGTCCCAGATGCTGAGTGTTCTAATCCCGGACCTTTAGGCTTTGGGCCGCCTCTGGCAAAACAAGACCGGGCTCATGCAGAAAGAGACCCTACTACCTGGACCTGGCAAGCCCGGCGACGGTTCGACAGTTGGTCGGGGCTCGACTGCGTGGCGGGCCAGGTCCGGCGGCGTGTTGATTAGCAATGTCCTATGCACACTGTGTATGTTTTGCATGGTTTGCGGGCGATGCTGTGGGGAGGCAGTGCACACTGCCTATCTGATGATGGGAAACAGATGTGCGGGCGGCAATCGGTCAGAAGTCTCGATGCCAATCTGTCCCAAGATTCAGACCAGCCAATAGTAAACAGTGGAGAGATGCGGCGTCAGGCCACCATGAAGAGTTCCCTGTCCAATACCATGGAGTCCGTATCAAGTATGCATCTAAGCATCATGAAAGCAGGTGGTTCGGATCTCGAATGCCACGAGTAGGATCCACACATTCGACAGTTGAAAGAGACAACAAACCCACGTGTAAGACGGCAAAAGGCCCAACCAAACCCATCTCCAACTAGGCCACTTTTTGCTAATCTCTCACGGGCCAGGATTGTAGGTCTTCCGTTTCCCGGGCCGTGGAAGAGTCGAGATTGGACCCAGCACTTCTTTTGGGAACGGGTGGTTCTTCCGGGCCGGTGGAGAGGCCAGCAGTACCACCGACTTTCCGACTGGGAGTGGTCAAGATGCGACAAGGGTGGCGGAGAACTTGCATGGGTGGGGTTGAGATGGCTGCAAGACGGCGAAATCCATTCCTATTCCCTACCTACCTGCATGTGGGAAGTCCGGCATGTTTATCTCTCTGTCCCATGCATCTAGCAGGCAAAGGGGCCAAACCCAAAGGTGATGCGAGGTTCAGGGCCTTGGCAGGCAGCAGGCATTGCACGGATGAGGGGCAGACTCGGTTGGAATACTGACTTGTCATTTTCACTTCGTAAAGAAGAAGCCGAAATGAGATTCGTCTTTCGGTTTGCAGGCTGCGGAGGCGATTCGGGAATGAAGTCGATCCACCGGTAGACTTTCTCAGGTGAAAAGGTGAAAAACCGTCGGGCCTAATGGGAGTTGAACACCAGGACGTTGCCCATACAGAAAGCCTCTTGCCTGCAGCTCACAACAAGGCACTCTGGGTTTCCTCACATCGGCAGAGTACTGAGCCACTTCAAATCAAGCGAGCTCGTGGGCGAAGCCGGGGCCCCTGGTGGCCGAAGTAATAAAGCTCATTCTCACACAACGTCACTGTTCGTGCTGACTGAAAAGTCGGGTGTTTGGTACACAGGTTCTCAAGCTCGAACGCTTGCGTAGGGATGAGCTGACTACTAATCATCAAAAGCAACCACGCCACGCATACGCTACAGTGTGGCCGGGCCGTCCGTTCCCGTCCGCGGCCGCAGCTTTCCCCCCATCCCTGCAATGACTTCCCATCTTCAACCTTGCGGAATGCGAGACTCTGCCCAAGTAGCTGGCCTATCGACATGAAGTGGGACAGCGGCAGGGGTACCTATGCCGACTCCTCATGCGGGTCGCTCGATCTGCACAAGGTTGCTTCAGCTGCGACGAGCAAAAGATAGGTGAGTTGCAGGGACTGCTTAACGGCCTTGCGTGCCAATGAGGGTGCGGGTCGAGTGGTCACGGCAGCATGGAAAGTCACTTGCTCCTGGCTGCAGAAAACCGACTACGTCACAACGGTCCAGTGCCTCCATGGATAAGACCTTTTTCATAATTCCGGACCGGTTGGCGCTCAAGTTCCATGTAACGGTGGCTCACGGCAGCGAAATCCCAAGATTCCCAAATTGAGAGCCGGATCTGCAACGCCCGGGGTGGTCGATGGCGAGCTCAGGCCACATGCCGCGAACACCCGCCATGCTGCTATGAGTAATGATAAATGGGCGGAGATACGGCGTGGTAGGCAGATTCTGTCACTTGGGTGATCTCGATGCCAATTAGATCATCTTGATGGATCGAGCCTAGATCGCCCGCCGTAAAATGAGAAGACTCGGACCAGGTTAGGAGCCCACGTTCTGGAAACCGAGGCAAGTATTCTCCACCCTCTCTGTGAGTGTGCTGAATCATACGGTCACACCATACCCCTTTTCTGGCGAGATGTGTGTGCTTGGTTTGATTGGATCAACACTCTCCCGCTTGGTATCCAAACAGCGGTACCTACTTGCGTGGCTGGCTTGAGTCGACTTCTTGGGAAAAGGGTGGCGGGAAGAAATTCTGCCGGTTAGTTCGGGGAAATCAAACATTTTGCTTATATCTCTCCGGAACAAGCCGCAGATGTGCCGGTGATTTGCTTTTTTTCTTTCTTTTTCTTCTGCTGAGCAACTGCGGCGGCGGATATGGCTTTCTTGCAGCAGGACGGCATGTACCAAGTTTCCCCCTTTCTCTTGACTCACGCATGGCTGAACGGTCCCATTTCACGGGACGGCAAACCACTTGTACCTTGGGGCACATGCGGCTCTGGCCGTATGAGTCCTTGTCGAAACCGGAGAGCCGTGTCTTGAACTTGCCCTCAGAGTCTTCGCAGGTAGCTCTGTCGCCTTGCCGGTTCAGTTTGTACATGACCTGTTTGACAGTCGCCACAGGGAGCAAACGCCGTCCTGGCGAGACAAAACAGACGGCCAGCCCGTTCACGCCCCCCGCCCCCCCATGCCCATTTTCTGTCGCCACCAGGGAATGCAAGGAACTCTTTAAGCCACACGACGCCGGTTTCTGAGTCTTGTCGGCGTATTTGATAGACCGTCATCCACGAAGCCCCGATATAATGCCAGATGGTTAATACAAAGGCCGGTTCTACAAGGAAAATACCCACTCCTTCGGCCACCCTGCTAGGCAGTCAAGATGAATCATGCGGATCTTCGGAACGCTAACATCTGCGGTACAAGTCGGCTTGGTATCGTTTTGGTGCTGTTCACCTTGAGTCGTTGCTTGGCTGACGTTCCCAGCCTCGTTGATAGTGGCTACAGCCCTCGGCCATGATCTTGTGCTCCATGCCGCTTCCCAATGTCCAATTTGAACTCAAACCCCTTCTATGTGAACAAAGGTAAAACAGCGATGAGCTGTGAGTGCTTGCCGATCATGTTGTCATGTTTGTTTGGCTCATAATCACGATGGTCAGATCTTACATGACGTGCTGGAGCACAAGTATAATCATGTCATTGTACAAACATTGATTATCAAGCTAGTATTTCACATGACATTGAGCACGCCTGTGGAAAGGCCTTCAAATCCAGGTACATGACAACTCGATTACTTAATCACTCATTATCCAGCTTCGAGCTGACTTAAGTTTTGTACTCCTACATATCAACATAGTTAATTAACTCTCCAAATGGCTAGTTGTTTTCCGTCATCCTCCCCCCCTTTTTTTTCCTTTTTTTTCTATTTGTACTAGAAGTACGTGATTGTTCTATTATGCTTGAACCATCAATGCGCCCAATTATACTTGCGAATACGACTATACCCATCAATAGTTGCAAATCAGTGAGCGGATAGCATCTGCGTACAGCGTTGAGGGGAGATTTGCTTGGATCGCCGACTCTCTTGCCAGCAAAAATCTATGCTTCCACGGAGCTGGCAGAATCTTGCAACGGAACTCATGAAGCGCGCTATAACTTGGAAGCAATATGTGTTGACGAGTTGTTTGCTGTTTAGTGACCTTTTGACTTCGCCTGATTGTTAGTATGCTATGATTCATGAGACGTGTTATCCGTCCGGTAAAAGCTATATTTGACATAGAAAGAGACCTTGTTTCGTTGGTATCCAACCACCCGGGTTCCAAAAAAAAAAAAGAAAAAAAAGCAGAATACCTTTCACCATCTACCCACCACCACCACCACCACCATCACCACCACCACCATCGCAATAGGCCACCTAGCCCTCGATACACTAAAAAAAGGCGCAATTACGAGGCTCTCGTGGATATCTCGAGGCCAAGGGCATTGAAGACAAGAAGAAGGAGCTTCTTAGACTGGGATATAAAACGACAAGTTTCTAAATTGATCGTATTCGTACTGTTTTGGTGCTATTAAAGAAAGGTATCATGTTTCTTGGAGCTCCACTGCCAATATAATATACCACATGGGATGAGACTTACCAGTGCCCATCCCGCGTGGAGATAAATGGGTTGTTCGAGACTTTGGGACCTGACTAATGATATCTCGGGCTCTTGTTCAAGTCGGCCGTAACGAGTGTTTTGAAAAGTCCGTAGACGGAAGCAGCTTTCTTGTGTTTCAGGAAAGACAGAAGCATCAGATGAGAACAAATCCATCTGAATGGCTTAAGGATAGTACAGGAAACAGGTGAGCATGCCTCTCTCGATTCTTACACTGCGATGAAAGGCAAGTGCTGTACCACTGTGTCCTTCACGCCCATATCCACTAAATGACGCTGTGTTGCAATCATAGTATCTCTTTTTCCAGTGTTCAAGCCAGAGTTGTTTCTCACTACGGGGAAATTGAGGTTGAAATCAACCTAGCCCTAAATGGAAGGATATTTGGGTTTACCAATGAAAACCAGTCCATTCGGCCGGGTTGCCTGACCTCAGATAGACTTCCTTGGCAAACCGGCCTGTAAAGTTCTCGCAAAGTTTCTCGGTCATGTCTTAGTGCCAGCTGATGTTCATTAGAAAGGAAGTCACCGAATAATACGTTGTGAAGTTAGGGTCTCTTAATACACCCTGTGACAACCTTGCTCCGATCATGAGCTAAACTTCGGTCATGATGCCATTCATCCTTTCTCCTGGAGCCTTGATCTCATTGTAGACCAAAGAGGCAATCAGAAACCCCACAATTATACCTTTTGAGTTAAGTATCCAGAGTGACGACATATGTTGTCGACTATACGTGGTTCACGGCATGGTGCCGGGTGGCTGGTCATCAACCTATCACGCTGATAGGACGGCCCCATCAAGCTACAGATTCTCTAGCCATAGCAGAGAGTTGCGGCCATTTTTGTTAACATGCGATGCTTAAGTACAGAGCAAGTTGCAACTTGTAATTCCATCGTCGCTAGGCTGCAAAATTCCCGGTTGTGAATACTTCGGCTCAGTAACCGTAGCCTGAATGTGACCACGTCTGTACATGTATCAATTATCCCGAGAAGAAAAGTCTTCAAACCCCACAAATCAACGGATACTGTCTTCACGGCTCGAGAGCGAAGTTTCACCACTAGGAAAGGCAGCCCTTGCCGGCATATTAAGGAGTGGAGCGACCGACAATCATTAAATTGCAAGGATAGGTAAGCTCGTTGTACACGGTGTTCCGGTAAACTCTTCAAGCTGGATGGCGAGCTGGAAATTCTGGCGAAATCTGGCTATACACACTAACGTTCTCCTTGTATATGAATTGCGGTGAAATATACATCCCAAGTACTGATGCTGTTATAAATGCTTTTGCAATAGCGTTGAGTCTACAAAGACCAGAATAATCGGCACCACATAGGTATTCACCTGTCTGGCAAGCCTGTCCAGACGACACTACAAGAATAGCATGACCCTGAAACTCTTGACTACGGTGAATCAGACGGCTGCCGCTTGACGCTTTGAATGATGTTGATACTTGGACAAGAGATGGAAACTTCGAGTATCTTCCCTTGGCAGCATTGTGCACATACACAGAAAAATTCTCAGAAGCAAAGACATTTCACAACAATCATCTGACTCAAGGCAGCTTATGAACCCGCAGCTTGTCAATTTGGCTCACGCGTTTGCTGTAGCCTTTGCTGCAAAGAACGAGTTTGGCGTTGCCTCCCAGTCGGTGGAACACAACCGATTAATGGTGCGACCCAGCTTGAACTCAGCAGACCGATGGTCAAAGGTCCCTGGGTATGTATGGCCAGCCCCGATTATTCAGCTCATGAGTACAGAATGACTCCCTGCTTGCCGGCTGGCCTTGCCGAACTGGCCCCTCTGATCTGCCCGTCGTTAATCTAATGGCGTTCTGCGATCTTTTGGAGAGCAGCCAAAGAGTTATGATTGGTTGGCCAAAGGAGATGGTGTGAGGCAGCGAAAGGTAGGCTACAGAGTTCTGGAGAGGGTTTGAATTTATTTGCTGAAACAAAAAGTCTAACATGGCCTTACATGGACGAGTCCTCGACGAAGTTGTGCTAAGCGGGACTTTGAAACATACTCCAAAGTTAATTTGCGGTTCAAAACCCGATTTCATCGACATTTGTGCGCGATCTTCCTTTGAGATACACTGAAGCTTGTCATACCTGGCTAAATCGTGCCGGGGGACTTTGCGATGCCAATACTGGATAAGCTGATCTTTGGAAAGCAAGGGGGACATACTTTGCCGAGTGGCGGTGTTTGAGCGAATGAGGAGGTTGATCTTCACATTATGTTAGAGCAGCAGTGGATCGGACACCTCGTTCTCACGCTAGGCTTAGTTCATCGTATGATATGATCGACGTCCATTGCGTTGGGAGTTAAAGATAACGGAACTGCTGGCCTGTATGAGATTTTCTTGAGACATTCTCTTGATATTCTATTACTTTTTATTTGCCAATTTCCGGTTGGATAACTCGTCCAGCTCATCCTGCCAAGTCTCACTCTCCCCACCTCAAATCAGAAGATGACCAGGCTGCAATGACGATTGGGAGCTTCACGGAGTTTTCGTCACTTTTCAGGCATCCACTTGGCAGCCGCTAGCTGCAAGGTAAGCGCGCTTCCGGTTACAAATAAAAACCAGAGGCATTGGGTGGTTCTGGTCGGGGGCCGTTGGGGGCCATAGCTACGCCTCGTTGCAACTCTGCAACCGTCCCAAAAGCCTGGCATCACGCAAGTAAGCCGGCCCGATCACGCAAGTAAGACGGCCCCATCACGCAAGTGAGACGGCCCATGGGACCAGCCGACAAGGCGGAAGTAAAACTCCTAGGTAACAAATACCGCTTCTAGACTACAAACACCGAAAGGGTAGGCATCTTTGCCTGCAGCTTGGCTACAGCCTACGTGTGAGCTTCAGCCAGTTCTGCTGCACTACCCTACACCAACATCCAGCTTCGATTACAGAAGTTCTTCAAGCCGAACCAGTTGGGGTCGATTTAGGATGGCGCAGGCATATTGTTGCTGCAAGGGTTGCAGATCCAATTGTAAGTAAGCTGATTTGGACGAGCTTCATGCCGTTTGCAGCAATAGCTGTATCGTTCTGCGAATGGTGCGTTAAACTACGTGGCCATTCAATCCTCTAAAGAGCTCAATAACTGATATATAAAGGTTTGCGTTCTCTTCCTCGACGACGCATCTGGTTTCCCAAAGACTACAGGACGCAAACCAGCCCCTCTATCGCACTCGTCATGACCTGGTTTCTCTCTTCCCAGACAATTTTGTGTCTTAGAAACCTCATGATCAGGTTGGTATGCTCGATCGCTCTTTGCCTTATCGCCAAGTACGTCTGGCGGGCGTTTCTCTCCCCCCTAGCGAAGTTTCCTGGGCCACGAATTGCCGGCATCACAAAACTCTACGAGGCTTATCATGTCCTTGTCAAGAATGACTGGCTTGAAAATCTGGTCTCACTTCACGAGAAATATGGTATGGTCTATTTTCTTGATACCATATTTGTTGCACCGCATGCCTGATACTCTATCCCAGGGCCTGTCGTTAGGATCGGACCAAACGAACTCCATTTCATTGATCATCAGTTTTGCTTAGAGCATCACAAGCGCGCAGACCTTTTAAAGTGCGATAACTATTACGGTCTTCTCGGTAAACTCCTGGGTGGCCTGGCCAGCGCGACCAAGCACTCGAGGAGAGCAGCGGGCATGCGCCCAATCTTCTCTGGGCAGACCCTCGCCGAGTTCGTTCCCACTCTGGACAGACACCTCGAATCCCTGCATTCGCGCCTCACGGATGCTGCAGTGAACAGCCAAGTCGTCAATATGACATACCTCCTCTGGGCTTTCACCAACGATGTTATGATCTCGTACCTGACTGAAGAGGACTACGGGTGCCTCAAAGCTTTTGACTTGAAAGCCATTCACGATTCCACGCGAGCTTTCAGCGCCATCGACCTTGCCACAGTCCTCAGGTGTATGCCTCCCGTCAAACTCATCTTTGACTATGTTCCTGCTCTCCGGCGCTACTCGCCCCTTGGATGGTTGGATTCTGTAAGACATCCTTAGCCAGGAAGTACAACCACTCTTATCTTCGTTTTCTGACATGAATTCTAGTTGATCGGTTCACATGTTAAGCCCATAGTCAAATCCTGGGATAGTGAAAATAGTCATCAGGGTGTTTTGGCTCGTATTTTCAGCGAGGTTGGCAACGAGACTCACACCATTCATGAGTCGTCCCAGGCAATCTTTATCGGCAACGAATCACTTCTAAGCAACCTGACTTTTGTTCTCCACCATCTTATCAAAAATCCAGAATGTGTGAAGAAGATTCGGGCTGAACTCGATACACTGGACCTCGGATTGTACGGATATAGAGTGTGGAGAGATCCCAAATCGGTACAACTAAGATATCTTGTACGTACCATCTTTCGCGATCCATATGGCAATTTCTCACCATCGCAACACTAGGACGCAGTATGCAAGGAGTCAACTCGGTTGAGTTCACCGAGTTGGCATCGACAACCAAGACAAAGCAAACAACCAGTCAATTATCAGGGTACAATGATACCTGCGATGGTAAAGCATCTCACCTGCTTTTATGGTGCAAACTATTCTAATACGTGGCAGGCCAGCATAAGCTTCACATTGAGCTTGCTTGAGCACGACGCTAAACTATTCCCCGAGCCGAATGCCTTCAAGCCCGAAAGGTGGCTTGGGTACAGTCAGCAAGCAAAGGCAACTAAAAGTCATTCCGTCACGTTTGGCACTGGCACAAGAACATGTCTAGGACAGCAGTATGTTTTTTTCACAATGCATTTAGTGAGTTGGCTTACCGACTTACCATAACCAGTATTGCGCACAGGGTTCTACGCAAAACAGTCGCACTTATCGTGTACAACTTTAATATTTCAGTGTGGGACGAAAGCCTCGACAAAACGGAGGGATGCCGATACTTGAGCACCTATCCAACAAAAGGTCAAGAGGGCTACATGAGAGTTCGATTGACTCCGAGATTCAATCGCAGTGCATAGCGGCAACGAAGTTTGTTCTCACCGTTATTATTCCCTAGAAGCCCTGTGTTTATTTCGTTAATATCCCCATGTTGTACAACTACACTTGGGATATGGAATCTTTTTCAGAACAAACCGTTAATTTTATTGTTGTTCAAAATGGATACTGACTTGAAAATGAATCATAATAAGCCCTTTTTGTTGCTAAATCATACTTGAGTCTTCGGAGCCAACCCACCCTGCGCTGGTCTCAACTCATCCGGTGTAACTTTCCCAGGTTTGAATTCCCACGAGCTTCTTGGTCACGAAGTGTCCAGACCTGGGCCGCTTTGCCGATGGAAATCCGTGGGTCGCTGGATATTCGATTGAGATGATCAAAGCATGCTAGTATGGCACTCGGAGACATGTCCGGCCCCCACAGAGCATTGCTGGTAGGCCAACGAAGCATGCCGCGCGGGGCCGTAGATATTGTGGGGCAGGCTACCACTGCCGGACTTCTCCCCGGTGTGGAGATCTCAGTCTACAGCCAGAATTGGCTAACATAACGGCTCAATTAGAGCTGCCTGCTTGTGCTGTGATGGACGCTTTAAAGCATTGCTCTAGAAGCTTACAAGAGTACCAGCGGAGAGCGCAGGGTTATTGTAGCAATATTCGATATTTGCAATACCTTGAGAATTGCGAATTGTCATCTGAACGTTGTCCGCTCAGACTCTCTCTACGAGCCAAGGAAATAGACAAATCACTATCCAAACCCAAGAAATTAATAACAATTATATGCGTAACGACTATAACCACACGCAGCCTCATCACATCGCCTATGGTTTCTTTCAGAATGGCATCTGAAGCAAACCATATCCTCATCACGGGTGCTGCCGGCTTCATAGGCCAGGAGCTGATCACCGCCCTCCTCCTCTCTTCCCCCTCGATCCATCTCACGGCAACAGACATCACGACGCCGCGCATCCCACCAGGATCCATCGCCCATGCATCCCGCGTAACAGCTGTGCAAACAGACCTCACTTCCCCCGAGGCAGTTGCGTCCCTCCTCGCGCATCACTCCCGCTTCAACGCGATCTATCTCCTCCATGGCATCATGTCCGGCGGCGCCGAGGCGAATCTTGACCTCGGCCTCCGCGTCAACCTCGACAGTCACCGTTTCGTTCTTGACGCGCTCCGTCAGGAGACCTCTCCGCACCGCGGCACTGTCGTCATCTTCCCCAGCTCCCTGGCCGTCTACGGGCCCGCGGCGTCGGGGCAGGTCAACACCGAGTCGACGTTCACGACACCGCAGTCCTCGTACGGCGTGCAGAAGCTCATGATAGAGACGCTGCTCGGGGACTACTCGCGTCGCGGGCTCCTGGACGGGCGCATCGTGCGGCTGCCGACCATCATCGCGCGGCCTGGGGCGCCGAGCGCCGCGGCCTCGTCTTTTGCATCCGGCATCGTGAGGGAGTCGCTCAAGGACGAGGAGAACGTCTTGCCTGTGCGGCCGGAGCTGGCCATGTGGGTGTGTTCGCCGAGGACGGTGGTGGGCAACTTGGTGGCGGTCAAGGACATTCACCGTGACCAATTTGGACGGTCCAGGGTCGTCAACCTTCCGGGAGTCACCGTTACGGTTGCTGATATCCTGGATGCCTTGGAGACTATCGGGGGTAAAGAAGCACGAAGCTTGGTCAGAGAGGAGAGGAACCCCCAGATCGAGGCAATTGTGGAAAGTTGGCCGGCCTTTTTCGACGTTTCAAAAGCGCTCAGCTTAGGACTTGCTCAGGATGGGGACCTGATCACGACTGTAAAAGATTTCGCTACGCGACTTCAAGCAGGACTCTAGATTCTATACCCCGTATTTTCCTGGGTAGTGATGATGGGCGCTATGCGCGCTTATCAGATGGATCGTCTTGTTGAATTTCATGAATCGTTTATACATGTTAGTGGGTATCTAGATGGTTGCCTGTGACTCATTTACATTCCCGAAGAATATTCCGCAGCTCCAATACACAGTCTGTGATTGATGGAACAAGTTTAATCTACAATTCTTGAGCTAAAGTCCGTTTGACTGTCTAATCATCCCATTCCTCATCGAGCTGGTCTATCAATCTGTTCTCGTCCTCACGATTGCGCGCTCTACTGGGGGAGCCAGACAGGTGGCGGTAACCCCGCCTCCCAGGCAGAAGTTGCGCGCACGAAGAGGTTGCGATGATGAAGTTGTCCTGTAGGCTGTAATTAGAGGAGGCTTAAGACGTGGCGGGTACAGGTAAACAACTTACACTGACAAAACTCCAGATCCCAGCCCACAAACTGTAATTTGGGAGCTGGCGCCAACCTCGGGCGTGCGCGACGGTTCTTTGGTAAAAGACACCACCGCCAAAGTAGACCATGACGGCAATGACGAAGATGATGGCAAAAACGCCCCCGGGACCGACGCTGCCCGGCTGGTGGGGCTCAGCCCGCGGACAAGCGTGCTGCGAACGAGCCTCGAAGAAGTATGCGCAGTCATCTGGGTCGGAGCCGACAAAGGAGATATGAGCAGCTCCACCGACCTGCTCGGTATCGCAATGGAAGGAGATTGTGGCGGACTTGCGACGGGGGTTCGAATCCGCGTCGTCCTTGGCCACGGAAACTTTCTTTTCGCTGTTGTTGAAATATTTAAGAGGTGTAGCTTCGTCATCGTCGTCGTCGGCGTACTTGTTGTAGGAAGCATCGGCGTGGACCTGAGATCGCTTGGATTTGCTCTTGTCGCAGGGCGAGCCGTTTTTGTATTGGAGCACAAGTATACGCCCTCGAGTTTGGACGTCCATAGACGATGACCTTTGAGTTGTGCTCGTTAGCTCCCAGTCATTTGTGATTCGCACCACTCGATACGCACCCTATCGAGTAGGTCTCCCCCTTGTACGTGTAGTACGCGCTGACATTCTTGGCTTCGGCCTTTGTCAGCCCCTCCACATCATCGAGGGGTTCAATGACAGGGGCACAGATATTGAGGGTAAAGTTCCGGTTATAATCCCAGCCTCTAGCGTGGTAGTCTGCAGTGATGATCCCCTTTGACGATTTTCCCTCTTCAGGCTTGACGGCGATGTCGGGTCGCAAGTCGTAGAAGGCTCCGGCGCCGCTCTTGGATGCTGCAGTGCATGCCGGGGCGCTCGTGGTCGTTGAAGAAGCTGAGGTATCAGCGGCGCGAGCTGTCGCAGCTGCGAGAAGCAGAACAAGCCTTGAGGAATGCGGGAAGTGCATGCTTATGTTTCGCCGCAATGTGGATCGGGATCCGTTGAAATGAGCGTTCGATCGCGACGTTGGGAAGCGCCTCGGGAGCGCGGGGAGGTCGGTCCGGCGGGCTTCTATGGCATCAGTTGAAGAAGTGCGAGGTCTGGAAAACCGCAATGAAGAGACAGATGCGAGAACCACACACTGTATGAGAGTATCGAGCAAGGGAAATGCAGTCGAAGTCCAGGTGGGGGGGGGAGAATGTGTCAAGATGCAAAATGTCAGAAATGCTAGTGTACTTTGGTCGAAATCATTCGTTAGCTTTTGGATGCAGGGAACGGCGGGATTGACCAGAGTGTGGGCATTAATTGGTGGATGGAACGTCCTTGCAGCGCCGCCGGACGCAGGGCACCCAAGAGGAGGATCCACTTATACGTGCCACGTGACCGTTGCTGGTTTCGTCTATCTTAGTCAGCGTGTCATCTCTACCGTACGGAGTAATTGGCTCAACTTTCGGCACCCTGTACGCTCCTTGCAGGCCTCAGACGGGAAGGATTCGGTTTCGACATTGAAATGGCCAATGATTTTGAATACAATCAAGTGTCGCTCTTGTTGGATAGTCAATGCCAATAAAGTTCAATGAAGAGCACCTTCGGTTCCAGCTTCCGGACCGCCTGGCATGCTTTGTGGGCTGTCATCCGACAATTACACATTCCTTTCCGAGAGCTGTTTCCTCGGTGGAACCACCCCCCGAGGGGAAAGCGTGGTGTCGGATTCGGCGCGCCCCAATGAGAGCATTAAAGTTTTCCCAGCGTCATCGAATCAGGCACATGGGACCACTCGGAACACCACAGCCCCGGCGCGCAACACTCTTCGAGAGCTTCACTGTCGCATTCTTACCGACCGTTGACTGGCGTTGTGGGGTACAAATACATTCTACTCAATCTTGAAGAATCTTCGCCTTCGACAATAGCACCAACGCTAGCACCGATCACAACGCGAAACTCCATCCGAAGCTTTCTTTTGTTGACCGAATCCTGTACACCCGCGACAGGGGCAGATCAACATGGCGTCCAAGTCCAAAAAAACTCTGGCTCAAAAGCCGCATGGTTACGAATTCGGTGGACCGTAAGTAAATCGGGCCTCGAATCTCAGCATCACTACCTCAAGCTAACATGCTCTGGCAGCATCGGCGCCTTCTTCATCTCTTTCGGACTCCCGATCCTCGTCTACCTCTTCATCTTCAGCTGTAACGATGTCTCCGGCTGTCCCGCGCCGTCCCTGCTGAGCCCCTCAACCCTGAAACTCGACCAACTGAAGCGTGAGGTCGGATGGCCCGAGGAGGGCATTTGGGGCCTGGGAAGCGTCAAGGTCACCGTTGCCGTCTTGGGATACTATCTTTTCAATGCGCTCCTCTACCGCATACTCCCTGGAGCCGAGGTCGATGGTGTTGAGCTTGCTTCCGGTGGTCGTCTCAAGTACCGCTGCAACTGTAAGCGGTTCTGGGGTCTTTGTCGTGTTAAACGTCACTAACCGGCGCAGCCTTTGCCTCCAGCATGTTCATCTTGACCGTCTGCCTCGCCGGCACCATTGCCCAGGGCGCCGAGTTCCCCCTTTGGACCTTCATCATCGATAACTACGTACAAGTCGTCACCGCCAATATCCTCATCGCATATGCCCTGGCCATTTTCGTGTACGTACGGAGCTTCAGCGTGAAGCCGAACAACATGCAGCTACGCGAACTCGCTGCTGGCGGACACACGGGCAATATGGTTTACGACTTCTACATCGGACGGGAGCTCAACCCCCGCGTTACGCTTCCCATTCTCGGCGAAATCGATATCAAAGAGTGGATGGAAGTTCGACCTGGCCTGCTGGGCTGGGCTCTGTTGAACTTTGCATGGATGGCCAAGCAGTACCGGACCTATGGCTTTGTTACCAACAGCATCATCTTCACCTCGGCAGTTCAGCTTGCGTATGTGATTGACTGCTGGTGGAATGAGCCCGCGATCTTGACCACCATCGACATCACCACGGATGGCTTTGGTTTCATGCTCGCTTTCGGCGATCTCGTCTGGGTGCCGTTCGTCTACTCGCTGCAGACACGCTACTTGGCTGTGTACCCCAACTCTCTGAGCCCCTTGGAAATGGCCGGCATTGTTGGGGCCATCGGCGTTGGCTTCTCCATCTTTCGTCTGTCCAACAGCCAAAAGAACGCATTCCGCAACAACCCCGACGACCCCAGTGTGTCCCATCTCAAGTACATGGAAACGAAGGCGGGAACTCGCCTCCTCGTCTCGGGCTGGTGGGGGGTCGCGCGACACATCAACTACCTCGGCGATTGGCTGCAATCGTGGCCTTACTGCCTGCCCACCGGCATGGCCGGCTACACGATCGTTTCTGCCGGCACGGGATACGCCGAAGCCGGACTCGAAGGTGCCTTCAAGATGGCCGATGGGCGCGAGGTTATCCAGGGTGCCGCGCGGGGATGGGCGATCCCCATCACGTACTTTTACATTGTCTACTTCGCCGTGTTGCTGATTCACCGTGATCGCCGCGACGACGAGAAGTGTTCACGTAAATACGGCGAGGACTGGGAGGAGTACAAGAAGATTGTGCGTTGGAGAATCGTCCCTGGTCTCTACTAAGAGCCCGCGAAAGGATGGCATGGCAAGTTTCGGGAAACAGGCCCGGTGAAAAGGGCACGATGGATCTGTCTTCGGGCCGTTTCTTCGAGTTGCGGGGATCGTGGAGCCCGTGGGAAGCATGACCTGGTCTAGGGCGTAATCTGGTTCTACATCGTGCATCGTCCGGGTGGTGCTAGTCGTTGAGAACTAGGGTACGCAACCTCGGCATTGGCGTCGTGCAACGGTTGTGCCTGTGGCGTTGATTCGTCCAGGGCGGATCTTACGGCGACAGTCTGAACTATTACGTAGGTAGACAGTCTATAGCGGTTACTGCAAGCTTCTTTTGCGCCTTGTCAACAAACGCAGCCACACACGTAGCGACGTCCCGACTTGGGACAGATTTCGTGGCAAACAAGAACGTACGAACCCATAAGTGAGACCGCCTCTCACGTGGTTAAGTGCAGGCGGAACGTTGCCTGTGTCTATGTTGCCAGCATGCGCTAGACAAGGTAAACACATGACCTAATGATCGTAAAGAGAGGATCCCGTCACCTCTCGCCCTGACAAAAAGATATCACAGCTGTAAACGGGCCGAAAGAGTCGGGAACTCCACCCCTTGGCATTGGGTCGGTAAGTTCATGCTTATTTGCACTAGTTTGAGGGCCTAAGATGAGCCTAGGTATGGTAGATGAACCTTGATGGGGAACTGGGTTACTTGCTTTTTTCCTCGTCGTTTTCTTGTTTATTCTTGTCAACAATGCCTCTCCATCCTGGCTATTGCCATCAATTTCTGATACTGATCCCTTCCCTGTCTCATCCTGGCTGTCTGCACGTTAGGATGGAAGGGACGATAACAAGCAATATATACCTGAGGAAGAGCACCTGTCCGAGAAAGAAAGAAAGAAAAAAAAAAAGGGAAGGGGGAGAGAAGCGAGAAGCCAGCCTAGATTGATCAATTAGCGGGACGACATGCGGGGAAGGATGAGGGGTAGCGACGATGGAGAAACTAAACCGTATCCATACTTGCACAGCGTATGTGTGTGCCGTGTGTGTTTGTGAGTGTGTGTGTGGAGAATTTTGGGTGAGAGTGTCAGCCTGGGCAAAAGGCGGGGGATGCATGTGTTGGTCATGGGGGCGGAGCCGGACGTGGCGTCATGTACACTCATTCCCAGCGGGGTGAAAGTGACTTTCATTAACGATTGAACTGCATCGTACGGAATACACAAGTAAGGTAGCGCCTACATCTGCTAGCCAGTCTGCGGCAAGTCATGTTTTTTTTTTTTTTTTTGCCTGGATTGTTTCTTCTTTCAGATGAAGGATTAGTCAATGATCTAACCGGCAATTAAGCATGAAGCTGGGAGATGAGACGGTCAATCGAGAAACGTGGCGAAAAGGGGGCCCGACTCAGGCACGATTTTAGAGTTCATGTTCGAGTCGCCCGTTGCATCGACGTCGTACTACCGGTATGTAGGTATTTCCGTGATATGGGACGTGCCAATTGCATGACGGACAATGATATACTGGGTAGGACGGCCTTGCCCTAAGCGACGTACTACCGGTATTATATCGAACGTATCCGCACATGTACGTTACCTACCACACTATTTGTACACATCGACGTGAAGGGGAGGCTGTGGGGTAGACTCTAATTTCGATCTGCAGCCTAGAACCAAAAATGCCCATATGTCCGGGGCGACCCATGACTGTACCTACCTACTTGGTAATGGTGTGCGGTCGCTCCGATCCTCTCCTTCCTTCCATTTCTCCCCACCTCCCCCAAACTTGTTTCCTGGTCCCGGGGAAGAGGGAAAGAGCGAAAGAGGCCCCCCCCCGCGCTTCCCCACCCGTTCCGATTCGTTGTTTGGCTTGTTTTGTCCCGCGTCCTCCGTAAGGTTCTGCCCACGCATTTCTCTCATGTTCCCCTCTCGTCCATTACCGACGCTTGATGCCGATTTCATCTACTCCAAGTCACCACCAACTAACCGACATTTTCTCGTTCTTTTCACCCGCGTTGACGTCCAGCACGGCTTCCGTGGCTGCAGCCTCCAGTGACAGCTGGCTCCAGTGGCCCCAATGGCGGACCCTCTGGCTGCTCTTTGCCCATCTTCTTCTGGGCAATGCCTCGCCTGTCATTGCCCTCATCGATCGGCCCCTTTTTGATTATGACGTACCGATCCCATTCTACGATGTACCTATCTAGGTACTCTGCACCTTTGCGACGATGTTAATGACCCGGAAAAGCATCGTCATCATCCTCGTCTCTCCTCCTCCTCGGGCCGTCCCTGACTTCTGCTCCTGCGAAACATGATGGCAACGTCTTTTTTTTTTCTCCTCTGTTTTCGTCCGTCGTACTATCACTCTCCCCGTCAGTTTAAGAGGACATGTTTCAAGCATTGTCTTACTCTGTCTTGGCTCGACACAATCCTCTGTTTCCACACCATCTGACTGACTCTTCTCGTGTGTCTGCCTTGATTGACCGCTTCGTCTTCTCCCACACCCCATTTTTTCTCTCTCCACGTCGATAGGTACTGCTCCTCCCACACCGGCGCATTAGTCGGAAGCGGCGGAATCTCTATTATAGTGTATGTATCCTGGCCCCAGGAATCATCCTAGGGTGGGGTGGGGCAACACCATCCGCCCACAAGTTCCAAGCAGGGAAGCCTTGTTGCATCATCAGATCAGGACCAGTCCGGGTCAACGCCGGTAGACCTGCGAGCCAGGCCCAGAAGCTTGCCTCTCGGCACGTTGCTTGGAGAGGGGACCTAGCTACCCTGGTTTGGACGATCCTCCAGACTTTTCTGTTGACATTAAAGGAGCCGCACCTGCCGTTCGTCTGGACCTTCGGAGTGTACCATAGTGCTTCCTGTTCACGACCTTTTGTTAGTGCTACCGAGCGCCGCGTCACTGGTTAGGATCGACCTACTGGGCCAACCTCGTACTGTAGTTGTCCCTCGATCTTGCCCTGCCCCTACAGTCTCATCACCGGCCTACGCTGTCCGAGAACGCCATACGATGAGGACACAGACTCTGGCTGTTGCCCTTTTGGCGGCAGCTGACCAGGTTGCAGCTGCCGTAACCACAGAACGACAGCTACACAAGGTACGTTGCTCGGTCTGTCGCAGTGGACCACCCGTCTCTTGTTCTCTGTGGCGCCGTCGTTGGCGACTCACCAGCCTTGCCCTTCTTGGAAACCCAAGACATTCCCATTCCTGTCGGGCCTGTGTGTGGCGAGCAGGCCAGGCCCGCCGGGGTGTTATATCCCGATTTTGATGTCTTCCCTCTCTATGTCGTATCGCATCGTCTCTCTCCTTTAGCAACACAGAGAACCCGGTTCCGCAGTCATGCGTTTCCTTCCACTCGCAGGCTCCGCCGTTGGCCTGTCACAACTCTCGAGCCGCTCAGTTGGCTTACAATGTTTACAGCGCGATCTCGCATACTCGCCGCCCGTCTACCCGTCACCATGGATGGACCCCAATGCCGACGGCTGGACGGATGCTTACGCCAAGGCCAAGGACTTTGTCTCCCAGCTCACACTTCTCGAGAAGGTCAATTTGACGACCGGAGTCGGGTGAGTCGATTCGCATCAACTACGATGGAACACACTGATGGAAATATACAGTTGGCAAGGAGATCTCTGCGTCGGCAACGTTGGTTCCGTCCCCCGTTTGGGCCTCCGCGGCCTTTGCATGCAGGACGGCCCTGTCGGCATCCGCTTCTCCGACTACAACTCGGTCTTCCCCTCCGGCCAGACCGTCGCCGCGACTTGGGACCGAGAGTTGATCTACCGCAGAGCCGAAGCTATCGGGTTCGAGCACCGTGCCAAGGGCGTCGACGTTGTCCTGGCCCCGGTTGCCGGACCCATTGGCCGCGTACCAGCCGGCGGCCGCAACTGGGAGGGCTTTTCCAGCGATCCTTACCTGACTGGCGTTGCCATGGCCGAGTCAGTCAAGGGAATCCAGCAGCACGCCATCGCATGCGCCAAGCATTTCATCGGCAACGAACAGGAGCACTTCAGACAAGCTCCAGAGGCACTTGGCTATAACTACACCATAAACGAGTCCATCAGCTCGAATATCGATGATAAAACCCTCCACGAATTGTATTTGTGGCCGTTCCAGGACGCAGTGGCTGCTGGAGTGGGTTCCTTCATGTGCTCATACAACCAGGTGAACAACTCGTATGGCTGCCAGAACTCCAAGCTCATGAACGGCATCCTGAAAGGCGAGCTTGGTTTCCAGGGATTCATCATGTCTGATTGGTCAGTACTTCCTTCCATTCTCTCTAGTCCCTCGTATAACTCCCCCCTCAACCTCCGTTCCATAGCTACTCAGTTCCATCCCGTCTTTCATACTCTCTTTCCTTCCGTCAGATGCCGACTTCAGTAGCTAACTTTCTCATAGGGCAGCGCAGCATGTACGTATCCCCGTTTTTGTTTCATGTCATATGACGACGCCCCCCTCCCAATCAATGACTTGTGACTGACAATTGAATAGGCTGGAGTTGCTACTGCGGTTGCCGGTCTCGATATGTCCATGCCTGGTGACACAGCGTTCAACTCCGGCATGACATTCTGGGGAACCAATCTAACCGTAGCCGTCTTGAACGGCACGCTCCCCGAGTACCGGCTTGATGACATGGCGATGCGCATCATGGCCGCCTTCTTTAAGGTCGGCTTCAAGTTGGATGACGTACCCGAGATCAACTTTTCCTCGTGGACGACGGACACCGTTGGTCCGCTACAGTACTACGCCAAAGAGAACGTCCAAGTCATCAACCAGCATGTCGACGTTCGAAGGGGCCAGGACCACGGTAAACTCATTCGTGAGATCGCCGCCAAGGCCACTGTGCTGCTGAAGAACGAAGGCGCCCTGCCGCTCAAGAAGCCCAAGTTCCTAGCTGTTATCGGAGAGGATGCCGGCCCCAACCCCAGTGGCCCCAACGGGTGCAACGACCGTGGCTGCAACGAAGGAACGCTCGGCGCTGGCTGGGGATCCGGAAGCTCGAACTACCCCTACCTCATCACACCGGACCAGGCACTGCAAGCCCGGGCTGTTGCGGAGGGTTCTCGGTATGAGAGCATTCTCAGCAACTATGACTCTGCCGCTACCACGGCCCTGGTCACGCAACCAGACGCCACGGCCATCGTGTTCGTCAATGCGGACAGCGGTGAAGGCTACATCAACGTGGGTGGGAACGAAGGCGACCGCCAGAACTTGACACTTTGGAATGGGGGAGATGAGCTGGTCAAGAACGTGTCTGCAGTCAACAACAACACCATTGTCGTGATCCACTCTGTCGGTCCTGTGTTGCTGGCTGACATGAAGAACAACCCCAATATCACGGCGATTGTCTGGGCTGGCCTTCCGGGCCAGGAGTCTGGTAACTCGATCACGGACGTGCTCTACGGAGACGTTAACCCCGGAGGCAAATCCCCGTTCACTTGGGGCCCCACTCGCGAGAGTTACGGCGCCGATGTTCTGTACGAGCCCAACAATGGCGAGGGTGCTCCTCAAGACGACTTTAGCGAGGGTGTCTTCATCGACTACCGCTACTTCGACCGGGCGACCTCGGGCTCCAACGGGACCTCCACTGGCGCAGCCCCGGTCTACCCATTCGGATTTGGTCTCTCGTACACGACGTTTGAATACTCCAACTTGGTCGTGACCCCCAAGGAGGCGGTCGACTACACGCCCACCACTGGCGTGACGGAGAAGGCGCCGACCTTTGGCAACTACAGCACCGACCCGGCGACCTACGTTTTCCCGAGCGGAGAGTTCCGTTACATCTACAAATTCATATACCCCTACCTCAACACTAGCGACATTAGCAAGTCGGCCAACGACCCCGCGTACGGACAGACGGCGGACGAGTTTCTGCCTCCCAAGGCTCTGGAGAGCGGTCCCCAGCCCAAGCACCCAGCATCGGGCGCCCCTGGCGGCAACGCTCAACTTTGGGATGTCCTGTACACTGTGACTGCCACGATCACTAACAAGGGCGGCGTTGCCGGCGACGAGGTTGCTCAGTTGTACGTCTCGCTCGGCGGTCCGAATGATCCCGTCAAGGTGCTGCGTGGGTTTGACCGCATTGCTATCGCGCCTGGCGAGTCGGCCACTTTCACGGCGGACATCACCAGACGCGACCTCAGCAACTGGGACACGGTGAGCCAAAACTGGGTCATCAGCGAGTACCCGAAGAAGGTGTGGGTGGGAGGCTCGTCTAGAGACTTGCCTCTGAGCGCGTCGCTCTAAGTAATTGGAAAACTTAAAATAGTAGTAGTCTAATATCATATTCGTTACCACATTGGTTTCCCCTTGGTTGTAGGTGGTGAAGCGTGTCGAAGGCAGGTCAAGGAAGACTAAGTATTTCTTGTGATGACGGTCACATATCATGACGGTATCGGTACAGATGGCAAAGCTCAAAATCCAAGGATGAAGATGTGAATGACTCAAGCAAGCCGCAAAGAGTGACGCAACAGGAACCACAATTCGGATGGAGGAAAGCCCATGATTCCCATGCACGTTGCGCTATGACGTGCATGTGGCGGCACGATGAAAAGTACCAGTAGATGGACGACTGACTGGCACGATGCTGTTCGTCGTGAATGAAGCCGCATCAACACTTGAACAATGCGTCGGCCTTGATGTTGTTGCCCCCGTTACTTGCGTCACCCCATAGAAATGCTTATATCAGACCGAGCTGTGTTGGCACTCACCATAGCACACCGCGGGATCCCCGTCGGTGACGCGAGGTGTCGGGGGAGGGCGACGGTTCAGCCAACCAGACGAAAGGAAACAATTACATAAGCTTTCATGCGTTGTCTAGAAGGACTGGAACAGCAGCCAAAAGTGGGAGCAGCGGCCAGAGTGGGTCCAAGCAGGTGAGGTTAGCCATTCCCTATCGGGAAGTAACGCGGTGATCCGAAAGCCGCTCCAGCCTTAGGGTGATCAGTGGGCAGCAGCACGGGCCCCACGACACTGCAGAATCCTTCCTCATCACAAGGCGGCATCTGCAGTTGGGCTGAATGGGAAGTGTGAGGGAACGGAAGGAAGGAAGGAAGGTGAGTGAGAGAGATTGTGCGTGAGTGGCTGCCGTCGCAATTTTTTTTTCTCCCCTTCTCTTTCCTTCCTGGAAAGTAAGACACAAGGGCCCCGAGCTGCCGAGGACGGACGCTGAAGAAACATTGACATTTGGACAAGGTCTTGTTACCAAAGCAAGAGACCCCCCCCCCCCCTGGACATCCCCTCCTGTTTCGATCAGCCTGTGGTCCCTTCACCCTCTCCCTCGCACACTCACACACACTCTCTCTCCTCTCACTAATTATTGCCTTTTCCGTTCTCCTTCTCCGACAAACCTACCTGGTTGCGACGATTTGTAGCGCTGTGTTTCTTGTAGTCGCCGCATCGCATTGCATCGGCCTACAGTTGCCGTCTCGCTCACTCACGCTTCGCTCGCCCACGTCTCGGGATCTCGGTATTCGAGCCCCCCGCCTCTTCCCACACCTCCTCCAACCATCGTGGTCCAAGCTACCTACCTATCTATCCATACCCCCTCTCACCCGCGAAGGAGCTGCATCTATACTGCACAACATACGTTTTCTTGGACGACGCACCGCAAGCAACGAACAACGCCTAGCTCCTCTTGTCACCGCCGGCCAAGAGCCCCCAATCGACAGGGGGCAATCAACCCTTTAGTATCTATTGCCCTGTCTTTGCACTTCACCCCGCCGCCGCTGCCGCCGCCGCTCGCCCGGCCATCCGGAACCCGAACAGTCACCACGACAGTGCCGAGCGACATCCGTCTCTACAAACCCCCCCCCCCCCCCCCGACTCTGCGCACATCAACGTTCGCCCAGCCAACGTTTATCCCGTTGCCCCCCCCGAACGCCGTCCATCTCCGTCCAACCCCCCCGTAAACTGTAAATTCCTACGGCGGGCGGGCTTCTGAGCTCCACATTTCCGCTCCCTCTGTGTCTGCGTCTCCGCCCTCCACTTGAGAACTTTCTCCGCGCCAAAAAGGAATCCGTCTCACAGACACCGAGCGCATCCCAGTCTCTATCGCCCGCTCCTACGCTTCTAGGCTAGACGCCACAAATCCCGACCCTTCCTGGGTCTGATGCAAGAACCTGTTGCCGCCAGCATGCCCGAGTCGCAATCGACCCCGGATCAGCTCTCTATCGATGACCTGACCCCCGAGGAGGCCAACCGCATCATCCACTCTCATCGCAAAGTCCGCTATGGTGAGTACCCAAGGACAGTGATGAGTAACCCCTTCAGATGCTTGACTCGATTTTCATCTCGCCCTACCCAATCACCCAGATGTGATGATTATTCTTTCCACCAGTGTCTCTCACCGTCCTATCATGAGCTCCCACTAACCCTATCCATCGTCGTTGACTTCGCAAACACTGACCACTCAAAACAGGCACAGCATGCTGGCCGTGTCGCCAACGCAAGGTAAAGTGCGACAACAAACAACCCTGCGAGAACTGCGTCAAGCGCGAACACCCGCAACTATGCTCCTACAAGCCGAACCGCACCGCCTCCCAAGGTGCCCACTACAAGCCTGCCGGCTCTGTCACCACCGAAGCCACCAACAGCGCAACCGGTGCCGCGGGTAACGGCACACCATCGTCCTCCAACAATCGCAAGAGAGCTCACTCACCCGAAGACCCCGTCGCTGACGCCGCCGCGGGCGCGCCTCCCTCGAAACATGAAACCGGCGGCGCGAACTGGTCACGCTCGGCCATCGGTAAGTCATCACTGCCACCACCACTACTACCACCACCATCACCATCATCACCATCATCGGCAACACTGCAGCATGGCCGTTCCGGGTTGATATCTACTGCGTCCTTGTCCTTGTTGGGTAGCAGCAGCAGCAGCGGGTTGTATACTAATCAACCTCTCCGTCGTCCAGTCGCGGCAGGTGTGGAAGAGACCGAGGCCCCCGAAGCCGTAACGCGGTATCTCGGGCAGAACAGTATCCCCTCCCTACTACGTGAGCAGTCGGCCGCCGATGACATGCAGGAGGGTGTCGACATCCGCCAGGACATGCGCTCCATACTTGGTCTCGACACCTCGGCGCCCTTCCCACTCATGTCGTCCAAGCACCTCGACAGCCTGACGAGGGAGATCTCCGCTGAGCTTCCCTCGGATCGGGAAGTCATGAAGTGAGTCTTACGTTCCTTTTGGACGCCTAACCTCCTTCGCCGGCCCTTCCCATACTGACTCCCCTAGACTTTTCCGTACGTACAAGGAAACCCCACAGCAGTTTTGGGGGTTCGTCGTCGACATCGACGACCTCGAGTCCAAGCTCATGGTCTACCTCGAAGACCGCGCTCGCAACGCGAGCAGCGCGATGAGGACACCCAGGCCTGTATCGGCCTCGTGGCTCGCCATTCTCTTCGCCCTCCTCGCCGTGGGATCGCAGTACCACGACTCGCCATATCACATCCGTACGCGAGACTCGCAAAAGTACATTCAGATATCCTTCCATTTCCTGAGGCTAGGCAACTTCCTCCTTAGGTTCGTCAACTCCCCTTCACTCAACCTCGGCTTCCTTTCCATCCCTTAGGTTTTTTGCTTGCTTGGATCCGGCAAAGAAAACAGCTTTCTTCTAACGTGAGGCCCGAATTTTCTAAAACAGACCCACATTCGACTCCATCCAGGCCCTCCTATTAACCAGCTTCGTTCTGCTTAACGACATGAAGGCCGAGGCCTCGTGGGCGCTGCTCGGTCTGACATGTAGACTGGCGCAGTCCCTCGGCCTGCACCGTCCGACGCCCTCGGACGGGAGGGACAGCGCCCGCAACGATGTACAGTCCAAGGAGATGATCCGCCGAAAACTGTGGTGGACATGCGTGTGGCACGACACCCTCACGTCGCTGTCATTCGATCGGTAAGTCCTCCCGCTCCCGTAGATAGATAGTCAAGCCCACCGTGGCTGACGGGACCAGCCCCCCGATGACAAACATCCCCTGCTGTCCGATCCCGACGGTGCAACAAACCGTCGCCGGCGAGTACGGCTACCTCGACACCATGTACCACCTTTGCAACATCATCTCGCGGCGCCTCAACCCGGACGCCGCGACGACCGTCACCTACGAGCAGATGGTCGACAACTGCGAGGCCGTCGAGAACCTCCGCAACATGGTCGCCCCCAACATCCGTATTAAGGAACAGTGCAAGCGGGCCATGGACCGCCTCCAGCACTACGCCGTCCGCCTGCATACCTCCTTCGTCATCTCCGTCTGCTGCCGGCCGGCCCTGCGCCGGGACTGCACCAAGCTAACCCCCGAGCAAAAGAGCTACCTCTCGGAAAAGTGCCAGCACAACCTCGCCGAGACGGTCCGCATGTTCCTCGCCATGCACCAGCTCTCCGTCATCCCCACCCGCAGCTGGGCCTTCACCTACCACGGACTGTCATCGGCGCTGCTCCTCGGCATTCTGGGCGAGACCAAGAACAGCCCCGAGGTCCGTCAGCTTCAGGGCGACCTCATCGCCGCGCTATCCGCGACGGCCGCCAAGGAGGTCAACTCGCCGTCAACGCACGTCCCGAAGACCGATAAAGACATTGAGCTATCCGGCCCGCTGTGGAGGGCGCTGACGGCTCTACGAAACATCTACGAGCACGGCACTATCATGGGCACGTCGCAGATGAAGGGCACCGACTCGAGTGGCACGGCGAGCGGCGCGAGGACGCCGATGCCGGCGATGCTCATGGGCCCCATGGCCACCACCAATGGCAATAACGTCAACGGCGGAAACGACGGCGTGAGTAAGGGTTTCGGCCTCGACCCCCACCAGGACGCCGCCCTCGCCATGGCCGAGATGCAGAACGGCACCACCCTCGCCGAGTACGCTCCCAAGTATGGCCTTGATCCTTCCGTGCCGGAGTCGCAGTCACTAATCAGGCCAAGCATGACATACCCACCCGTCAGCATGGACAACATTACGAACCTGGACCCCTCAACATACATGTCGCCGATGGATCTCTACGAATCGATTTGGTGGGGTAAGTCGCCACGAGTCACAAGGGGGCGGGTGTGGCGAATGAAAAGGCTGACCAGTAACCATTGCAGAGTCCCCCGATCCCTGGAATAGCGGCGTCGATACTATGAATTTTGACTTTGTCGCGCAGCCCCCGCCGGGCCAGCCTCAGCAGCAGTACTATTTCTGAAGGAAAGCGCAATGTAAAAAAGAAAAGAGACAAAGGAAAAGTAGAGTACGTGGAAAAGCAGAAGGCAAAAACAAAAAGAACCATCTAATCCGTGAACCGGGGTGTAAACCCAGAATCTCTGGGGAGGGTTTGCTTACTACTTACGAAGTGTTTACGGATTTGGGGCATGGAAACGGCGCTCTTTTTTTTTATTATTATTATTTTATTTTTATAATCCTTCACCTTGGTTTTTTTTTTTTTTTTTTTTTTTTTTTTTTTTTTTTTTTTGCTCAAAACGATTCTTGTTTGCCGGCCTATTTGTCGCGAAATTTTGTTGTTTTTGGGAACAAAACGGAGTAGGGCAGCGAAGGTAAAGGGAAGGCTGGGCCGACTTTTTTTTTTCCTTCCTCTTTTCCCCCTTCCCCGGTTGAAAGTTTCTCCCCAATGTCGTGGATTCCGGCGTCGTCGCAAGCTTTTTACTCCCTTCTTCGATATGTTGTTTCCTCCTCATCCTCTTCTTATTCGTCTCTTGGAGAGAGAGAGGGAGGGGGGCAGGGAGGGAGAGAGCGCTGTTGGTATTTTCACATGCACGGTGACCGTCTATTTTGAGCTTGTCACGGTGGAGGAGCCGTCCCTCCTTATCGTTGCGTGTACGTACTTGTGTTACTGTTCGGTTAACACTGATGAGTGGGTGTCGATTGTTTGGGTAAGGGGAGGCGGATGGACGGTTTGGTCCGTGCTTGCGGCTCGATGTCGATGCCCCTGTTGTTGAGCTGAGCCAGATCTGAACTTCAATGTTCCGCAGACTTGCTGCTGCGATGATGTCCTGTATGGTCTGTGAAACCGGGGTTTAATGGCCAGTGACACACCGCCACTGGCACCGGCTCGGAGAAGTCGCCTCTTGAGCCAGTCATCTCAACCGAATAGAAAGCTGCAGAGAGAGCTCTGGCTGTGCTCCTCGTACAAGCCCCCTTGCCGATTGTCCCTTGTCTGCGCATGGATGACGGGTTCGTTTGCTTGCAAACCTTCCGTGATGTGATCGATGCATGTTCGCGCCGCAAGGCGCTAGGCGCAAGACGGAGACCAGGTCCGGTACCGGGGCTGACGGTCGGCATCACCGCGCCCCCCTCCCTCCCCCTCGTGCGGCGCCGCCGGTGCGAGATCACGGTCTTCCGGCGAGACGGGTGGGGAGTTCGGTGGTCCCAGCAAGCGCAGGAGGAGGGGTTCGAATCGGAAACGTGGCTGGGCGGGATGCTTCGCTGGAAAAAACTACCCATAAAAACAGAACAGAAGGCGAACGAACACACAAGATCATGCTACGCCCCCAGGCATTCCGATACCCAGATCAGGGAGTAGTAGTAATCGACCTCCGGTCTGGCGGCGTGAGGAGCCGGGGTGAGCCCTCCAGGGCAAAACGCAGTCCCGACAATGTCTGGGCCAGGCGAAGAGTAGGTAGCCGGGCGGATTTCGAAACCGCATTGAGAGCCAGCCGTACATCGGATCAGGGTGGGATCGGCCGGGAGGGCTTTCGGCCTGACGATGACGTATTGACCATGACTCGATTGCCGACGACTACCTATGCCATATTTTTCACCGGCGTTTCTGCAAAGGGCGAAGCAGTCGGTGGCAGTTGATCACTTCCCCCGGGTGCAAGAGAGATAGATACAAGAGAGTTTGGAATTGACTCAGTATCTGCTCGGCACGGTACTTGCCCTTTACCAGGACCGCCGACAAAGGGTTCCTGCATATGGACTGCCGGAAAAGAAAAAAGACAAAAGAAGAAGAAAAAAGGCCCCGAGGCCCTCGTCCGAGTGCAAGACGGCCCAGCCGGCAGCTAAACCCAGGTGGTCGGTCGGCGGTGCGAACTTTGCGTTGCAGCCACGTTCCAAGGAGGCGGACTCAATCTGGGGGTCCAGAGGTTCCTTGCGTAATATGTCGGCACGGCGGCTTGTTCGGCGTCGATGTTTTCTCTCTAACCAGATGGCGAAACCGACCTTCCACCCATCCATGTATACTCGAGTGACGACGAGGCAAGACCCTTCGACAATGCAGGGAGACGGCGGGAAAGCGGCGTGTTGGTACCTGGTGTTTGCAGCTTTGTACGCGTCAAACTTTTCTAGCGTCCCCAATTCCGTCTCTGGCGTGGGTGAATTGCCGGACGCCGTGCTGACGAGTCCTCAGAGCGAGCACTAACGGCCACGACGAATAATACCGTACACGCCTTGCTACCTACCTAGGTACTGCGGGGGTCCACGGACGAAGAGCGTAGCGTGGGCCTACTTGGGTTCAATGCGTACGCCCGCTCACGCCTAGAAAGGGCGCATTTCTCAAAGCCAAGATGGATGAGCGCTGGGGCAGAAACAACTGCATCTGTCACCAGAAAGTTTGTTTGGCTGCGCCTTTCGATATAGTTTGTTTGGGGAGTCGAAGGAGATGGGCTGTCGAGCCCGGAAGTTGGGACGGCAAGTCTAAGATCACTGAGAAAAATAGCACGTCCCCCTCCCCCTCTCCGAAGTCCTGTTGAAAAAAGTACACGGACCAGTAGCTCAGAGGCGGTTCCTCGAGCGTCAAGTGACCTCGTGTGCCCGGTGCGAATCTTTCGGGGGTGTTTCCAGGAGGTCGCGTGCCCTTTGGTATGATTTGAGTCCAGTTGGTCGAAACGGTACCACCAGCATCAATGCCGCTCTACCTACCAAAATACCTATTCGACTGAAAACGGACCGATGCGACGACACGACAGACGGCGCAAGACTTCCCGACGCCCACGCCACACAGGGGCTGAACTCGAGGCTGTTAACGAGATGACATGGCAGCTTGGCGCCGTTTTGCAGCGTACGGTCTCTCTGGGTTGCCAAGAACGGAAATTGACGAGGGTAGTAAACGCTCGTCCCATCTCATCTTGTAACTTGTACGAAAATGCGAAGCCACGACCATCGGTTCGGGGTGGTGCTGCCATCTGTGTATTCTTCATCGTCGCCGCCTTCTTCAAGCTTGACTTTGAGGCACCTTTGCCTCACACTGGCCCATGGATCTCAGCTGACTTTGTCGATCCATGGTTGCAGTGATGTGTGGCTTTTTCAGGTCAAGCTTTTGAGGTAGGCATGCCCTCTCTCCAGCCATCACGGCCGGAGAGTGGGATTTTATCAGCTCTTGTTGGTCAATGACTTCATCTCGTCTCCTATCGACGCATCTCACTTGTCAACAAGGGCTGGTTCGATGGAATCGCGAAGCCCCGAGACTGCGTTGTCTGTTTGTCGTGTGCTCGTTCCCTGGGCACCGCGTATCGAGGGCTGAGAGGGAGGAAGAGTAGGCTTGCAGTCAGGATGCCACAAAAAGTGTGTCCCTCGAGCTGACGGCAACGGCTTCATCTTGAAGTGGGCTCTCGAAGGCTCCTTGTGGTCTTGGGTAGTAGCGTGCTGTTTTCCGCTGGAGCTACATAGTAGGCGGTTGGCGGCGGCGCCGCAAATGCGTAGTAGTAGTAGGCTGTAGCGCTGTTTAACGAGGCAGGGGCCCTCGAAATTGGCCAGGCAGGCCTGCCATGTAAAGTCATATCATACATGCCCGAAGGAGCCAAGCGGATTGGCGGTGTAGTGTATTCGTATGTATGTACTCCGTAGTGCAAGCAAAGGCAAAGCTTTCGAGCGACTGCTACTGCGAGTGGATAAGGAAAAGTCGGTTCGTCAAGAACCTCAAGGCTCAGGGCAACACAGACGATGGGACGTCCGGCTGAGAACCTAGAGGAGAGTCTAATAGTAGGTAAGCAGGTAGGTAGGCTCTGGGCACAAGTGCATTATTCGACTGCGGCATTTGGTATGTTGAGCATGTGCTGATGAAATGTTTCAGAACGGTGATTTGGGAGTCAAGCTTTTTGGTCGGAAAACGACCGAGACTTGGCAACAGATATGAAGGGAATGGCAGACCAAAGACGTGATAGTACCGGGTACATTCACCATGTAGATGCGAAGGGATGGACTGGGAATGGGATTGACGGGGTGGGGGTTTGATGGAGCTGGACGCAACAGACGACCGACCATGGGAAGTGGGAGGAGAGACGGGCGACAACTTACAAGGGAAAGCGCCAAGACGCGTGTCCCTCGTCTACGCGAGGTACCTACCTTAAGCAGGTACGTATGGACCAACCCAGACCAATGAGGCGCATGGCAGAAGAGGGGTCTGATTCGTGACGGGGCAAGCGTAAGCAAGGTTATCGGGTCCTTCTTTTCTTTCTCGTCAGCCGGTGTAATGTGAAAGGAAGTATGTATAGCAAGCAGTCAGGACTCAGCAAGTCGTGATGACACCTTCCAGAGAAGCCAAAGCCAGGTCCGAGGCAGGAAGAGACGACTGGACTGAGACGGCGACGGCAACGGCAACGGCAACGGTGAGCACCGTATACGTAGGCACAACACTAGTCCATCGTACATCGTACATCGTACATCGTACACCGTACCTATGGAAGGAAGTTCGTAAGGCAGGCAGGCAGGCCCCTTACCAGGTGGGTATGTACATACCGGTTCACTTACGCGTAAGGTCAAGATTTACACCCATCTTCTCCACACGACAACTTTCCCAAAACTGCAGCTGTGCCAATCAGAAAAGAAGGTATGTGCCCCACATCTCACACAAGCTGCAGCTGAGTCCGAGCCTCAGTGGGAAATGCCTGTACGGAGGTACCTAGGTACTTGTAGTGTAGATACTCCGTAGCACCCAGCAGCGCAGCGCAATACTCCTTCTGCCCCTACCTTAGCTCAGGCGCTGCCAAGACCCTTAGCAAAGCGAACCTGCGGGCCCAAGTGACATGAGCACTCGCCCGATTTTGCACCCGCTCCAGAGGTATCTAATGTCGCCGTGGCAGGGATGCTGTGCAAAAGAGAAGAAACCAAAGAGTCTTGGCAGAGCACCCTAGTGGTCAGTGGTGCCGAGTGTTCCCACTTTCCTCCTGTCTTCCTTCCTTCCTGCGACTCACTGAACAGCAGCACCCGTCTGGCTGCTGTTTCGTCGGCAGTGGGTGGTGGCATGGTTGATAGCCCAGTCCGGCTGCCTTTTCTCTCTCTCTCTCTCTCTCTCTTTCTCTGTCTCTCTCTCTCTTGTGTACCTTCCCTTCCCCCCTTCCAGCCCCCCAAAAAAAGGGAAACTGGCCCATTCGTTAAAATGAACGGCGGAGCCCACTCTTCCTGCTTTATGCCCATCTCCTTCCCCGTGGGCCGCTCCTGATCTCCATGTTACTAGCTAGGTATTACGAATACTGAGTACTCCGTACCTACCCTACCTAAACCACGCTGTTGTTGACCGACTCCGTTCTTACTGACCTCCCGTGTCTCCTTTCCTTTTTACTTTTGGTCTTGGAGCACTCTTATCCTCCTCCCCTCCCCCGTCTTCTGTCGATTCCTCGTGTCGCATCGCCAGCTTCCTTGACGTCGTGTACGAAGCATTCTCTCCCGCTCCGCGACCCTGTCCGAGTATCTTTTCTTCGTCACGGCCCACCCTGCGTTTCGCTTGTATTTCTTTCCTATACGACGACTGGCCAATCCCGAGGGGTTTCAGTCACTTGCAAGGAATCTAGATAACGATTAACGGATATTCGGTCACGACGACACGAAACTCGACGACTTCTGGGCGTAACACGACACACCACTTCCCCTCGGTCTAGCTATCGTCGTATCCGACAACTGTCAGTGTCGGAATCGACTCGACATCTCCTAATCCGACTGAACTGTACCGGACTGCGCCGCGCCTGAGGACTACCGACGACGCTGTGGAGAACAATAGAGGATCGCCCGAGAACTCTTTATCTCTTGATTGCGAGCGTTGTAACATAAAGGCTGCGAGACTACACAGACCGACATCATGGCCGATGTGAAGCCTCCCAGCGGCAAACTGCCTTACGGCACTCCAGAGGGTGGATGGAAAGCCGTTCACACATGGAGAACCCCGGACTGGGTAGAACCGATCGTAAGAAACCTCTGGAGACTTGCATGCAGCCGCCTACCAGATCTTTAGGCTAACAACAGCACTAGCTTATTGTTTCCATCATGCTCATCGGCTTGTATGCTAGCCGTCGCAAGAACTACTCAATCCTTCGCCGAGGCAAGGCGACATACGAGCCCCTCTTCGAAGAACGTGACGACTCTCCTCGCGTCTCAGACGACTCGTACGAACACATCCGCACAGATCCCTACCCACCCAAATACCGCACAATCTTTGGCTGCTTCCGCGTCAAGACTCCTAACTCGAGCCGCTTCGCGAGACACGTCCATTCGAGGATCCTGCAAAAGTTCCCCTTTCTCATTGAAATGTTCTACTGGGCCATCACCTTCTTCTTCTACCGCATGACCGCCACATTGGCCCAGAGCTACTATGGCAGCCGAAAGGCCGTCTGGGACGTCGCCCAGGAGCACGGGCTATTCTTGCTAGAGACTGAGGCCAAGTTCTTCGGGGAGGGCACCAGGACCGGTCCTGAGCGCTGGGTTGAATGGCGAGTCTCGCACTGGTTCCTCGAGGGCGCTCAAATCGACGACTTTCGCGGTATTTGGCTGACTGTTTTGAACCGCGGCTACTCCCTCATTCACATCCCCGGCACCGTCGGCTTCATCGCCTACTACTACGCCATGGCGCCAACCCATGCTCGCTTCTGTACCGTTCGCCGCACCATGACATTGCTGAACATGTGTGCCTTCATCATATTCATCTTCTACCCCTGTGCGCCCCCGCGCTTGATGCCCTCGGAGTACGGCTTCGTCGACACGGTCAATCTCGAGAACGCCGAGAGTGTCTGGATGAGTGGAAAGTTTGTCAACAAGCTGGCCGCCATGCCGAGCATGCACTTTGGCTACGCGTTTGCCATCGGCTGCGTCTTCATTGCTGACTCGGCCGTTCTCAACCATCTCTTCGGTCGCCTACGCAACTACCTGCTCAAGGATGACTTGGATAAGTCGCTGGATATCGACGATGTCGAGCTGAAGGAGGCCCAGGAGAACCGCGAGCCCTGGAAGAGCTGGGCCATGTTTGCTTTTGGTGTCTTTTACCCGAGTTGGATTCTCTTGACCATCGTCGGGACAGCCAACCACTACCTCATGGACGCTTTTGTCGCTACCTTTTGCGCATTGGCGGCTTACCTCTGCAACCGCGCCCTGCTGGTTTTCCTGCCCGCAGAGGACATGCTACTTTGGGCCTGGAGACTGGAGAAACCGGTGCCGACTACCGGCCGCATGAAAAACATTGCGGTGCGCTAGGTGCTGCAGGAGAGGAAGAGGCACGCCAGGCGATGCTCGGAAGAAAGAATTGCCTGGATTTTTTATGTTCAAAGCATTATAGAGGCGTTGGGAAACCACATTGGCCTCATAATTAATCTTGTACCAGAGGCAGGATCTGTGCTTTGTTAGCCCTTTTAATTAAAAAATTTCGACGTTTGACAGAAGACACTCGCTTGCTAAGCTCTTCCGCCGCGCACCGGGAAACAACGTCGTATTTTTAGACGTTTCAGTGTTTCGTTGCCGCTCGTATCGACGCACCGGGTCGAGTTCAACTATCGTGAGGTCATCTCGGCACATCATTTGCCTTCCTTCAGTTGATGGCATGCGGGAGGGGAAGCGTATTAATACCCTGCCGGGTTACGATGCCCGCTTTCTTTTGTTCAAGCCGAGATAGCCGTTACCGCTCAAGCCCTATCTCATTTATACTTCGGAAGCTACGGGAGCTGCGGCAGCTGCGGCATCTTCGGAAGGACGGCGGCCGAAGGTGCCGTGGGGCGACCTTGTCGATCCACCGCGCTTCGTCTGTCTAGGGACCAATCGAGCGAAATTCCTTGATCGTGGCCCGAGTGTGGCTGTCCCAATTACTGTTGGCTACGACGGACCTGGATCTGCCGCTTGCAGGCGGCCTCGGCAGAGAAAGTGCGTCCCCCCCCCCCCCCCTTGAGCCGGATCTCTGTCCCAGTTCGTCAGGGAGAAGGGCTGGCTTTCTGCGGCTATCTAGTACAAATCTTGTCCGGTACTCGGTACTGATACCTGTATTCGAATGTACGTTTAGCAAAGCGGGCTAATGCAGAAGCTTGATGCGCTTTTGGGGATTTTGATTTTGGCCTGACCGGGCTTGGGCTTTGGGGAGATCAGGATGATTGGCAAAAAGCGGCGCACCGTTGGCTATTACTGACAGCCGTACTCGGTAGTCTGACGGGGTGGGTTGTTGATGATCCTCACCGTGCAGTCCATTTTTTTTGTCGGATGATGGAGACGCATGATTTGTCGTGACTATGCTCCGAGACTCTGACGCGCAGACGCTGGACGCATGAGAATGTGTGATATCTTTACCGAACTTGCGGAAGGTGTCGCCTGCTCAGCTTGACGCGGGTTCTGTTCTGTTCATAAGTAATCGAGGAATATTGATAATCGACATGCCGTTGTGGATGGGTGCACGATTTCTGAGCGAGTATGTGACCTATCGCGTCTGGGCCCAACACCACGTGTGGTTGTACCCGCTGGTGGTTCGGCGTGGTCCTCTCCACACCCAGATCCAACCACGCGAACGACAAAGTCCTTGGCCTTTGTTCAAAGATAAGAGAGACAACGAAGAAAAGGAAGACGGCCCGAACCTTGTGTTTCCCCTTGTCGTACCCGTAGATATTCTCTTTTGTCATGGAATAACGTCTTTGCTGATGGCTTTGTTCCGTATCCTGCCAGTTATTGGCTGCGAACAATGTCTTGTATTGATTGCATCAATGTTTCCAGGTCAATAGGTTGAACGAGGTGATCTTTTCAGTATATAGTGCCGTCGCAATCGTCTGCCAAATCAATGTCCTGATGGTCATTCGGTTACATCAACTTGCATCTCATCTCACCTCGCCATCAAAAGACAAATACATAGACGCATAATGGCTGGCACCACCTCACCCACGCCCGCGCTTCCCAGACCATGGGGCTATGATGAACAACCGCAGAACTACCTGCGCATCCCGGGTCTTGTTTTCGACGATGTTCCGGCACTGATCCCGCGAGAGCACTCCGCGGCCCTCAGATTCCTCCAGCCCTCCGACTTCGAACTCGATATGTCGTTCGGCGAGTACTACACCCTCCTAGAGCCCCTCGACCGCGTGGCTAACAAGCTTGTCGACGTGTTTGACTACTGTATCCAGGTCCTCAGACGCTCTACCGGGCCCGTTGCTCAGTGTCCTACCGGTTCATCTACTGGGCATTCAATCTCGACCCCTTCTGCGCTCTGGGACGGCTTCTTCGACCAAGTGCTCGATATGCTGGGCCATGCGGCCGAGAAAGTCGGCCTGTGCTCGCTTGACTTGATGTGGATCGTGTACCTCTACACGCGCGCGTGGGAGAACACGAGCAAGTCGTACATGGCCAGGGACGGGGGGTACTGGCGCAAAGCGAATATCCACCACCTCCATGACCTGCTTGGGGAGTGGTATGTGATGTTGAGAGGCAAGGGGATCGCGGCGAATGTCATTTTTGGTGAGTTGTTTGGAATTGGACGGTAAGTCGCTTCTCCATTGGAAGATCGCATTGCACAAGGTGGGTGTTCGCTCGGAGGAAGGTGAGTCAAGTCTGGGTGAAAGCAGATATACATAGTCACAATACATTGGGGAGGGGGTTGTCCGTCGTTTCGTTGACTACGTAAGTTTTTGACTTAGATTAGTACATTGAGATATTCAGTTGGTGAGCACGCAGTGGGAAAGTGAGCGAGTGATGCTGGGTCACAGTCCGTTGTCTGTCGAGAGAACAACTGATAAAATCGAACGCGGGCTCGGAACCATGGGGAAAATGCCAATGCGGAGAATATCTCCTGCAGTAGTACTAATCGTGGGACCTCATGTCCAACTACCACTCATCACCAAATGTGTCGTTTCGTACTCGGCCATCCCCCAAACTTGCAAAAGCTGTGCAGCGTTGAGGTCCATCGAGTACTACATCAGGAAGGGGAAAAGATTGTTGAACATAAAAGAGATAAAGAAAGAAGATAAGAAACAAAACAACGCAGGAACAAAAATTACTGTGACGAAGCTAGAGGGAATTGCGTATGTCCGGCATAGATATGTTCCTGGAGCTTGATGACTGCCGGAGATTCCATGACTTTCCGAGACCGAAACCGGGGGCGGACGAAAGACTCCACCGACGCCCCTCTTTTTTCAGCGTGATGTCACGGCGGGTCAGCCCGGGCGACAGTCTTACGTCTGCCCATCTCGACTCCGAGACCTGCCCCGAACAGTCTCTCCATTCATTTCATCCACCTTTTGAAATCGACTGAGAAGTCTGAGCGTGACAATCTTTGGAAAACATGGCTCCGAGCAAGTACACGCTGGCCACTCGGCTCACCGTGAGTAACTTGCCAATCTCATAAGACGCACTCTGGCGCCGAACCACGGCCATCCGCCCACTAATACCTTCCAGCTCGCGAATGGCAAAACTATCCCGCAGATCCAGCTGGGTCTGTACATGATGTCCGGCCGCGAGGTCACAAAGGCCGTCCCCTGGGCTCTGGCCGCTGGCTACCGGGGCTTCGACTGCGCGCAGATGTACCGCAACGAGAGGGAGGCGGGCAAGGCGATCCGCGACTTCCTGGCGAGCGGAGAGAATTCCCAAGGCCTGACGCGGGAGGATATCTTCTACACGACCAAGCTGGCCAGCAACAGTACCTCGTACGACGCCGTGCGCAAGTCCATCAAGCAGTCCGTCGACGTCTCCGGCCTCGGCTACGTCGACCTGTTCCTGCTCCACAGCCCGTACGGCGGCAAGGAGGCCCGCCTCACGAGCTGGAAGGCTGTGGAAGATGCGATAGACGCCGGCGAGGTGAAGATGGGCGGCATCAGCAACTACGGTGCTGCCCACGTAAGTGGCTCGTTGGGCTGTACTGGCTTGAGCGAAGAAGGGTTGGGTCTAACTAGGGACGCAGATTGAGGAGCTGATGGCCTCCAAGCCTCGCATCGCCCCCGTTGTCAACCAGATCGAGGTTCACCCGTTCAACACCCAGACGCACATCAGGGAGACGTGCGCCAAGCACAACATCGCCATCGAGGCCTATGCGCCGCTGGCTCGTGGAATGCGCATGAAGCACCCCAAGATCCTCGAGCTGTCCAAGAAGTACGGCTGCACTCCGGCCCAGCTCTTCGTTCGGTGAGTCCCGCTTCTGAGGTATCCGGTTTATGCGGCCAGCATGGGTGCTGATAATGGTCTGATTAGCTGGTCGCTGGACCACAACATGATCACTCTCCCCAAGAGTGTGCGCCGGGACCGTCTGATTGAAAACGCCGACGTTTCAGGCTTTGAAATCTCAAAGGAAGACTTGGCTGCTATGGATGCACTGGACGAGCACTTGGTCACTGACTGGTAAGTCACGGAATCATGCCCTCCTTTTCATTTTGCCGCGTGCAGGAAAATTGGGTCGCAGCTGACAGGACGCACCAGGGACCCGACTGAGGCTCCATGAACAGGTTATGAGATGGTGAGAAAGCATGCGAATCTTTATCTAAGCGTCAAGCAGTGTTTAGTCTGTTCTTTAAGTTGCAATCGCCTGAAAATGGTTTGCCATTCTTGGGCAAAGCCTCGGGAGTACTCGGATACTTTGATCAAGCAAGAGCATGCGGAAAGGTCTGCGCGGCAGCAGCTCGCATGCGAGATCCTTGATGCTGCAGCGTTTATATCTCCCAGCCGATAATATTCTATACCCTTATGGTATCTTCGAGAACCTTAGCCCCAGCTTCTTCCCTTGTGTTGCAGTACAGATATGAATGACTATGATGAGTCATGACATATGTTTCCATTGCCTTACTGATATGTGATTATATCACGACATGATAAGAATCCGATGATTCGATAAGTCTGATACCAATGATAACTCTACCTATAGGTACACAATGCATTTACATAAGAGAACTTTACTTTCGAAAACACGGGTTTACAGAACGATTCTGGGAGCCCAAATATTATCGAGTGATTACAGTAAATGACCTAAGCAATAGAAGGAGCACCAGGAGGTTTTTTTTTATAAAAAGAAATTAAAAAATTGTCGCAAACCCGCTGTCGCTGATTGCTGGCGGAAACTAACGCTCTATATCACACCGTGACACACAAGTTACAACCTGATGGTATCACAGAAATGTCTTGAATATGGGCGCACACTAGACGATCAAGGCCGGCCCTCCGGCGACCAGTTATACCAACCCATATCGACCTCATCAATGACATCCCACTGGTCAATAAACTGCTTCTTCTTGTCTTCCAAGCCTTCTGTGTCAAGAATCTCGAACACGGTTCTCCACGCACTATTCACGGCTCCGATGATCCAGGCGTGTCCAGAGCTAAGCGCCTCCCCCCCGAAATGCATGTGTCCATCGGCGGCTGGTCTCATCAGCCAGGGGAGGGTACTACTGAACTGCCCCGGTCCAAAGATAGCGAATGCTCCGTTCGAGTAGGCCGATCCGTACCAGTCGTACGCATGGTATCCCTCGAACTGCGACAGAAGGTACTCATGAGACACACCGTTGAGCTCCGCTAGACTTTTCAGGACCACGTCCACCATGACGTCGACACTCTCCGGTTGGTAAGGGGCCTGCGTGGTGGGGTTGTGCGGGTTGAGGTAGGAGCCCAAACGGGAGGCATCTTGTCCCCAGACGTAGCTGGCAATCATCGTTCCGGGCGCGTTTGGCAAGTCAATTCCATAGGAGGGATAAACACAGCGACGAATGGGGAGGTCGGTGAAGGACTGGCCGCCCTGAAAAGGACCAGTTGCGAGGTTTTCCCACCTGAGACTGATTTTAGCTCCACTGACCTGAATAATATGACGTGGTCAAGGGAAAGGGGTCTACTTACCATCGGGTCTTGAACTTGAACCCGACCTTGGACGAGGGGTCGTAGCTACAATTTGAATCGTTAGCATCTTATGGTAGGTACCTGGACGAAATAAAAGTGAAGAAGCTTGAACTGCAGGAGAAGCATACTTCAGGGTGCGGATCGCATTGTTTTCAAAGTAGCTTAGATCCAGTTCAGTCATGTTGATCGCCTGAAGAGCCCCAAGCGGGACAGTCGAGATGACATGTGCATAGCTGTACTCCTGAGTACCGTTGACGACAATTTTCAGCGTGCCATCGGTATTCTTCCTGATGTCTGTAACCCTGTTGCGAAGGACCGGCTTGTTCTTGACGACGAGGTTCATGCCCTTGGTGAGCATGTCCATACCGCCGTTGATGAGGGTCCACTTGTCAATATCGGCGCTGTCGAAGATCCATTGCTCCAAGACTGCCTGAGACATTGACATCATGTCGTAGTGACCAGTGGCGTCGTTCACGGTCTCCAGCCAGTCGATTTCGCTGTTGGAAAAGCCCTGGTCCAAGAGGAAACCTCTCACGGTTTTGGAGTCGTACTCCATAAGCAGGTTAAAACCAGAAGTGAAGTCCGCCGAAAGACTATCGGTCATGGACTTCACTTGGTTCCTCCACAGATCCCCTGCGGACTGAGCGTTGAAGGTTGAGTTGAAGAGGGGCACGCCGTAACGATCAGGAGATGCCGATGAAGTGTCCTGAAGCAGAGAAGTGACGCCATTGAATCTTCTAAAAGTGTTATCCGTCCGGAATATGTAATGCTTCTGAACTACTTTGTTGTTTTCGGGCACCCGTTGATTGATGTAGGGAATGAGACTCCAAGATTTGTTGCCAATGATGCGATCCATGTAGGGCATGGGGGGGAAACGCATCGCTCCCACATCCTGTGTTTATATAATCAGATGGAATAAGATGATGCGTAGCTCAGGTCCAAAGCTTACGTAGTAGTCATAGTATGCGGGGTCGTTGGGTGTCGACTTATCCCAAGTCTCTTGATCAAAGTGGTAGGTGTAAATTCTCCCACCGATACGATCAGATACTTCGTGGATGTCGTAGTCAATTCCAACCGAGTCCAACAGAATTGCAGCATAGAGACCTGCGGCCCCTCCACCAATAATGCCTACCTTCAGTGGAACATCTTTTGGGGTTGGCACTTTGCTGGAGTTGGTGTAGCAAGAACCGTCGACGGTTTTTCTGAAGAAGGCTGCGCGGGGATTTTCGGCAGCGAGTTTTCCGTCATTACAAATGTTCCTTTCCTCTAGGAGAGCTGATTTGGAGTTGGAAGCAGGTAAAGCGAATGTCTGTGCCAACAATAGGGCGGTAGCGAGCGTGCAGGGATTGAAAAGTGACATGATCATCTTCCGGCGGTAGATGCTGTAATGCTGGCAAGGCTCTCGCTAACACAACAGTTCATCTGCAAGCCAAATAATATATGTTGCCGTCCCGTGTTCTTATATTTTCTCCGTTGGTTTCACATTGGAGCGATGAAAGCAACAATCCATGTTGATCGAACTAATATCATATTAGCGATTGAGCATAGATCCAATTAGCCACATACATTTCTATGACTTGAGTTAGAACTCCGGCGGCATCCCCTTTCTTGGCACAGGGCTTCTTCACGTGGCTAAAGGAAGCCGGATTGCACAACTTACAAGTTGAGCCTCATTTACTTGCATGCCTCCCTTCTCACGAAGACAGGATGGCTGGGTCTCACATACCTCCACGCAGCCACAAACAATGCTATGTTTTCAGCTGAAGACCCCAAAGATGTGTTTAGATAAAAAAGAACTAGTAAAAGTGTCAAGAACCATAAGTCGACAGGCAGAGATAATCTTAACAGTCTTAAAGATTGGCATCTTTTACTATCTTGGAATGCTAAAAGTGTCTGCAATAATTAATATCACCTTATCCTACAAGCCTGCTGCCTACTCCGGCCTAATTTAGTTTGACCTCTTTACAGGCTTTTACCGTGGAAAATCTGGACATGACCGTTCAATCCTGATTCATTGGACTATTGTGCATAGGCAGTACCTTCAGCTGTGCGCTGTTGTTCGGGACGTACCTCAGAAACTACACGCACTGCTTACACCCCGTTACAAAAAAAAGAATTAGTAGCACTTATCTCAGAGAGCCATGCACAGCATGTTGAAACCGATAAACTTGTAAGCCCACACTGCTTATAATCAGAACCCTAGGACCGTTCGCTTTTGTAGCAAGCATAAATTGATTTGATGATATTCCCAGTAAGCTGGGAGAAGCAAGATCAGTTGAGTCTGAGATAATCAACCGATGTCGTCGTGGACAAATCCAGCGAAGTAGTTTGCTGGCGTTATTGCTATTCCTTTCCCATACTCTGTCATCTATGGAGTGATTGGATTCTTTCGATTCTTTCTTGCAAAGTATGCATATCTAAATCAATACTCGCTGTCGTGATTGGACAATTAGTAGCCTCTACGATTAGTTGCCAAAGGCAGATACAGTGATAATCATATGGAACCGTTTCTATCACCGTGCATCCTTGCGTGTTTATCATGGCTATGCTTAGAAATATATCGGTTCTGGAGCTAAACCACTTACGAGATGTTGCAGTATATGTAGGTACTTAGGCTAAAGAAGGTGTAGAATCAGGCTAGGTGGCAATAGAAAGGCATAGAAGATGTATTATGTCATTAACAAGGTGTGTGGGTATGTGACACCGCGGGGAAGTTTGACTTGGCCCTGATACTTTATAGAATTAAAGAACACAGGTATCGGCCCTAGCAAATTTCCGTTCGCTGAGAGGGGCGTTGTAGGATAAGAGGCTGATTGATATGCTGAATCCTACGAGCGCGCGTCTTTTTGGGGGATTTTGGCGTGCTTCAGTACATCTGTAGATGTGCGATGCCTCGAGTTATCGCGTTATTGCGCAACGGTGGAGTCAAGGTGGAGTAAAGGCTGGCCTCGTCTTGGCGACAATAGCGCATATAAACTGCCTGTTTCCCCAAGCAAACGCCATTGCTCAACGCAGAACCATTGTGTTGTCAACCCTAGCAAAGTTGGAAGAACCTATAAAGGACAAATATACTCCATTTAGATTCTTCCCCAGCACAATCTCATCATGTCTGTCAAGAAGGTCGCCGTTGTCGGAGTAAGTTGAAATGTCGAACTGTCAGGCCACCCGAACCTCCCAATGCTAACTGTTACAGGGTTCCGGAAACCTCGGTCCCAGCATTGTTGGCGCCCTGCTGTCTGGTGGATTTGAAGTGACGGCGCTTTCTAGAAAGGAGTCTTCCGCCACATTCCCTCCCGAAGTCGCTGTTAAGAAGGTCGACTTCAACTCGGTCGAGGAGGTTACCGAGGCTCTTAAGGGTCAAGACGCTGTTGTCTCTGTGGTTGGCACGGCCGGATATGCTAGCCAGAAGACTCTCGCCGACGCTGCGGTTGCGGCCAAAGTCCAACGTTTCATTCCCTCCGAGTTTGGGATCAACACCCGCGTGGTTCGCGACACAAAGATTGGCAGCATTTTGTCTCCCAAGATTCAATTGGTCGATTATCTGAGCGAGCTTGCCGAGAAGAATAGCTCATTCACATGGACTGGAATCTCTGCAGGACCGTTCTTTGACTATGTAAGACAGCCCCATATGTTCCTCTCTAGTTCCTGGATATGACGTGGAGCTAATACGACCTAGGTCTATGGAGGGCGTCTTGCTGGCTTTGACGTCAAGAAAAAGACTGTCAACATTTTCGACTCTGGAAATGAGCCCTTCTCTCCTTCTACCCTTGGGTTCATTGGAAAGTCAGTTGCGGGCGTGCTGAAGAACCTCGAGGCTACTGCCAACAAGTACATCAAAGTCGGCTCGTTTACAACAACACAACGTGAGCTGCTCAAGATTATTGAGGAGAAGACCGGCTCTACCTTTACTGTAAACAACGTCAAGACCTCCGACTTGGAGAAGACGGCCGACGGAAAGCTAGCGAAGGGCGACTATAGTGCTTTCGTCGAGTTGCTTCAGCAACACATTTTCGCTGACGGCAGCGGCAACGCCGCAAAGGATAACGCAGCCGTGAACCTTTTGGCTTTGCAGGAGGAAGATATCAGTGCTGCAACCGATAAGGCCCTACCCGTGTGGAGTTGAGCAACGAATGAGTGATAATGACATCTCTATAAACCTGAAGTGTTACCGGAGTTGAGAGCGACTACATCCATCAATAAACCTGAAATATACATTCTACCTTTCACCTGTTAAGACTCAACGGTGCACGTCCATTTCTTCGCCATGATGAGCACCCTCTCCATTTGATCTTATAGAAACAGTGACTGCTACCGAGTACCTTTTTACAAGCGAAAACATTTGGCCTTACATATTGCCAAAATGGGTTTCTGTGTACTAGCAATTAAATGTCATTCGATGTCGTTGAATGAGTTACCGTACCGGATAAGATCGCTGAAATTTCATGAAACTTTATCTGCAGTATAATGTATAATGTTTCAAAAATCTGAAGTCTTAATCTGGCATTCTCAGTCAAGATTATCTGTGGTTGGGTATGCTGATTCGTTCGTGTGCCACATTTGTACCACGGTTTCTCGTGGTTCAACGTGGCACAGTTTCCTGATACAAATTGGGGAAAACTCAACAGACAGAACGCTTCGTGGCCGCCAAGGAAGTTTGCTGCCTCCAAGATGACGCTAAGACATTGAGGGAACTGCCTTCCGTAGTAAAACACCTTGAACTCTGCTCTGACCAATTGCTTCGAAGTGCAGTAGGCCATTTTGATACAGTCAATGTTTTCTTGCGTAGGAATGTTTTCTCCCTCAGCCCCACAACGTAGTATCAAGTATCAATTACCATCACAAACATGTGAAGATGACCAAGTCTCTGCCAGTAAGAGAAATTAGAGCAAGACCGCCGGCTTGTATCGATCTCCGCGCCCGCTGAGACAAGAATGAGCCAAGTGAAAGCCAACAACGCATAAAAAGAGCCCGGTTCGCCACCTCAACGCCTCGTCTGATCTTGAATACGGCATAACCACCCGAAAGCCATGGTGGGATCTTCACGCAACTCTAATCATTCTAACATCCTGCGGAGCAAAGACAGATCGCTATAGCTACCAGCCCGCCAACTCTGTTACAAACTTTCGGCAAATCTAGATGCCTAATTGGGTCAACCTTAATCAGTCAATGTGGGCGCCGCGGCGCCGTTGCCTCGCCGTGTGGCTGCTCATCTTCCTCATAAAGCTCCAGTCCTCCGCAAATCCATTTACGTCATCAATGTTGGGCTATCACCTCTGTTTGCCATATGCAAACTAATCACACGATACTTGGACGGTACCTGAGCAGACTAGTTGTTGGCCTACGAACCTCGCATCTTCACAGCCATGCCCATCGAGATACGGGCTGCCTTGGAGCACGACCTTAGGCGATGTGCCGAGATCGGGCATCAGGCCTTCGCCAAAAACCCATTTGCGAAGATCAAGTTTCCTGGTTATGTCCCGGACGATGGATTCCTGGGACTCCGAACGGGTGACCTGGCGAAGCAACTTCGAGAGGACCCGACCTGTCGAATGTTCGTCGCAGTGGACACTGAGCGAAGAGGCAGCAATGCGGTCGTCGGCTTTGCCAAATGGAACGTATACCCAAATGGCATGCCTTACGCAAAGTCAAACCCCGCCTCGTGGGGCCCGGGTGCCAACGTCGAAGCATGCAAGATGATCTTCGCTGGAGTTGAAGCAATGCGGAATTTCTTGATGGGAGGCAGGCCATGCATTTGTGAGTCTACTCTCATAATTTACGGAGAGAGGATTCGACTAACACCTGTGGTCTGTAGACCTCCATATTCTAGTAACCGACCCGCTGTACCAGCAGCGCGGCGTGGGGCAAAATCTGATGACCTTCGGCATACAAGAATCTCTTCACCTAGAGATACCGGTCTATCTCGAGGCGACAGAGGCCGGCCATTCTCTATATTCGAAAATTGGGTTTGATGATATCGAGGTTCACCGGTCTGACCTATCCAAGTTTGGAGAATCTCGGCCTTATATGATATGGGCAATGATTCGGGAACCCTACTGTTGGTTCCCCTGAAGAGTTGAAAGCTAGTATCGAGAAAAGCTTCCCAACACATTCTGCACGGTGTTTTGTTAAACAAGCTGTACCCATACATTCTAATTGCATGGCCTTGTATCTGTTAGATGCTCAATACTACCACTCTACCTTCAACCCCAGCCAGGCAGCTCATTTTTTCAGCCCGCCAGAGCCTGCTCAACGGTGGAGGTACAGCTGTGAGGCCCACATCGGTACCTAAGGTAGCAGTGACGTCACCGATGGTGTTTACATCAATATTGATACTCCCAAGCGCCATGATGTCTTCAAAAAATATTGCACAGAAGTGCGTTGAGAGCTTTCTCGTCGACATTGGGTAACATAGAGACTTCGGCAGTGGTTTTGTGGCTGAGGGCCATTGATGAGGGGCCCACACCCTAAATATAAGGTAATGTGTCTTCCTCGAATAAAGCTGACAGATGTGCTGAAGTATGCTCTTGTCTTGAGTATTGTGTTTTTGCTTTCAGGGAACCAGTAAAGGCGTTGATTTGGATAGCAACGTGGACGTGTTGGGAGTGGAAGGTGTAGTAACTTCAGTAATTGGTTAGAAACTTGAATGGTTTGAAAAAAGCTTCCGTCATCAGTGACAATTGCCAGCTTTCTTCGGTTCCTAAGAAGACTAGGGGCATCTGGATCAATGCTAGTATGGGAGATGTAGTGGCTTTGCGGAGCCGGATAGGCGCAGAAGCAAGTTAAGCTGGACATCTGAACAAAAGCAATACAATGACAGCTGCCTCTTTAGTAATTACATTTCTTCAAGCTTTTGGCTCCTAGATACCACAGAACTAGCTCAATACAGCTGTTTATTCCATCGTTTCCGAAATACTCTCGTAAAGTCCTCTGGAAAGCCTTCGATATGTGTCACTATAGCTTCATGCAGCACGTGTCAGGTGCATTGTCATATGCCATATCACGTGGCGTTTCACCCGCTACTCGCATTACCACCCCATATACATGATCCTTCATTTACATCTCTACGTTCATAGAAATAAGTCTTTATTAATCCTATGCTGATATGCCCTGCTGCGTGATCCAACTTGTGACAATATGCGTCTAGGCTCGTGAATTGTTCAATGATTGCTGGCTTTCTTGCTTAACTCACTTCCCGTGGAATCTCAAGGGAATGGAAAGTATTCTATGTAATATGCTAAATTTCTGTGCAGATAACTTAATGGTGAAATATTTCTATGTGATTATTTTGTTATCCCTTACTGCTACAGACCTTGAGACGGGTAGATATAACATAATGCAAGTACAAAGGTGTTACAGCTTGGGTGACGGTCGAGACGGTCAGCTCTCCGGACAAAACGCACACAGCGTTATCATTCTTCACGAATCCGTTGTAAGCGCCGCTGGTGAAGTTGAAAAAGGGCGGCGCAGCAGAGATGTACGAATCGTCGAGAAAGGTCTGGGTAGTAGTGGGAACATCGGTGATGACGTTGGACTGGCATGCCCCTCAGAAGATGTGGTTCGCGAGGAGAGCGCTGACGACGATTGTGTCGTTGCGAAGCTCGGGAAGGTCGCCCTAGGCCAGAGATGAGCCAGCCATCGTCTCATAAGACGAGAGTGAGAAACGCAGAGTGTGAAGAGAATAGAGTGAAGAGGCAAGTTGCAAAATGATTAGTTGTTTGTGAGGCGAAGGGTGCAATACGGTGATGTAGAGTTGAGTGTTATTGAGTTAGCGTGCTCTTATATGTCAACTCTGGGTCACATTCAGTCAGATTATCCCCTGCCTCCCGGATTCCAAGGTCGACAATGCTGCTAGTCATCACTCTGGAATCCGAACCCGAGTCGAACAAAGCCAACTGATGTAGCGTTGCCCCCCTTCCCCCCCAATTTCGGTACTCTATGTATCATCTAGTCTTGCAGTCCACGGTACCCAGAAATGCACATCCCAATCCCATGTGTAGGAAATAAGTGGTTACCAATCGCAGAAAGCATCTCGAGGGGGCAGGCAGCCCAGAGGTTGGCAGACTGCTTACTCCCAGAGAAACAAACCTGGCCTGGGATTCCGCAGGATGCAACTGGGTGGCTAGCATAGTGGGGTTACGAAGGACTGTTCCGGCCTAGTTCGTTCTGATTCGGGCCGCGCTAGTGAAGTAGGTTACGGCCCGTCGATTTTAAGTTTAGTATGTCAAGGATTACCTAGTTGCCCGGCGTATCCGTAGGCGTTTGGTGTTTGGTCGCCTGCATATCTCTCCATGCATGTGTCCTGTTTAGGCATCGAGTAGGAGCATACATCAATTGAAGAAATCATACAGGCAGTCTTGTTAATGCAACTCCTTTGCGTCTACATTACGTGTTGAACCACTCTAGCCAATGTACTCCTTTCCCATCACGAACTCGTCCTTATTGTAGGACTTGGGCCAAACACCACCTCTTCCAGGGGCTAGGATGCCGTTGGGGTCCAGGTTATCATGGATCTGCTCATGCATCTTCCACAACGCACCATTGTTGAAGTCGAATGTATCGGCGACTTGGTCCATGAGCCCGACGTGAGTTCGGAACACGCTCCAGCCGTTCGCCTTCCACTCCTTCAACAGAGTACGAGCCAACCACCGTGCGCGACCCCGCATATCCTTGTCCTTGCGGTCATAGGGAATGATGCACACGTTATCTGGAGTTGTGTCAGCGCTCATTGTCCTTGCAGATATTCTACAAATGAAGACTTACGCATTGTACGGAAGTAAGCCACGTAATGGCTGATGTAGTCAATGCCAGCCTTGGCAAATAATTCCTTGGCCCGGGAGTACTGGTCCCAGACGGCGCTGCCCTCCAGTCTAGAGATGGCGGCTACCATGATAACAGAGCAATTCGGAAGCCATTGCTTCATCCAGGCAAACTCGCCCATGGACGAGATGCCTTTCAGATACGTCGCACGAACATGGACAAGATTCTGCTCGTCGGGGTTTTCCTCGAGAGTGGCCCACTTGCTACCAGGGACCTTGGTCATCTCGCGCTTGATGTCTTCAATGAGTGCCTCGCGGACCTTGTCGGAACCAAAGACGGCGCCAATGTAACGCCAGCGGCCGGTGTTGAGCTTCTTGGCCATCTTCTCGAAGTCCTCCTCGGGAATGACCTCTTTGTGAGAGGCGTTGGTGTAACTGGAACGAGGGCCGTAGTGGGCGGCTTCAAGGGTAAGGTTGCGCAGACTGACTGAGCTTTGCAAGGTGCCGTTCTGGTGCCCTGTTAGATGGCATCGTTCCACGGATATATGAGGGTCTTACCAAGTCGAGAGGCTGAATGCAATCGACCAATGCCTTGAGATCGGACTCCTTTTCGAAGGTGATGGAGAAAGGAGTCATTCCTTGGGGCGCCGGCATCAACTATGTGGTGTTAGCATCACTGAGCACCCAAAAGGGCCTGGAATTGAGACGCATACCCAGAAGCCCATCTTCGTAACAATGCCACTGTTACCCTGCGAGAAGAGACCATCGTTCATCGGGCCCCAGCCGTACGGGAAAAGCGCGAAACACTCATTCAGCTTCTGGTCAGCTGGGTGAACGCCTTCGGCGGCCTGTTTGCGACCCTCGGGGTGCTGAACGGCACCCATGCCCATTCTGACGACTTCGCCGTTGGGCATAACCACCTCCATACCGCTGTGCTTCCCCCAGCGATCACCGTACAAAGACGCTCCTCCTCCGCGGTCTAGGGCATTGCCAATCATAGAGCCCCATCCGAGTCCAGACGAGTCGACACGGATCCTGTCGATCAAATTGTGCTCCTTGAGGTAATCGCTCATTTGCATGAACGTCACACCAGGCTCAACAATGCATACGCACGCGGTGGTATCAACGTGAAGAATGCGGTTCATGTGCGTGCTCAAAACCATGACGAGTGAGCCGGCGACCTGTGAGACGATAATTAGCCCGAGTTCCATGATTTGCTTGCTGCGTAACAAAGATGGGCTCCAATGCCTGGTGGGCGGATATGGCAAAGCGCCATTCGGAACCGTAGTAGTCATGACGTACTCTTGGTGCAGATCCTCCATAAGCAAGGTTCCTGCCAGTGCTGATGGGCCAAAGGGGCATCTTGTGCTCATTTGCCGCCGCGAGGATTGCTTGGATATCTTGGACACTTCGAGGATGGCAGATTGCAGATCCAACCAGCTCCTGTTCATCATCGAAAGATTGGTAGTAGTCGTGCGTCCGGCAGTTGCGGCCAAAGTCGTCATCTTCGTAGCCTTCCAGATCCATCGAAGGCGTGATTACTTGGAAGTTTTCATCGCCAACCACGTCGATGACCTTCTTGGCAAACTTTGCAAATGACGCCTGCGTCATGTTCGGGGGAAGGAACTTTGGCGTGTCCGCATCGTGGCTGGAGCCCCCGTTGGCACCGCCGTTGGCAGCGCCGTTCTTCGAGCCCAGCCGGACGTGACCGCTCGCAAAATCAGGAGGCACCTGAGCGGTCGTCATGATTACGGTGTCGAACTGTCGATGAATGTTGTGGCGGTGTGAAGAATGAAATGACGCGAGCAACAATGGTTATCGAGTTGAGCAGCAGGATTTAATGTGACAGCAACATCTTTTGCAGGTCCCTGAATCCGCACGTCTATATATAGTCACTTAAGAAAATGAACGGCTTCTTCGGACAAACAACATAACAATATCGACTTTTGCCTGGATAGGCATGTCTTGCTGTCAGTGCTTCCCCCGAAGCAAGATGCTCCAAACTCCGTTCCGTAATGCCATTCGGGGACGCCGGAGTTTCTGTGCGCTGCTGATTATACGGGCGTGGTCGAAAATAAAACGAAAATGAACAATAAAAATTAGCAGTGATACTAGAGTTGGAGTTGTGTCGTTGCCGTATGCAAGTCATCAGGCTTGTCCCTGGTGTGTTTTGTTGCAAGGTGCGGGAGTTTAAGTTGGCTTGTACTGATGCGTCCATGTATCGGAGTTCCCCCAAGCTCCAGCCAGCTTGTGCGCCTATCATGTTCTTGGCATGTTCGTGGAATACCCAAGGGTTGGTATCTGGTGTCGTTTACCATGTCAGTTCTTGTTTCAATGCGCCAGCTTCTTGAGCTTGCGTGAGGGTGAATTTCCATAACAATCTATAACCTCAAAGGCAGTATCCGCTTTTGAGAAATTTACTTTTCGGAGCTCCTGTATAAAGGCAGAGTTCGCCTGTAGTATACCTACAGCTAGCTTTATTGGGGGTTGAAACGAGTTAAAGGGGGGTTGGCATTGGCTAGAGACCTCGGACATGCGCCTTGACATTTGTATTTGTATTAAATAACGTGGTGGCCTAAAAAGGGTTCAAAACTTGTCGCAATGCCGTTATATGCATCATGCAGTGCCGTGTAAGAGATCGCTGGGACTAGAATAGGTGTCTATTATTCGAGCCCCACTTCCCATCCCAAAGAGAGCTCTAAAACAAAACTTTAACTCTAACTTTGATATCGTGAAGATGGTGAACATCCAAATGGTGGACCCATGAACGTGGTGTTCGTCGAGATGGTATACGCCTGGAGCGGTGGGAAAGATTGTCTTGACTTCATTCAGTCCGGCCGATGGACTAGATCCGCAACCCCCATGTAACTCTCAGCCCGCCACGGCCCCACAGCCATGCTGCCAATCGATTAAAGCCTCATGCGCAGCTTTTCGGACTTACCCGAGGGCACCCGTTCAAGTAATCGGGTTTGGGCGGCAGATGTGTTCTATGTTCCCCGACGGCAGGCCGCCAGCTAGCGGTCTTGTACCGAATGCCGTCGCTGAATGAGGCAAGTGAAGCGTCCTTCGTACATGTCGACGCATGTTAGTCAGTCCAGAAATGGATACATTGCCCTCAAACTGTGGAAGTCAAATATAGGCGAGTGGAAGTCCGCCCACGCCTTGTAGCGGTTCGCTCGTATAAATCCTGTGTAAGGCGAAGATAAGAAGAGCCGCCGTATATAGGGTGACTAGCTCCCACGTTCTCTTTGGGAAAGTTTGCGACGCTTCTCTGGCAGCTGTTATCCATAGACCGCATCATCGCTCTCATCTGATCTCCACAAACGGTCACTACTTCATCATGTCATCAGTCGCACCCGCACCGGTTTCTCTGCATCCTGCTCTATCTCAATACTCTGAGAGGGGTGACTCCGGAACAAATTCCCAGGCGCACACTAGCCAAGGTATGACTCGCGAGAAGATCTTGCGGCAGCTCCACGGGCAGAATGTCCGCATCCCGGATCTCGGAAAGATGATGGCAGACTGGCCCAGGGCCCAGAACAAGCATTTGGAAGACGTCAACTCCAAAATCCTCGAGATTATTGAGACGTAAGCGGGCCAGAGTCCTGATGGTAAATGGAGACGAACTTGGCTAACAAGAATCATCCAGACATGCTGTTAATGACACTGTTCGCATGCGCCTTACCAAGGCCATGCTCTCATCTCAGTTGGCCGGCTGGTACCCGTACGCCTCATGCGACCGCATCAAGGCTCTCACGTCGTTCCAGGCCTGGATGTTCATCATCGACGACATGCTCGACCAGTACTCGATCGTGGAAAAGTTCGACTTTGAGTCCTTGCACGTCATGTTGGCGGACTGTCGCGACTTTGTTGAGCGCAGCCTCGACGTTGCCAACACCACGGAGAAGGCGCCGTTGCGATACAAAGACCACGACGCGGTTGTGTCGTTTGAAGAATACGCCCAGACCGTTTGCCAGTCTTACAGCGACAATCGTCCGTACCGCGCGCGCATTGCGAAGGAAGCAGTCGCGACCCTGGACGGTTACCAGCAGGAGGCGCTCAACCGCTACGCGGGCCGCATTCCCACGCTTGAAGAATATCTCGGTTACCGCGAAGCGTCGTCCTGCATCATGCAGGTCGCGGTGAACTTCGAGTTCGCCAACGGCATCAGCCTGCCCGAAGAGGTCATGGAGTCGGAGGAGATGCGCGAGCTTTACCGCGCGGCCGTCGCCGTCGTCTGGATCGTCAACGACATCGTGAGCCTGCGCAAGGAAATCAAAGAAGGATTCGTGGAGAACCTCGTCGTGCTGCTCTCGCAGGGCGATATCCAAAAGGGAATTGATGGGGCCGTTGCTAGACTGGAACGCGAGGTCGCCGCGGTTAACGAGGCGTCCGAGGCTGCCGAGAGACGCTTCGCTGACACGCCGCACAAGGATCACGTCTCCATACTTTCTAAGAACTGCAAGAATATGTGTATGGCCAACTGGCTTTGGAGGTGAGTTTGGACATCTCTGCTTGCTAAGAAAAAGTCGTCACTAACCCGGCTTGTCACTGCAGCATGAGGACACCACGATACTGCCTATGGGATATCAAGCCAGACGCCGCTGGAGGGTATAACTGGACCGTCGACGCCGAGCCTGAGGATTGCTAAGCCTGCTGTTGACTTGGTGCTAGACATTAGTAATAGTGGCACATGTAGAATACAGTGTGTTGAATGGGACCAGATTGCCAGACCAGTTGCGTAAAGTGGTGGCCGGGGAGAGGTCAAAGCCTTTCTGCTGGAGAACGAGGTCGGCCTCGAAGTTTAGCCCTTCACAAAACAGTACTGTGCTGATTGCCTACCGTGCAACTTTGGCGCTCACGGTCGACTGGACGAGATCAAGAGCCATTATACAATACGGAAGAGTCTTGGGGCATACAGGCCATTGGTGACTGACAAGAACATGCGCGTCATGCACGACGAGCGCGGAAGAGACAAAGTGGGCGCGTCTGGTTGACGTTTTCCCTTTACGGAAACAGACGAAGAGAGTACTAGTAGCCGGAAACATTTCAGGACAAAGAGAAGATATGTGAGAGTGCAACCGTGCCCGAATGGTATTCCGAATGCATGATGTCAGAGAGGACCTAATCGCCGCTAGAGGCAGGCAATCATCATATTCACGTCAGGGGGAGTCCGCTTGGTTCAAATAGCAGCGAGTCCCGGGAAACTCGGGTTGTTATTTTTTTGACTCCTCTTTCGAACTATCGGACCGACACGAGAGTGAGAAAAACCGACTTGATTACCTCTTCCAGACAGCACAAATCGAACAAGCCGTCAACCGCAAAGATGAGTGGTCAATTAATTGGGCTGACGACGGTCCCGAGGCTGCTGCGTAAGTGTTCGTCCTATGGAGCGATGTGACACCAGACTGACATTTACTTTTTTTGCTTCGCTGACAGCCGTGACGGGGACGTTTGTTCTTCCGTTCACGGTGTACTATGCGTTCCTCAGCCTGCGGGTGGTTGGCGAGCGGCTCAAGGACAAGCAATACCTGGGGGAGAACTCGTCGAAGCCCGGCACGGACAGCAAGGCGCGCGACGCCAACAAGCTGTACCTCGCGTCGCGGTCGCACGTCAACTTTGCCGAGAACGTGCCGCTGGCGTTTGTGCTCGCGACGGCGGTCGAGCTCAACGGGGGCGACCGCAGGACCCTCGGGTGGCTTCTCGGGAGCTTCCTGGTGCTGCGCGTGTTGCATGCCGAGTTCGGCATCATGAGGCCGGAGGGTATGGGCCGCGGTAGGCCGGTGGGCTACTTTGGCAGCATCGGGGTGCTCGGGACGTTGGCGGCCTACGGGGCATACCTGGTCAAGGGCTACTGGGGATACTAAAAATAAGATAAGGCACGAGAGATCGTTGTGAAGCAGTGTATGAGTATTAGCTGTGTAAGACGTGTTGCAACGTGTGTTTGTGTGTGTAGAGAGTAACTGCAGGGTGTGCGAATGAAAGCATAGAGAAAACAACAGGATTGGATCCAAGAAACCGTTACTTGACTGCCCTATTGACCAAGGCTTATTTGTTGATTTGTGTCCAGTACCGAGACACTAACCTTCACTTCCCTCCGTCCGGGGCCGAATCCAGCGCCGATAGTGCAACCCGGCGGCAGCGGGGCCAATGTCATCAACTGCCGATGCCCGCCGCAAATGGACCCTGAATTCCGCTCTCTTGAAAAGCCTCGAGACCGAGCAGGTCTCTGGCGCCGTCACGCAACTTCAAAGCAACTTCAGTCTCCCCCCCTGCCAGCTGGTCCGTCTCGCCGACCTTTACATGGTAATTCGACAGCCTCTAGGCAACGCATGTTAATCCTCTCACCGACCTCTATATGGTTCTTCAGCAAGTTGGAATCCGAAAGCAAGGGTGTATTATTGCACTTTGGGTATCGAGTAGTAGGCATCCCTCTATTAACCTTCACAGGAACGAGACCCCAGATGCCACAGGAGTTTCTCTTCTTCAATCTCGGCCTTCTTCTTCAAGACCTTGGCCTTTGCCTCCGGGTCGGTCTGGTCCTTGGCCAGAAGTTCAAAGCCAAAGATGGCCACTTGTAAGTAGAACCAAACCTTTTATACAGAGCACTTATAGACTAATTATCTTAAAAAGTCTCTCTTGTTGACTGAGAGAGGCTGAGAAACAAGGTTCCTCTGTTGACCCCGTGAAAGCCAAGCTCTTCAGCAAGAGCGCCAGTTATCTGGGGGTTCCCACACGCCGTACGCGGCGCGTAGTAGTCATGTGGCTGTGGTAGCCCCCAGGGGTTTTCCACAGTCGTGCATGAGCTCATTGTGAGGGGTAAGTCTTATTGATTTGATACTGCTGGACTATGATATTCATACTTGTCTAGAGCAAAGTCAATAGTATGTCGTTAAACAATCTAAATATTTAACACTAACATTTAGGAGTAGGTTGTGTGTGTACCTGCTTGTAAGTAAGTGCGCGCGCGCGTCTTGTTTGTATGTAGATATAGTTGGCCCTCTTTTACTATTTAGTGCTAATGTATAATCTCTACTAGCAGCGATGATATGGATGAGATAGAAAGAGGGAAGAGACCAAGCCCAGCTTGCAAATAACATCTTACCATTTACGTAGGTATTGAAACTGGTACTAACTACATATACTAAGCAGCCGCCTCTTTATGCCTAGCTAATAATGCATACCGTCGTCGCTTGTGACACAGATGTTACCACATAGGTATGTATCCATTATTCAAGCAACGTGCGCCAAATGGTACTATCAAACTTGGACAACTATCGGAGATTGAGTTGCAAGATCCTTTCAAAAAGCACGATTCCTGCCGTTCGTTGTCGTTCATATTCTATTCTTCGCATCCCTCAGTGAGTTCTCGCCCACGCCACCATAGCAGTCTGCAATTATCATCACCTTCATCTGTATAGCTGAACCATTTCGTTGAGTAACATGAAAATCGTATAACTTCCAACCCATCAAGGCAGACTTTCGGGACGGCTGTGCGTCCGATGAGGTATTACTTATGGTTCTTCAGCGGCCGAAACAGGTCTTTTCGGTCAGCGTGCCGATCAGATCATTGTTTATTATGCCAGAGAACACCGTGTATTATTGATAGCAGTGGGATGGAAGAAGGAGCACCATCTTGTTCAGCTTCACACGGCGTGAGCCTGTCGATTATTGTTGTCAAGGCTCCAGGGTCTATGTAGAAGCCAACAGAGACGCGGAATATAACACTTATCTCTGGTATTTTGAGAATGGCCCCCCTTCCCTGTTGTGGCCGACAGCCCCCGATGTCAGCATAATTGCGGCGCAGCAACTGAATGCGGCATGGCTCCAATCTCTCAACGACATAAAGAGTCACAGGAACCGCCGCCCCGCTCATCCGACCATTTCCCCCGCGACCTAACTAACGTCCTGCAACAAAAACTCACAAAACAAAAGACACCACGGCGCCGGCCAAGCACCACACCAATCGAGGGCTCTCCGAGCCAAGTCTCTCCCCTAACCAACACCTCTGCTCCCAACACCTTCCCTCCTCCGCTACCCGCCACATCACAATGCGAAACCCGTTCAAGCCTAGGAAGGCGCCCGCGCAAACCTGGACGGCCAAGAGATCGTCCGTCCTCTCGGCCGACGACCCGGTCTTCCGAGGCCTCGATGAGGCGGGACGAAGGAGCCTGCAAGCGACCCCGCCTATCCAGCATCAGCCGAGGCCTTCCCAGGACCTCGCCAGGGGGCCTCCCGAGCAGGCCGCGGGCGACGGCGCATGCGCGCCGAGCGCGGGGGCCGGCTCCCATGACAGCATCGCCGTCGACTCTGGGCACGGGTACGCTGCGATCGCCGGCTCTTCCGCCGGTGCCGATCATTCTGGCCACTGACGGCGAGGACATGGTAGCCCGGTCGTCGTTGCCGGCGCGGTGAAACCTTTGAAGGAGCCACGGAGCGCGAGCAGACGGAGGGCGGCGATACGGAGTTGACACGCTTATGAGTGGATCTTCGAGAGTATGCGTGGACGAACCGCCTGGATTGGAGTATCGGGGTTGTCAGAAGAGAAAGCAGCGTACGCAGTGTTGCCGAGCCAGACGCGACGAAGAGAACTCCAGAGAGAGAGTTCTATTAATTGGAGCGAGTATGCATTATTAAAGATATCAGATTGAACTTTAAGAACTGCAGCCCAAGTCTCGTACGGGATCTGTGCCTTTTGTTTTGAGCGCAAAGAAACGTCGATAGATCATACCTGTAATGGAACTGTGCAGGACTTCTGACTGGCTGGATGGGTGGGTATATAAACGACAAAAACTGACAGGGAACATTCCGCTGATACAATACACCTTGACGCACAGGTCTACGAAGCAGACTGTGTAACAGTATCGAGGGAAGGGCTTCATCGGGGTTCTCCTGGATACCCAGATGCGCTGCTGGGCTGGCGCGGTAGTCAGTTGCTGTTGGTTGCCCTTGTTGCTCTATGAACCTCGCAGGTCGTCTGGTTGCGGCCTCCTGGGACTCTACAAGGCGAAAGGAGGGATTGAGAGCATCGATGTTCAAAGGGGGGAGACGCGGCCTCCGAAGATCGGAGCGACCCCAGTCCTCCTCGCTACGTCATATCCGCATCCGCACCCGCGCCTCTAGTATCTGCGCTCGTTGCTCAGTTCTCGAGAGATGATATTTTTTATCGGTAAGATAATATTTCCTTCAAATGGTACAGTATTATGCTATTGTTTGGCTTACAGTAGAGCACTGGTCAAGGGATGCAAGGTGAAGCCCAACGGAGGTGGCCGCCTCGCCGATCACCAATATCACCATGGCATACCTAGATATGGGGGTATGGGGTTACAAATCGTAGCGTGGCACAACGTTCTAGAAGACGACCAACCCTGTTGCGGAAGACAGCTTCACCTGCACCATCCTCCAATGAGCAAGACGCAGAGTTCGCGTGGCAATCTGCTCGGATGAGACATCCGAAGGACGGCACGGCCCGCGGCGATAGGCCCTGGACGTTTGCGAAACCTAATTACCTTGCCTGCCCTTGCCCGCAGACACTAGACAGGGGATTATGCAGCAGGTTATCTGAACGATTGGGATGATGAGAGAACGCCATAGAGGGGAACGGCATGGTGAGAGACAGCGAACGCGGGGATGGACCGTCTGTTATCAGGTTTGGCCTGCTACCAGGACACCTTCCGGATCGAATGGGTTTGCGGGGGCGTTCCCGGCATTCTTATCTAGGCCCCCTGCTGCTTTTCCCCCCCGGCGTGTAATGGACGGCCATCAAGGACTCTACTATGTACTCCGTCGTCGAACTCCAGGTTTCCAGGCGTCAACTACAGGCTTCGTTGCTGCGTGTGTTGAGCGCAGTCGACAGTCGACGGCTGTCCGTTCCTTGGAGGTTCATCTTCTGTTGGAGAGTCGAGAGGCGGTATTGCGTGCTTGTAAGCCACACTTTCGTCAGCCACAACACTTGTCAGAGACGGAAGGGGGACGTGTCCCAAAATGGAGAAGAAGAAAAGGAAAAGGAAAAAAGCCCCCTTATCACAAGGCGCATGGTCAGGAGAACGTCAGAGAGGAAGAGAACACCGACAGATGCAAGTTATATGCCGAGTCTTGGGTAGAGGCGCACGAGGGGAGGACCGGCAAGGTGTCCCTGTCCCTGTCGCTGGCATCGCTTGTCGGCGGCTCACTGGCGCGGCATCACGCGATGTTGGCTGGAATGGCTCCATGATGCCGAGACTTTGCAAGAGGTCGCACGAGGAAGGAAGCAAGACGCAAGAGCAGCCTACTTTCCCGTATCATCTCTTGCCCCAAGACGAGATCTCTTGGCCGAATGCCGGCAAGGTGGTTGATTTGTTGGGGGAGCTCGTCACGCTGGCAGAGTTTTCCTTCGTCTGACTGCGACATGGAGGCCCTGCGCGGGATGAGGATCGGCTTCCTTGTCAGAGACGCGGGCTGGAAGTCGGTTCTAGCCGGTGGGTGCAAAAGGCCATGTCGTCGTTGCGACATCGGCGTCGAATCTTAGGCAGAAGACGGTGAGTTGTGGCGATGCTGTGTAGCTTCCTTGCCGGGCTAATACCGAGGTATGTAGGTAGGTACCGAGATATGTATGTAGGCGTGCTCTTGCTCCTGCTCATCGTGTCGAGGAAAGAGCAGTTGATGATGCTGCCTGCAATGTCCATCGAGGGAAAGAGAGAACGACATGGTCGCGGGAAAGAGCAATCAAGCCCTTCCTTCTTCACATCGAGGCATCGTCCAGCCGAGACGGAAGATCGGGTAGGTACGTAGGTCTAGAAGTGCCTTCCCAGCAAGTGCTCTCTCTCTCCCTGTTGCAGAAAGAAGGCAAGCGCGTTCGTACTCCACAAGCACCGGAAGAGTCAAATCTCGATTATCCAACTTGAACACGACTACGGACGTATTGTTCCCATCGGTCCTCTCTCATCACCGTCTGTATGTATACACATACACAATGAATGTACAGCATCCAAGATGACGGTGCGGCCGCCATGTTGTCTAACTGGGCGTGTGAAGAGGTCTCGGCTGTCGCGCAGCACCTAGATAAACGTCCTTCTCCCAAGGTTGCCGCCAAAGTTTGTTGCGACTTCATGGAAGAAGGTACGTATATGTGTATGTACACATGTACGTACCCGAACTTTTCGATGGGCCCCGCCGCCAAAATTTTCCCACTTCGACATCTTCACCTCAGATCGCGTCATCGGGCGAGTGGACCGCAAAGAGGAAACTATGACACAGAACTTTTCCTTCCAGACCACTGGGGCGGTTCCGTCAGAACAACCCTTGTCGTCATCTCCTGACGGCCTCCATGAATAAGCTGGGGCGGGGGGTCCTGCGCATCCCGAGAGGCTCTGCATGTGTCCACCATGGCATCCCGCATACTCTCGCATACCCAGGACGGTTAGTCCTTGACTGTCCCTTGGGCTCTTTGCTGCCAATTCTGCCGTCTTTTATTTGCCCGTCTCCTTTTCCGAGTACAAACGGGCCGAGTCCAGAGTCTCCAATGGTCCGTCCTCTTGACCATTTCCCATGTACGGCTCGCGTCCAATCTTGTACATGCCTACCCAGGTAGGTAAGCAATTCACTTCGTACGTGACATGGGTTCGCCGCGCAACTTTTCCGTCCCCCAAGACGGCCATCCACGTTCCACGCAACCCAGTTTACGCCCTCTCGAATGTCAATGTCTCGCCACATGGTGCCAGCTCGGTCTCTCTAAGACGTGATCTGCTTGGCGGGGCCCCAAGCCCAGAGACATAAAGTCTTCTGGACCCCTTCTACTCTGTCCGACCTTCTGCTTGCCGCTCCGTCCCCCCTTCTCCGGTCTAATCCTCCTTGTCTGGTATCACTTCCTGGTCACTGGTCGTTTTCTTTTACATGCACGAGGACAATAAAGGATCAGTCGTAACGACCGCCAACATGTCCAAGCTCCTCGACAAGCTTAACGGCGTCTCGTCGTCTGCCGCTGCGACCTCTGACAGCGAAGTCGGTATGCCACTGCTGCCCATTTTTAATGCGCCGCACCGTCTGGGACGTACCACTGACTCCTGCATCTAGGCCGCATCGAGAATGCTCGTGAGGCCAAGCGGAAAATCGGCGTCACCACAGCCATCTTCCTGGTTGTCAACCGCGTCATCGGTACCGGTATCTTCGCCACCCCCGGAACCATCTTCGCCCTCTCTGGCAGTGTCGGCCTCTCCCTCTTCATCTGGGTCGCCGGTATGATCATTGCTCTCGCCGGAACCGCCGTCTACCTCGAATGGGGAACCGCCATCCCCAAGAACGGTGGCGAGAAGAACTACCTCGAATACGTCTTTCGCAAGCCCAAGTTCCTGACCACCGGCCTCTACACCGGCTACGTCGTCCTGCTCGGCTGGGCCAGTGGTAACTCTGTCGTCTTCGGCGAGTATATCCTGCACGCCGCCAATGTCGAGGTCGGCCGCTGGAACCAGCGTGGCATCGGCCTGGCTTGCATCACGTCCGCCTTTCTGATTCACGGTCTTGCCCTCAACTGGGGCCTTCGTCTGCAGAACGTCCTCGGATCCATCAAGCTCATCATCATCCTCGTCATCATCCTCTGCGGCTTCATCGCCCTTGGAGGCCACGTCAAGCTGCCCGAGGACCAGAAGCCCAAGAACTTCACCAACGCCTTTGAGGGCACCACCGGCAGCCCCTACGGCGTCGTCACCGCCCTGTACAACGTCATCTGGAGCTACATCGGTTACAGCAACGCCAACTACGCCCTCTCCGAGACCAAGAACCCCGTTCGCACCCTCAAGGTCGCCGCCCCCGCCGCCATCGTCACCATCTCCATCCTCTACATGCTCGTCAACGTCGCCTACTTCGCCGCCGTCCCCAGGGAGGAGATCCTCGAGGGCGGTCGCCTTGTTGCTGCCTCCCTCTTCCGCAACGTCATGGGCGGCACCGCCGAGCGCGCCCTGTCCGTCTTCGTTGCCCTGTCCGCTTTCGGCAACGTTCTGAGTGTCATCTTCTCCCAGGGCCGTCTCGTTCAGGAGCTTGGCCGTGAGGGTATCTTGCCTTGGTCCCGCTTCTTCGCCAGCAACAAGCCGTTCAACGCCCCCTTGGCTGGTCTTTTCGAGCACTGGCTGATCTGTGTCATCACTATGCTTGCCCCTCCTCCTGGTAAGGCCTCCCCGGTCACCGTCGCCTCTTCTAGGACATTGCCACTGACCTTTTCCCGTCACAGGTGACGCATATAACTTCATCCTCAACCTCATCAGCTACCCCCTCGCCATCATCAACGTCTTCGTTGCTGCCGGTCTGGCTCATCTCTACCTCAACCGCAGCAAGTGGAACTGGAACCCTCCCATCAGCGCCTCTCTGCCCGTCGTCATCTTCTTCATGCTCAGCAACATCTACCTCGTCGTCGCTCCCTTCGTGCCCCCCGAGGAAGGCCAGAACGTCTACGACAACCTCCCCTACTATCTCCATTGCGTGGTCGGCATCGCCATCATCGCTGCCGGCGGTCTCTACTGGGTTGTCTGGGCAAAGATCCTCCCCAAGATCGGCAAGTACGAGCTGGTCCGCGAGACCGTGGTCGACGAGATCGACGGCTGGGAACGCAATGTCTTCTTCCGCAGGCCGTATGGCGAGTCTGTTGCTTCAGAGCATCGCTCTGTTTCCCCCGAAGTGCCCAAGTAACACACGGGTGTCCCGTCACCTCTCTGCTTGATGGACCCAGGTGCCCCGATGGTCTTGATGCCTCGTGAATGAGAACCGAAATTACGTCGTTTAATATACCCTAGAAGCGTACATACTTAATGATAAACCACCCAGTAATGTTCCAATGAAACCGATTGTTTGTTACCACTTCGCACTCGGAGGGAAACGTGATGGGAGCCACCGTGCTCCAGTCTTGACGTGAAATAGCCCAGAAACAGGGTCAGCGACGGACGGCACGAAGGACGACGTGAACACAAGGACGAAGACGCCAAAGGGTCGACGTACGGGTATCCGCGTCGTCAGCAAAGTGTGTTGTTTTTTCCGCTGTGTTTATATTTTAATGTCCCCCCCAAAAAAGGGCGCAGGTGTTTACTGGGAAGCTCGCTAGTGCAGCGCTTCGATGACGAAGCTGGGTAAACGGGACCGACTTCCAGGTCGTGGGGCCCTTGTTGGTCGGCGGCAGGGTCTGCACCGTAGTGTCGGCGTCTTCCTCGTCGGCATGTTGCGCCGGTGCAGTTCGAGTGACATCTTCCAGTAACTTCTTCTTGAACGGACTTTCTATTCTTTCTGCATTGGAAGGGTTAAAACTCAAATCACAAATCCTCTCTTCCTGATAACTCTATTTTCTCAACTGACACACACACACACACACTTCATGTCCCACACCGGCTGCGGATCGGCTCGGATCCCGGATGTGGGGCACGGGGCCCGGAAATGGTGCAAAACGAAGGGCGCGCGCCATGCCTCTTCCGTGCGCATCGGAACTGCATGTTGCCGGGGTTATGGCTCTTGTTGCTGTGGTACTATTTGACGCCGGTCTTGATCCTTCGTCCTTCACTCAACCCTGAGCAGTCACTTTTTTCTCTCCCTTCAATGTCCTTCTTTCCTACCCAGCTTATGACGTGGCCTTGGTTCCGGGGCGTAGGTGGCAGAGGCTATTAATATTTCGTTTTCTGGGCCACCGAGCTCGAGTGAGACCACTGCGCTGTGGTTCATATTGTATGCCAAAGTTGTTGCAGAAACCCTACACTAAATGTGACATGTTTTCAGAAAGCCTGCAAAGTACAGGGCGTATAGTGCAAGAACGTGGCAGCACAATGATGAGGCATGTGTGCATTCAAGCTATGTTGAGATATGTATCCAAGGCGGCCTTTGAAGATCGCACACGTACGGAATGACACTCTCTCACAGTATCAATCTATGGCTCGGCCGATAGTGTCATTACCCAAGCTACGTCATTCGCTCCGTGATTAATGCGGTTACGTCCATCATCCGGACCATGGAGGAAAGTTGCCCTGACAATTGTAAGCAGGCTTACCAATCACAACCCCGCAAAGCAGTATCTGCCGGTGCACGCACCCACTTATTAGACTTTCGATTGCAGCGTCTACAACAACAAAGTTCCACCCCGCCATCCGCTGACAAATGACAGCGTCAGGTCTGCAGGGAGGACAAGACGTGTTAGTCGCTTGCAGCACGTAGCAGCACTCTAACCTCTTGGAACTGCGGCGATATCTCCGTCGGAGCTCTTGAGAAAGCTTGCAGAGGCTTCGTTATATGTATATAAGACCGAAGCTTGCATTGTCACGACTGTTCGTTTGTCTTGGTAGTCAACCCAAAGTGACATAACAACATAACATTACAAGTCAACAGCAGCCTCAAATTTCCATACAAACCACAAGACTCCATACAAACCACAATATGATTGCGAAAGACGACAAAGCTTCGGCTTCTTTCATCCCACTCGCCAGCGTCGCCGAAGACGGCTGGTCCACGGAAGACGAGGCGACAGCGACGTGTCTCTGCGGTACGGTGCAACTTGCCTTCGTAAGTTCGCCCAGCCCACGATCTTGCACAGTCCCGCAACAACATCAAAAGAATGAAACACCAAAGTATCTCACTGACAGCCCGCACAGCCGACCCAAGGACCCGGCCTTGTCAGACGCTTCCTCTGCCACTGCGCTGATTGCCGCAAGATCTCCTCATCCATGTTCTGCTCCAACTTCACTGTGGCCGACAGCCACTTGCGCCACATCCGGGGCAAGGAAAACCTCAAGTCCTTCGCCCAGTCGCATACAATCGCCACAGGCAACAGCATGACAAACTACTTTTGCAGCACGTGCGGCACGCTGCTCTACCGCGTCAGCTCAGGCTTCCCGGGCATGAGCATTTTGCGTATCGGCACAGTCGACGACTTCCGGCTCGCCGAGACTAAGCTGAAACCGCAGGCCGAGACGTTTGTCGGTACGCGCGTGGCGTGGTTGGCGCCAGTGGAGGGGGTCTCGCAAGTGGAAGGGATGCCTCCGCGGGAGTAAATCGAAAGCGTTCCGTAGACAGCGTCTCTCGTTAGAGTAATTCGAAAGCATTCCGTAGACAGCGTCTCTCGTTAGTCGGCTTGTGAGAACAGGTACTTTCTCTAGTTGTCATAAAGGTCGCAGCTCAGTGAATAACAACCGAATTGTTCCACCTTCATGAGTGCCATCAGGCGATGAATGTCGGCCTATTTTCTTGACGTCAGTATATCGAACACGGTGCCTCGGTCAAAAATGCCTCGCACTGGTCCTTCTGCATATTTGCTGAAGATTGTAAGCCAGTAGCCTGTCTTTCCACACCACTAGCTGATGTGTCATTCGGCTGCGTCGGGAATGTTAGATTTCCTCGAAGACGGCAGCCTGTCGGTATGCTCCGTATTGGTGAGTATTAGATCTCAGCTCTCGGGATCTCTAGATAGCGTCCGAAGATTGCCGGATGATGTCAAATTTAGTACTGTTTGTGCGGTTCTGAAAGTCAATCAACTGCGCACGGAGATGAAGTCCAATCAGGTTGAGTTACAAAAGAAAAAATAATAACACAAGAATATTGTCGCGCAAAAACGACGCCGTTAATTGCGGGCAGCAATTAACGCCTTATATCACTTCACCTCATCGTGACAAATATAAAGTACGAAGTAGACAAAATAGTGATCCTTCGGGGTTCGGATTGACCAGAAGACAGATCCAAAAAGACGGAAGAGGAGAGGAACAGGCCGATTGAAGCTCGATCAATTCCACTGGACCAATATTGACGTTGTCAGCTCGGAGTAGAAATGTGAAGAATCTTCGGTCTCTGGCGAGGGCCCGTTGAGACCCGATCTATCACAGGTCTTGGTGCCCGATAGAAAACGTTAACTTTGCAAAGTATCCGTAATTAGCCAGGCATCGCCAGCTATCACCGACAGTAGGGCTTATCTCCGATACCGCCCCACCAGAACTCACGTGATTCCTCGGACTATGGATGTCTCACCTTTCGATACGGCAGCCCGCGATAGCGCGCCATTTCATCCCTACTCCGTACGCATAATTGAAAAGCATATTTCGCAGACTGCCAATCAACGCAACCAGTCATAATCAACCGTAGCCGACTAGCGCCAGGAAGACGGGGATCCCGGACCCCCTTGTTGAGCCATGTTTTGCTGAGCGATTTGTTACTAATAATGGCATGGCCCCATATTTTATATTGCCGTAAGTCCGCTTCGAGTGTGGGTAGGGGACGGGACCCTGTAGCATTGGTATAGAGAGCGCGTAGCATACATGATATTAGGACTTGTCAATATATTGCAGTGTCGAAGTGATTAGTTCGCTTGGGATACAATGATGTTATCAATTGTACTCCGTATCTACAAAAAGGAGTGTAAAGAGGTAGTTATCCTATCTCGAAACAACGTATGATTAATGTGGGGTACAGTACCCATGTAAATTAGTCTGTGCGCGTGGTAAGCTTTACGTAGTAGTGGCCGTAACTGGTATTAGCCGCACGAGGCTATTCACAGCTTCACGACATAGGTTGAATGATTCGTGATACGTTCTGTCACGATGAGGTGATATAAGGCGTTAGTTGTGCTGCCGCAACTAACGGCGTCGTTTTTATCGCGACACGCTCTTATATCGACTGATCCAGCCCCCATACTGCCTTTCTCCCAGTTGCTGTTCGGAAAGGGTTTAGAGATTGCTGTAACGCAAGATGATTGACACACCCTTGCGGCCATCAAGAGAGCGTAGACTCGGATAATGTATTATTTACTGACTTAAAGCCCTACCAACAAGTGATTTGCCAGCCCTTCCATCATCTCCGATGTCAATCTTAGAAGCTTTGCCAGTATTACGAGCCGCCTCCATCTCCCTCATCATCAGGCCCCATCTCGTCCAACATCAGCTCCGCGAGCTGCTCCACCAGATTCTGTCCTTGCGCGGCCTTGGGGTCAGTCAAAGCCAGGTCGAAATCGACAATGCACCGCGTCTCCGCCTTGACGGTCATGCCCTGGTTGGCGTTGTGCTGCTTTTCTATCTCGCCGAGCTGTCTCAGCACCCGCGCCGCCTTCTCGGTCGGGATCGCCGCGTTCCGCAGCGCCATGCTCATGATGCCCTGGGTGATGAAGCCGAACGCCCGGAAGGATACACAAAGGTCCTGGAGCCCCACCAGGCAGAGGTCCAGGTAGAAGCCCCACTCCTGCTCGCTGGGCGGCGACGCGTCCGGGTCCTGCGCCGCCACGCCGGCCTCGCGTATCATGGCGTTGGCGACGTATATGATGGCCGTCTGCCAGAGCACCGACAGGCCGGCGTGTCTGTAACGCAGCCGGTAGAGGAGGAGGAGGCGTTTTAGCTGTTCTACGGACGCCGTGTACACTGCTTCTGGAGTGGCCAGTTCTGTTGGAAAGGAGGACAGCCGCTCGGTTCCCAGCGAAGAGTCGAGAAAAGGGCGAAAGAGATCGGTTATGATGGCGTGGAGGTAGATGCTGTGTTGAATGCCATAATTGTCAGTCCGAGTGTTGCCCATCTATGATCTTGGTTGCGAGATGCGTTGCTAGAACACGAGAAAAGTAGGATGGAAAGTTGGCTCACTGCATCATCATGGCATTATGACCCATCTCCTCTGCCCTAGCCAACTGGATGGGAAGCCCGCTAGTCCATTGAAGCAGCTGACGGTAGGTCTCTTCCGCCAACTTCAAAGACATTTCCTGTGATGGAGTGCGGTCCCGAGGGCTGTATAAACTTTGCACGACGGCGTTGAAGGTGACCCACATCTCGCTCGATGCGCTCACCACCTCTGCGTGTAGCGCCGCGGAACTGCCCGCAGGGAGGGCGGAGATCAGATCTCGAGGCTTGGGAAGCAGCGGCGGCGTCGCGATTTCGAAGATGTGGTAATGGAGGGAGTACACCCTAAAAAGACATTAACACGCGTCCACACGGCTTGCTGCCCGGGCTGATGCCAACGCCAAACTCACGAGACCCAGTTGTACACCCCCCAAGCCGTGTAGGACGCCGTCCTCGTCCAGTCTTCGTGGTTGCCCAGCCACGTCCCGGCAGACTCGGACTGGCATGTCACATCGAACAGGCCCATCAGCCTACACAGCCTGGCGCTTTCCTGCAGGAACTGCAGACTCATATCGTCTTTGCCATAAGTGGCGGCGCACATGCCAAGTATCTGGAAAGCGGCGATGGTCGTGAGGCTGTTTGACTGGGGCTGTTCTAAAAAATGTTGTTGCGCCTGCGTAAAGAACGCCACGCTGTAGGCGGCGGCGTCGGGGTGTAACGGTGTATACGCTTGCTGTTTCCGTCAACGCGGGGCCGGCATACTTACAGGACAAAAGGGGAAACATACACAGGCCCAGCATAGAATGGCCGTAACGAGGAAGGGGGAGCAAAAGGAATATTGAATGTTGACGAGGTCTTGTATAAACAGGTCGGCGCTAAAAAGGGGAATGGTCGCGTAGTCGTTTTCGAGGTAATGTGATATCGTATTAATGGCAAGATCATTCGGGATAGCAACCGGCGTCCACTTGGAGATGTCCACAAGGCGAAGGCGTTCGTCGAACAAGGTGCTGGCTGGGTCGTCGTCATCATCAAGGGCCGGAGAAGCTAACTCGGGTCCGGACTCCTCGTCTTCTCGGTCCGGGATCATGTAGGGATAGTTGGGTTGAAGGTCTTGACCTGAACATCTATGTCCCGTCAGTGTACAGCCGCGTCGGGCCGAGCACAGAGTCCTGGTTAAACGCGAGCGTGCCGAAGCACGCTTGTCACGGTTCAATGATAGGGATCTGAGAAAGGCCATTCAAGTGGATTCTCCTACACAATCTGCTCCCCAAGCAGCCAGGGAGTCGATATGGACTTGAGCATCTCCCCACGGGGCAGGTCCTTGTACGAAACTGGGAACAAGGCTGGATATGCAATAGGGTACCGCAGGTTGAGCTCAAAGCTCAAGCTTTTCTGGGAGGGCGGAAGCAGTCCTCGGGGGTAACTCCTCTCGGATGAGGCCGAGACGGGAAGGGACGGGCTGTTGGGCTCATTGCGAAGTTTGCAAAACAGCTCGAGGGCCTGCTCGTGAGGAAGCGTCCGTAGGGAGTCGAGCATCTCGCTCGAGCCATGGCCCCTGGAGTCTTCCCCTTCGGTGACGGTAACACGATGCCGAATGCTGTACGTGTAAGCGCAGGCCTCGACCCTATGCTCGCACATGAGGCATCGGGGCAGTTTCCCATCGCACTGACGACGACGTCAGCTGGGCCTCGTAATTTGTACGAGGCAACAAAAAAACAAAAAGGCTCGAGGATCGGCCGGGGTTTGGAGGCAGTGTGCGGGGGTATCAAGGCCAGAAACCCACCTTGGTCTTGCGCTTTCGACAAGGATCGCAGGCGCTGTTTGTCTTACGCTGTCTCGGGGCACGATGGACGCCCGGGCGACTTACGTCGGCACTCTGGCCGTTGATGGCCGATCCGGCGGCCGGGACTGGCCGCGGACGCAGCGGTCGGAGAGGATTCATCATGGGAAGATGGAGGAGCGGGGACACATTGTGGGCAGTCGAGTCATTTATGAGATAAAAAATTCGATAAGAATGATGCCAATGCCAACAGTCTGGCCAACGAAGCCCATGCGTGAAAGGGGGGCGGCAGAAGACAACACCACGCCCGCCTCCCTGACCTTAGAAATAATCCAACCCCCGGCGCATAGCCGGAGGGTGCCTCCGGCAAGATCTCGACCGATGATTGGCCGGACAGCTAGCTCTAGACGGAAGAGGTCGGTGGTGCCTCCTATTGGGCGGCAGCAAATCGCCCTTTGGTACAGGATCGGGATCGGAGCAGCTCGTCAACAAACAGATCAGTGCGGTCTGTGTATTTCTGCACAAAAGAATTGTGGAACGAGCTATAGGTAGGGAAAAAAGCCCGAACCCAGCCAATTCAGGAACTGTGACTTTAATTACGTGGACCATTACGGATATCTCGATGCCGTGAAGTCCCTGTGGCGAGAAGAGCAGAGCGCAGTCACTCGCCAAGCTCCCCAGACGTTTCAGCAGTTCAAGTTCAAAGCTATTGCTGCTTACTCAAGAAGGATCCCCGGGCTCAGTGTAAGCCACAGCGTAGTTCAAATAACAAACGTGACCGACCAGCTTACTGCAAACAATGGTCAGTAGCGTCTTGCAGGTTCCTGGACCGGCATACTGGGGCGCTGATTGTCCGCTCCCGTTTGCGCCAACGTGAGCTTCAAAAGCAGATGAGCCTGGGCCTTCAAGAGGAGTCAACACATTCTCAGCGGCTGATGCTCTCAGGTCTCGTCAGTCATTCCGTGAAGTGAAGCTATTCAGGACGCACATTGTCCACAATAGACGGAGGGGCAGGGACATGAGACACTCATCAATAGAAAAGCTAGGCACTATGCGTCTTACCGGTTTAGACCTGGTACGGGGGGGAGCATTCGTAGGTACACTTTGGGTACTCGGGGGACGATGCACGTCAAGGAATGCGCTTAGTCTACGAGGTATAGGGGAGGACGTCAATTCTTGAGTTTTGGGCCCAGGGATGATCCTATTGTCAATCTGTATCCCAGGATGGGAGTTTCTGCTCTGTGTTCCCTCCCTCTCATCCGCAGCTCGCTCGCTCATGGGGCAAGAAAGCAGCAAACGGGGCTCAGGCGACCCCCCAAGCTTTCGATTCTGTTGAACCTTTTCTCGCTCCGTCGCGAGCGGCTCATTGGGCAGCGCGCGGAACGAATAGAGAAACATCGCCCCGCCACCCGATTAGCGGAGACAAAGCAACATCTCGATGTAATATTGCGCCCCCTTCCAATAAGAGGGTGGCGAGCGGGGGAAGCCAGCAATGCGGCTGTTGTTCGAGTGCTCGAGTACTGTGACCGCCTTCGCATGGCGGACAGCGCAATTTGGTACGATTTCAAGCAGCAGGTTTCTCCCGCCACATCCTCTGGTAAACCTTTCGGCCGTTCACGTTGGCCTGCTTCAAGGCAGGAAAGCAGACTGTTTGTTTCTTTATTGTCGTATGATACCCACAAAGAACCAAGGATACGGGGCAGTCTCCCGGCAGGCAACCTATCAGTATTCGTAGGCCGTCTGCCCATGCGATGTTGCGCATAAACCTTACCGAGAAGCAAAAGAAATGCCAACGTGGCGCTCATTGGTCTCTTTGGAAATCACTCCCTGTCTGATGGTTCTCAGGCAAACTCAAACCAAAGGGGGCTCTCTCCACACGGATATTTCGAAACACCCACCCCGATGAACCCAGAACACGACACGCCCCCCCCCCCCCCCCCCCCCCCCCCTCGTCAGCCGGGTCCGAAAGATCACCACAAACGTTCATCCGAGTTGTATGCGGTCGTCGTCGTCTTGGAGGCTTTTTGTTATCCTTTTCTGCCCACCGTGCCACCCTCCCTTTTTACACTTGCATGACAGCGCGCCATGCCGGTCCTCCCGGTGCGCCGGGTGTTCAATGTTTGGTGACATGTCTGGTAATATGCTACTCCTTTTTCTCTTTCCTGCCGTCGCGCGCCAGAATCTTGTTCTTACCCCGTAAATGCGTGCGCTCTCGAGTCTTCGGGACTTCGTGTCAAAGTTATGAGACTTCCTCGAGCATTGCTTCTCGGTTTTCCCCCCAGATACCAACGGTTACGCCACGTAGAGAATGGCCCGGCGCGGCATTACTAGGGTGAAGACTGGATGTGCAACTTGCAAGTAAGTCTTCAAATCATCCTTCCAGAGCCCCCTCCCCCCCCTCTTCCTCCCCAATCCCATCTGGCATATCACCGCCGACGGCATACAAAACTATTCCTCGGTGTTGTGGGTTGACGAGCTTAGAACACGCCGCATAAAGTGCGACGAGAAGCGCCCGTCCTGCTCGCGATGTCTCTCCACGGGCCGCCGATGCGACGGCTACAGCTCCCCGCCCTCGAACGCATACTGGTGGGCCCAAATGCTCCGCTCCCGTCCTCGGCCGATGAGCACCACGACGCTCCCGAACGTCGACAACTCGGCCGCCGCCGGCCGCGCAATGCACTTTTACCACACCGTCGCCGCGCCGGCCCTGACCGGGTCACTGAGCGAGACGTTCTGGCGCGCCGTGGTCGTGCAGGTGTCGAGCCGGGAGCCCGTCGCCGGCCACGCCGTGCTGGCGCTGGCCTCCCTCTACGAGACCTTCGCCACGGGCGCCCGGAGGCCGGCGCCGTTCGCCGTGGGGCACTACAACAAGGCCATCGGGCTACTGCGCTCGACGAGGGATCCCGCGTTGGTGCTCTTCGTCTGCGTGCTCTTCATCTGCATCGAACTCCTCCGAAACAACCCCCGGAACGCCATCGCCCACTGCCGGCACGGCATCAACATCCTCAACGAGGTGCAGGCCGAGTCCGACTTCCTCCGACATCATGTTGTGCCTGCCATGCACCAGCTGAGCCTCGCGCCCTACTGTTATGACGCCGACCCCAAGACATTCCCGACGATCAACAGGCCAGTCCCGTCCGCAGGCGCACGCCTCGAAAGCGTCGTAGAGGCACGCATGCGACAGATAACTATACAGATCCGAACGGCGCGCTTTTTGCAGACCGGCGAAGAGAGGCGCTTGGCGGCGGGTTACGAGGGGCCCGAGCCAGACAGGGTACGGACTCAAAAGTCCATACTGGTGGATCTGGACAGCTGGCACAGTGCATTCCAAGCTCTGAAGGCTGCCCATCAGCTCGACGATAAAGAGCACGCTGTGCTGTGCCTGCTGGAGATCCGGTATATCCTGAACAGGACCCTACTTCTGCTGTCAGAAACGACATCGGAGAACGAATACGACGCTTACATGGATGACTATCGCGCCGTCGTCGACTTGGCAGCCAGAGCGACAGCATCTCCCGGCGACGGCGGCCCATCACGGACGACACAATTCTACACGGATGATTCGGCCATCGAGTTGAGCTTCGGCCCCCTCCTGTACTTGGTTGTCTCCAAGTGTCGCTCTCTGACCGTGCGGATCGCGGCCTTGAAGTTGATGGAGCAGCTGGCGCGGCCGAGGGTCAACATCTGGGTCAAGTCTATCACGGGAGCGGTGGCCCGGCGGATAATTGAGGTTGAGCACCAAATCTCTCTAGGCGATTTGGACATGAGCAACTTCGTCGATGATGGAGAACTCCCACCGGAAGAGAGACGGGTTATAAGTGTCGACTTCCGTTGGGCGGCCGACACGGAGAGCGGCGGCTCGTTGAGGCAAGTCGGTTTCCTCTTCAGAGACCCTGGCAGTGGCAAGATTATATCAAGAGGCGAATGGATCAACGTAGAACACTAGTCAGGGACGTCTAGATACTTGACAAAGGTCGAAGCAGTCGAGAAGAAATCGGCCGTGTACGTGACTTGTGGACACTGTCAGCCCCGCTCACTGATAACGGAGAAAACAGTAGTCAATTGGGAAACAAAAATCCTCTGGAAGTAGTATCTTTCGCCTAGTCTCGGCAAAATCGATGTTTTCATAATCCAGCCCACCCAAGTTTTCAGCCCTATAGTACCGCTACGACGTCGATAGCCGCCAAACACCGCCTTAAGATCTTCCTTGACACGTCATACAAGACCGCCTTCAATACCGTATTCGCTAGAGCCGTTTCAATGTTGTGACGCCATTTCGCGAAGCATCGTTGCCCTCGAGTGCTGCTGCAGCATCCCCATGGCCTCTGTGTTGTCTTCCATTCAACATGCCCCTAGTCAGTTGCCTCCTTTGGTGTCATCAAAAGGTTCCCCAAAGATCTCAGCCCAGAGCTTCTGGTCGTCTTCATTGAATCATGCTCCGCAAAGGCCCATACTAAACAGGGTGAGCCTCGAGATGTATCTGAAGCAAGGGGCGCTTGTGATGAGGTTCATGGCGATCTTGAAAGGAGACTCGACGTTCTCGCGCTGGTATCGGACGATAAATTCCACGTTGACGATGGCTTCCTGGAGGCTGCTCTTTGCACGATGTATGGCATATTTACACTCATAAAGGCTTCCACTGGCGTCAAGTCCCAGAAGCTCGCAGCACGGCCTGACAAGATTGTTCATAAAGTCGTCAACATCCCCGCCCCCGGTGTGGACGGAGCTACTGTAGTCAAAACCCCTTTTCATTGCTTTCTGCATAGACCCAGCGGCAGCTATAAGCGCGGTCTCGACGCGTCGCCTGCTCAAATTTGCGTCGTTCACGTCAATCGTCTTAATTGGCCGAAGACAGTCAGCCGCGTGCTAGCCACTGGCCAGGTCCTCCTCGAGAATCATCCGGAGAATGACGAGGTCCCGTCCGACAATGCGGTCCTTGGCCGCGGTGGCGTCGTCAGCGACTAGCTTCTTGATATCAATCTCGCAGGGTAGTGCAGGGGTCTCCCTAGGACGCTTTGGCTGGTGGGGCCAGGTCAGGTGCCCGTCTGGGCCCAGTGTCACCATCTTTGAGATGAAGCCCGCCTTTTTCGCCATACGAAGGTCAGCGACGTGCAAGCTGAAGTAATATGTAAAGGCGCGCAACGCGGAATCGCGCGCATTTGGCTTTCTGGCGGCAGGGCCATTCGGGCTGGAGTTGACTGTGGCGGCAATGGCAGCTGCTGTTGATGACTGAGCCTCCCTTGGTAGATGAGGGGGAGGAGGCGTGTTGACGGTGTTTATATCAGGCCAGGGCAACCGGACTACTGTCTGGGGTGCAGTCCAGAGCTCTCGTGGCTCCTGGTCATGGTAGGGTTCCAAGGAGTTGGCATCGAGGTGCTCTTGGGCATACAGCGAGACGAGTTTGTGGTCAATGTCTTCGATGTTGATCTCGAAGGCGGCGTCAAAGCTCTTGTCCTTTTTGTACATGCAGGAGATGGTCCGAAAGATGTGGGCGTAAGCATAAAGCCCGTGCTCCTCGTGGAGTCTGAAGTAGTGAGTGGAGTACAAGATGAAAACGGCCAGCTCGACGGGCGGAACAGGCTGGTCCTTCTTTGCAGTCTTCTCGCCGTCCTGCAGCGGCTTGCAGTACTTGGTTACCGCGAGCTCTGGCTGGTGCCGGGGGGAATTGTGGTAGGCCGACCAAACAATAGCTACTGAAACAGCGAGGTTGATGGAGACGATGTTCCGGGGTACTTGACGAGAAAACACTTGATTTCATCGACGAGGCCATTGAGTATCTTCATATTGACGAGCTTGGGCATCTTCAAGTGAAAAAGCTCCCAGTTGTCCTCCGTCATGTGCTTGAAGACGTTGTAGTCCGGCTCTGACGTGATGTCTTCGACGAGGACTTGACATCTCTGGCCCCTGGGGAAGTGTTCTTGTTGATCTGTGTGGGATTTGTCTCTCTCGCCATCGGAGACCTGTCGAAAGGCGGGTTCGATGCTGGGGGTGGTAGTCAGTGCCGAGGGACAGGACCTTGAGGAAGGTCAACTGCCTTGGTCGAAACGTGTCGACTGGTGGGATGATTAGGCGGGCTGTCTGGCCTGTTGAGCTCACGCCCAGCAGAACACCGCAGTATGCGTTGCTCATGTCGGGGGAGTATCTCCTTCCGCGTCCACGTATGAAGACAGGAGTGAACAATTCGCCCTCGATGCCGACATAGTACGAGTCGTCAGACAGCTCATCGTCAGGCCTGTATCGTCGATGACCTCGCTTCAGGGGGGACAAGATGACGAAATTGTAGGAGATCGGTCGGAAGCACGACTCGTTCGAGGGGCTCTGCGCCAAAGACATAGTTCCCGGGGATCCCGGACGCGTCGTAGAGTTCGCCTCTCCACTTCCAGCGAAACTCGATGAGCTTGACGAGAGATGGTAGCGCAGGCGTATCATGTCTTTGAGGAGCGTTGTCGTCCATGTTGGATCAACCTCGGGTAACACCGAGGCTGCGTTGACGATGTAGTGGGATTGCTGTCAATGAGAATTGTCGAGGAAAGCACAGGTGCAGAAGCCGAAGCGGTATCAAGTACCAGTGCTGGGAAAGAACGTGACACCATGGGGGAGGACTAGCGATGGGCTTGGGGACGTGAGAATAGCCTACCATAGGGAGTTGGAGTAAAATAAAACATAGAATAATGATCAGCTTTGACTGTGAGTCGAGTATGGACAAGTAGAGCCGAGCCGAGCCAAACCAATATGGTGACCGAGGACTCAACGAAAAGTCTGTGATGTTGTAGTTTTCAAAGGAGATGAGGGAGTAAGAAGGTCAAAAGGGGGGGAAAGAGTGAGGGGGGACGGAGACATTTGAGGGAAGGAGATATACTTCACTTCTGGAAAGAAGCGGCCCCCATGACCACTTTCCCGATGGAAGACGGACTGTGGAAGAGGCGGGCGAGGGAAGGAGGGACCGTCCGTATAGGGCGAAGGGGGAAGGAGAGGTGGAGAACGGAGACAGCAGTGACGAGGTGAGGGAAAGGTGATCCCGGATAGGTATTCACGTAACCCTCATCTGAACACTTGAACTCCTATCCTTTCTGTGGTATTTCGTCGATGCCCATCGACTTGACCCTCCCACCTTTTTTGTGTCAACCAACAGGCAACGCAGACAACACTGAAAACAACGTGCTTCCTTGTGACTTATTAGAGAGACATTACTTACACCGAGAAACTTTGATCAACCCCTGCGTTCGCACCAGAAGTCGGCCTCAGCAAACTCACACCATCTGACCTAGATCGGATCGACCTCAGCATCGTCAACCACCAGATCCTCCTCAACATCCTCATCCCCTCCCATGCGGCCCTCGCCAGCCCCCGCAGCGTCGCCGTCTTCCTCCTCCACCGGGGGCTCCTCCCCATCCGCCCACGCCTCGGGCCCGAGGTACCGCCTCGGCCAGATGTTCATCGCCGTCTTCACCCCAGACGCCACCGGCAGTCCCGCGTGCACCACCCTCTCGTCGCCCTTCCCGTTCGCGTGCAGGTTCACCCAGAACACCGCGTTGCCCCGCACCGGCCGGAACGCCAGCCCGCCGTCCTCGTGCCGCCTCCAGTGCCGCGCCCCCTCCGCCTCTTCCGCCAGGTGGTGCTGTGGCGTCGCCGCCCGCACCCGCGGGAACCACGTCTCGCCCCCCGCGCACCCGTCCTCCAGCACGGCCAGGAAGCTCGCGAAGCGGTTCCACTGCCGGTCCCGCCCCGTCCGCGCGTCCGGCTGGAACGTGTCGTACCAGTCGTGGTGCACGTTGAACCGCTGCCCCGCCGTGTACCGCACCAGCTGCGGCGCGCCGACCTCGTCGCGCCCCGGCGCCAGCGCCGCGCCCATGAACCCCTCGGCCCGCCGCGTCACGCACCGCACCACCGCGTCCTCGGCCGGCAGCCCCGCCGACCACGACGTCCGGTCCGGCGTGCCCTGCGCGACGCCGTCCTTGAAAACGTAGCTCGGGCGAAACCCGTCCTCGCCCGCCGCCAGGAGGCCGGCGATGTCGGCCTCGTTGAGGAAGTCGCGGATGTAGATGACAAGCGGGTCGAGCGAGACGATCTGCGTCGTGTAGTTCTGGGCGGCGCAGACGAAGGGCTCCGCCGGCGCGTTTTGGACGAAGGTGTCGTCTGGCGGGGGCGAGAGGAGGGCATTAAGGGACGCCAGGGCGCGCGAGGGGGTATCGCACTGCTGGATGTAGGGCAGGGTGATGGCGACGAGCCCAGTGTAGGCCGAGAGGCCCAGGAGCTTGGTGAGAAGGCCAGTCATGATCGGATAGTTCGTCGGCAGCCTCACAGAACGGGCATTGCGTCACTAGCAAAACCCGAAAGAAAAAAAAGAGACACCAAGCAGGAAAAGCGAGCGGTTGGCCAAGTACCGCCGCTTATAAGAATTACCACCGTCGGCCCACCGCCAACTCACACGAGTGCATACCTCGTTTTCTTCACTCTGTCCAGTTCCCCGACGCTCCCCTCCCCTTGCCCGCTCCGAAAGGCGCATCAGATAGGTCGATGGAGCGTCCTCCTCCGGCTGGGCGGACAATCTCATGCGTGCCTCGGCTGATTGGACGGCCCGCCAACCCCGGAACCGCGCCACACACCCGTCTCCCCCGCGTCCTCCGCTCGTGGGTGGGACTTCGCGGAGAGCTAATCAGCTATCCTCGGTGGTGGGGGCTCAATCTGACCAGCTAGCTAGCCCAGAGCTATCGCGCTTGATTGGGTCCCGGTTGAATGCCATTATTTTTGTCTCATCTTCCCTTCCATGCTTGTTAACGCTCCTCGAAGTCTGGGATGTCACTCTCCCTTAACCCTCCCAACCCTACCGTGCCTCTCGCAGGGGAAGGCCAGATATATTGTCACATGCACGTTCTTCATATCACCCGGAAATCAGCTTCGGTGTTCAAAGTGACAAAGGAATAAATCACGTTTTGAATTAAGCCGCGTAACGGCCGGGCAGCTGCACGACGTACGTTGGAAAAATCCTCATCTCTCCCGAATACAAGGACTCCTCTGCCCAAGCTATCCCGGCCAGGCGTCTGGTTTCTCCTGAATGATCGGGCAAAATGTACTTTAGTCACACAAACAGCTATATACCCTCGTGGGTGGATGAGCATGGCGACTCTTATCCTTTTCCAAGTATCAAAGCGTGTGGCGAAACATGCCAAAATAACTCCAGCAAACACCACGAAGATGAGGCGTCGACGCGATTGGTACACGCCCTAGACCTGGCTGTGGCGCGCGCGCTTGCGGGCGCTTCCAGTGGACGAGGAGGGGTGGAGCTTGTCGTTGCGCTCTCTCTTGAGCTTCTCGTCGAGAACACGGGCTATTCACAGTCAGCAATGTCTCTGTGCACGGGCAATGGCGCGATGGCGTACTGAGCACGTCGTATCCGAACTGGGGGTGCTCCAAGCACAGGGAACGGAACTCGTCCTCGGCCTCGGCGCGCAGGGTGTGCGACCGGGTGGCCCAGAAGCTCGCGACGGGGGCGCGTATGGTGGTGTCGTCCTTGCTGGTGTAGGCGTAGACGTAGCGGGCGTAGGCGATCTCGCCCTTGGCCGTCGAGTTGACGCAGTGGATCTTGGAGCTGGCGAGCGACCGCAGGCTCGGCATGCCGAACTTGTCAGCCAGCGTGTAGACGCGCGCGTGTTTCAGCAGCTGGGTGCCGTCAGAGTCGACTTCGGGGGTGGCAGGGTCCGATTCGAGGGTGCGCGTGCCGGCAACCTTGCGGGGGAAGTACTCTCCCGTGTAGAGAAACTCGAGGAAGCAGCCGACGGCGTCGATGTCTTCGCCAGCGAGCTCGATCTGACGCGGCTGTCGGGGATTGGGTCAGTGAAGCCTTGGTTGAGCCGGCGCCCGGGCCAATGGGCGGTAGTGTCGCGGGTGAGCCACTTACGCTGCCATCGTCGCTGAACTGGGCGCATGCCTCCTTGAAGTAGGGGCTCTGTGTAAGGAGGGCCTGGTGTGCCGTGACTATTGTTTCTGTGTCGCCCTGGCCGACGAGCAGGGTGACGACAGGGCTGGAGAGGTAGTCGACAAAGGTGGTGCGCGGCTCGACGGGGTCGCTCTCACCGCCATCGGCAAAGGGAAGGTTCTCGGCATCGGCATTGTCGGCATTGTCGGCAGTGTCGGCCGCCTCGGCGCCTTCCATCTCGACATCGACGGCAGGCTGCGCGGGGGCGTCGCTGGAGACCTCAGCGTCGTTGGCGAAGTCGGCCATTGCGACAGGGCGATGCGGTGTCTTGGGTGGTGTGTGGTGTTTGGAATCGCGTGGCTTGGCTGGCTTGACTACCTATGGTATAGGGAGCGGACGGCGGGAACTAGAGAATGACCAATTGATCGCGTGTACTGCGGTAAGGAAAACGAGGGCCTGAATAGAGATCCTAAAGAGTGTGTTGACCACCAGCCCGTATATGTTGTTTTCTGCAGGAGGGGGGGGAAGGTGCGACAAGCTCAGCTCAGAGCTCCCAGCAACGGCAACGACAACGGCGACTGGACGGTCCCTGTTAGGCGGTACGGGTTGCAGGGTTACAGGTAGAGTAACAGCCCTGGTTTGGTAATTTGACGGCCCTCTAAACTATATTTGGTAAAGCCAACCTGGTCCAGCAGGCACTTGCCACGGTTGCCACAGCCCCAGCCACTTGTCCGGAATAACTAGAAATACCGCATTCTGTCACGCGAACTCTAACTAACTCTAACCCTAGCCTGAATCCTAACTAAAATCCTAACCAGAATCCTAACCCCAACTACCCTAACTATAGAGAAGATTTTATTCAGAATCGCCAGAATGTCGTAGATATGATGGTCAGGATGGTTAGGGTTGGTTAGGATTCTGGTCAGGATTAGGGTTAGTTAGAGTTCGCGTGACAGCATGCGGTATTTCTAGTTATTCCGGGGGGCCGTCAAATTACCAAAAGGGGGCTGTCATTCTACCCGTAACCGGGTTGCAGTGTACCTTATCTAGGCAGTAACTGTATACTGCTTACCTACCTATCGATAAGACGCCACCGCGCGGCGCAAAGTCCGTGCGCAACTCAATTCAAGGAACCTTAGCTATCTAGGTACGGATACGGAGTACTGTGTATGTATATACTACGTATGTATCCGTATGTGTATATGTATGTTTGTAGACTTGGAAGCTCATGTTTTTTTTTTGGATTCTCCAACACCAACGCCGGGTATCGTCGACTTGCGAGATGCATTTCTAGCAAAAAGAAAAAAAGACACCGCCCAATCGTGCCAAAGCAGAAGTCCGCCCAACGCAGTGCCATGGAATCGACGGCATGAATTGTACATCAAACATCGCTGTGGAGTGCAATCTCGTCATATTGCGCTCTCTCGGTTTCCTCCAAAATTCACCAATATGCTTGTTGCAGACACGCCTAGGCACCTCTAGCTCCTGTTTCCTTGTGTGCATTGCCCCTCTCATCTTACTTCTGCTGGCTCTCTTCTCAAGATGACTCGATTCCTCCGGGCTTCTTGTTGGGGGATAGGTGCGGTAAGCCGGGGTGAATTGGCTTCAACGGTTGCTCTTGCTTCAATACCTCCCAGTGCTTCTTCAATGTGTCTTCCCGCACCACCAGCTCAAAGTTTGTGAGAAAGCAGAAACTGATCTCCAAACGAGCAAGCTCTAGGTCGCTGACACCCCCGACCTTGGCCATCTTGCTGTGCGGGTAGCTGAGGTCTTCGAGCGCCTTCATTGCCACCCGCAAGCCCGCGAGCACCAGCCGATGCGCATTCCGCTTCGTCACCGGTATCGTTCGCTCGTCAACCGCCAGGCGGTGGATGTATAGGCTCGTTGCGAGATAGACGGCGGTGCTCATAGGACAGAACCGGTGGATGCGTGCGAGATATTCCTCGATGCCGATAGGCGGGGGCTTTTTGGAGTAGAACTTGCGTGTGATGGCGCTGTGTTGAAGATTGAGCGGCTGCGAGTTCTCGCCAATGATTATGTACGGCTCGGGCGGCCTCGTGGGCGGTGTGGGTGCGGGGCTTGGCGTCTGTCGTAGATGGACGCCGTCTATGAGTTGCGACGACGAGGCGCCGGAGCCGCTCGTTCGGGACGCCGTAGTGGGTCGGCGGGGGGAGGGGTGGGAATGGCTCATCGCGGCCTCGGCCTCTTGGAGCATCCTCGCCAGGTTCTTTTCCGAGTTGGAGCGGATGAGTGCCTTCTCGGCTGCCATGCCTCGCATGTTGGGCAGTGTCGGGCTCGTGGGGGGTGGTGTCGGAGGAATGTCGCCGGTTATTCGCACGAGAGCTTCGATGCCGCCGCTCAGCAGCTTCATTGCCGACCGCGGGGACAGCTTGAAAACGTCGTCATTCTCGGTAACGTTTGGTGGGCTTTCGCAGTCGGCAACGCCAAGTCGCGGGTCGGACGAAGGATTCGGCGGCGGGGGTAGGTCGGGCACATTGCTCGTGTTCGACTCTGTATGCTGGAGAGGGGCACCCTCTTCGGGTTTGGGAGACATTCCAATCTCTGGTTCGAAACGCTCCCGAGGGAGGCACCGGGGCTGGGTATCGGGCGCCAATGACGTTGGGTTGGAGCGGGAGAACAGAGTCTCGGAGGGTTCGACGTGGGCGATGGAGAGCATCTGAGCCCTTGAAGAGGGCTGTTGATTTCGTATACACTTGAGCTGTTTGGGACAACTAGCATGATCCAAATCCTATTCTTGCAAATATGCAATCTCCCTCGGCCTTGTTCGGCTTCCGGGAACCGGGTACCTGGGTCGTTATGTCGCAGATAGCGCTCGGCGGGGCAGGCCGTTCGAGAACAGACGAACTCGGACGGCTCGAAGGACGAAACGTTGGGATAGCGAAAGTCAGATATGGTTTTATTGGAGGGGAATGCTGTCGTTCTGGCGAGGATGATAAAGGGCGGGTATAGGGCAAAGCACGGGGTGTCGGGTAATGGTGCTCCAAGCTGGGTCTGGCTTGTGACTGACGACCAAGGGAGGGTTCTTGGATTCTAATTTTAATGAGCAGCACCTTGGGTGGTTCGGCAGGAAATATCTCGGTCGAGGCAATGTCGTTGGTGCTGTGGTGGCTCGTTTTGGTGTTGGAACTTTTCGAGTCTGGCGAGCTTTTATCGGTCGAATTCCTGGCAGAGGTGCTTTGGTGGGCAGAGGGCAATCTTTGTGTTGATGTCAAAGCTATCAGTGCGGGGAGCTGCAGGCATGCGGCAATCGAAGAAATAGCAAAGGACACGGCATCCCGGGTGGAGTGGAGGGATCGGCGATCGTCTCAAGTTTCGAGCTGCAAGGTGTAGTAGTAATGAAGGGACGGCGCAGATGGTTCAGCAGGATTGGAGTCAGGGAAGGCGGCTGACGGCTGACGGCTGGCGGCTGGCTGCTGGCTGCTAGGCAAGAGGGGAGGAGAAGCCTAGTGTAGAAGTGCTGGATGCAGATGCAGGATGCAGGAGAAAGAGGAAAAAAATAAAGTAAAAAGAAATAGCAATGGCGGGACTTTCGGTGGCGTTTATTTGTCTGATGTTCCCTGTCGCTTAGCCCAACACACTGCAGCGGAGGTTGCGGTTCCAAGAGCAGAAGCAGGGAAGAGCGAGGTAGCGTCGTGCAGGGGTCGGAGCAGGAGGCCGTTTCGATGATGATGATGATGATGTTGATGATGATGATGAAGGGAACTCGATCGGGAACGAGCTACCTGTACCGCAGCGTGTAAACGAACGGACGAGAAGACGGATTCGCAGCAGCAGTAGCGACAACAGGCCAAGGCCACGACGCAAAGTGGGATCTAAATGGATGATTTTGAATATGCAAGAACCACGGCAACAATGACGACGACGACGACGACGACGACGATGATGATGATGATAACAGTTGACGCGAGGTGGCGAATGACTCGCAGGAATGGCGCATACAAATGAGTAGATTGGCAGATAAGAGGTGGGTAGCTGGATATTGTCGAATTTGCCGATCCCGGATCGTCCTCGCAGTAATATTCGTTAACATGCGATAATGTCGTCTCCCACGGCTGGGTGGGGATGGAAGTCTGAGAGAGTTTAAACTAAGCAGCAGGCAGCCGGTAATTGGTTTTTTGTAGTGAAATTTCATCCACTACTAAGGTACAAGCATTTGTGAGGAGATACCAGGGCTCTGGGATTTGAGATTCCTTTCTAAGCTATTAGTTTAGGAATAGATAGATGGCGAGGCTGCGGTTGAGTGGGGACTCTCGAAGCGGGGGTGGTAGTTGCATGCCGCATGGAATGTATACTAGTAGACGGTGCATGGGAGGGGCGCTCGGAAGGATCCAAGCCATTCTTCGTCTACTTGTTACAAACAAGTTGAGTGAGAAATGGAAGACAAGAAGAAAGGAAAGAAAGAAGGACGGTGGAAAAGGCGACCCTGTCTGTCTCTCCTGCCTCCTGCAGCGTTCGTCCAGCTGGAGAATTCGCGAGGTAGGTCCCGTCCCGTCCTGTTCTCCCTGCTTGCTCCTACCTTTTTCGTTTCTCTTGCTGCCCTTGGCGGTCTTGATCACCTGGTCTTGCCATCGTCCCTGTCTCTGCTGTTGTCACTTTTAATGCGCGGTACTATCCGAGAGACCTATGGTAATCCGAGCCGCGCTGTCCCGTTCCCCACTATGCGTACAAAGTAGGTATAGTACGGAGTACGTGTAGTAGGTATTCCATCAAACAGTAGGTACTGTGCTGGGAGGGACCACGCAAAAGTGCCTGCTGACCATGAATGGTTTTAAAAACCTATGCCACCCATGAGGGCTGCAACCTCCAGGAGCGGATTGGGTTTGTTGTCAGGTAGGTACACTAGTGTACCGGTAGACAGTGGACTACCTAGACCTATCTAACCTACATTGTGCATAGATACGTACCCCAGTCCAACCGTCCAAAAGGTCGACAAAGAGGCAGTAATGCAACCAGATGAGATGCCCACCGTTGAGAGGTGACATCCGCCCGCCCTTCATTCCTTCTATCCGTACTCGCACACTAAATCGGCACGCACCTTCCCTACCTGCGCTGGGTACAGATACCGGTACTACTACTAGAGTAAGGTGCATAGCTACTACCTCTTTACCTTGCATCCATGTGGTGGTGGTGTTGCTAAACAGGGATCTTCGCCCACTGGCGTCGAGCACAGACAACTTCATGGCCGCTGCGTAAACCCCACTACCCCGTTTTATTTTGGAGGCAGGCGCGAAAGGGGGGGCCGGAAGGTGGGGTTTTAAGGGTCTTTGCTTGTCAAATGACCAAAATTAGTGATGCACCACCCACCAGAGGCAAGTAGGCCTCGACCGACCTAATACTTGCCTGCCGTAACCACCCACCACCACATAGTGGACAACTCATCCTTTGGAAACGGCATTCCGACGACTAGGCACTGTGTTGATGTGCTCGGGGCCGGGTAATGGCTCGGAACTCACCCGCTAGCATCACCTAAGCGCCATCGTGCGGCATTACGCATGCCTTCGTATCCTAATATATCAGATATCTGGTGACTCGATTTTGCCGGGCCGAGACCCCGCTAGTTTGTTTGTCTACGTTTTTACCGCGCTTTAGTCATCATAATGGATCACCCCCCCAGTTGGATACAGCCTCGCTTCTACATTGGATCCAGCTCCGCTTCTACAATCTATACCGCCCTACCTTCGGTCTCATTCTTACGAACCCATGGCCACCTTGATATCCAGCACGGCCGGTTGTCCGCCCTGAACCGTCTCGATCGCTTTCTTGAGCACTCCCTCAAGTTCTTCCAACTTGTCCACGCGAGCAGCGAACAGATCTCCGCCCGCTGCCGCTTTGGCGATTCCCGAGTAATCGGGCGCCGGATCGAACGAGATGTTGATTTCTTCATTCGTCGCCCTGGAGCCTTCACCGTCGGGGTGTACCAGAAGCAGTGACCGCCGGGGCGCATTCCATCCTGTCAGAATGTCAGTCAGACTTTGATACGCGGTCGGGGCTTGCTCATCCATCCCCATCACTCACCCTTGTTGTTCAAGATAATGGTCAGTACGGGAATGTTGTAACGCTTCGCGATCCAGTACACGCTACCTGGCACCGAGAACAGAAACGTTCCGTCGCCGACAATTTGGACCACAAACTTGCCCTTGCCGCCGTTCTCGAAGTCGGTAGCCAACTTGATGCCAAGAGCGCCGCCGCCCGACCAGCCGAGCCCGCCGCCGCCGCAGTTGATCCATGACCCGGGCAGCGTCGGCTGGATGTTGTCGTGGACAAATACCGTGTTGGTCACGGCCTCGATCGCCCAGATCGTGTCCTCGGGGCAGAGCTTCTTCAGCGTCCGCGAGAGGTGGCCGGTTCCAAACTCGCCATCCGCTTTGGGCTGTGCCTTCTCCTCGATCGTGGCCAAGAGCTTCTTGTGTGACTCCTTGACCTTGGCTTCGCGCTGCTTGGCCTCGGCCGATTCCAGCTGCGCGGCGAACTGGCCCTTGAGGTGGGTGGTGATCTGCTCGATCGATTCCAGGCTGCTCGCGCGGTATCTCGACTCCGCGGCAATGTAAAACACGGGCATCTGCTGCTTCAATGGATCGACGTCGATGTGGAAAATCTTGGCGTCCGTCTTGGGGTGGCACAAGGTGTTGATCCACGGCACATCGCAGTCGAGAACGAGGATGACGTCGGCCGTCTTGATAGCTTCTTCAATGCCAAAGCGAAGACCCAGCCAGCCGGGGTGGTCTGCCGGGAAGCACATATCGCTCCCGCCAGTGTCGACGACGCGCAGGCCCTTGACCGTGTTGGCGAGCTCGACGAGCGCAGCCGGGAACTTGTGGTTTCTGCCGCCAAACCCGGTGATGACGAGGGGCTCCTTGGCGCCAGCCAGTGCCTCGGCGATCTTGTTCACGGCGCCCTTGGCAAGGCCACCGAGCTCAACCGGATCCCAATCTGCTTGGCGGATGCTGTACGGCTCGATCTCGGCCTCCATGACCTCTCTTGCGCCGCAAAGGTACACGGGTCCTTGTGGGTCGGATTTGGAGAATTGCAGGGCACGGTTGACCATTTGTTTGACATTGGTTGCCGTCTTGAGCTCGCCGGAATAACGGCAGTACTGGGAGACAATTTGCTTTTGATCTGGGACGTCCTGAATCCAGTGGATGTACTCGGTACGGCTACCCCGCAGCTCGCCCTCGAGTGTGAAGGGGGAGAGGCCGGCAAAGACCAGGATAGGCGCGCGGCCGCATGAGGCATTGTGCACTGCGGCACCGAGACCCTGCGTTCCCACATCGACGTGGACAATAACACACTGCGGCTTCCCGGTCAGGCGAGCATAGCCATCGGCCATGGACATGGCCACCATCTGGCGTCTATCGTCAGTACGGAGTCGGCATGGATGTGGATGGAGAAGCTTATGTCAGTTACCTCATTGGGACATGTGATAATTCGGGGGAAGTTTCCTTTCTTCTCTCTGAGACCCTTGACCATAGCTTCGATGATGCTGGGATGGTCGGAGCCCAGGTTGACGAAGCAGTGGGAGACGCCAGCGTCCCATAGCGCCTCAAAGAAGGCAAACGACGCGGTGTACATCTCGGTGGACTTTGACGAAAGATTGCGAGCTTGCTCAATGGTGGCCTTGAACTCATCTTCAACGACGGGCCGAGCCGATGATTTTATAGGAGCAGTGAAGGATGACGGCAATGTTGATCCCCCGCTTCGATGGAGTGGGGTCGCCGACGAGAAGCCGGCAAGTTGGCGGCCAGGGCCGACAACGGCTGCGCCGACGGCAAATGTCTGCTTCAACCTGACCAGACGCCCTGCTCTACCACCTGGAGGCCCGGCAACGCGCAAGCAGCGTGCGGCCATCAGCCCCGGCATTTGGCTGAGAGGCATGGCGAAGGGCGGCAATACCGACTGACAACGGCTGGAAGGAGGGTGGTGTGGGGGGGACGTCGGCAATCGAATGACAAAGACGGGATTATTCTTACCAACTGTACTTCACAGTGTTGACAAACACCCTGAGGCGCAACCTGGCCTTGGCAGGCTGTGTTAGTGTCTTTGGAGGTGATATGGGAGGGATGCCACAACGACGCCTCGGATTCGACCAATGGAAGGTAAGGTAGTAATTGGAGCTGCGCGGTATATGAGGAGTATGGGTTTTTGTTTTCCCGCTTGGACCGGAAAGGGCAGGTTTTTGTTTGACTGAAGTCGGATTGAGTTACCCGTCACGGGCGACAAAGACACTTATACATTCGGGGGTAGGGTCATTCCACAGACCGACGGCCGGTCCATGCACACTGCTCCCCAGAATAGGGAGCATCACGCCCTTTGGGGTTAACCCCGCAATCGGCTAAGGGCGTGGTTTCATAGGGCGCTTGGAGTCGGCTCATTGCAGGCTTTCGCCCTAGAGCAGGGTGTCATTTCCTGGCCCAGCTTTTGTTGACCTCCCCAGCCCGCCACAGATAAGGATATCAAGCACCGCAGTACAGTTCAAGGTTGTGCGTGCACGGCTCCATGCCGTGTGAGATGAGAGAGAGAGAGAGAGCACTTGGTCATACCCAATGGCTGATGGATGCCAGCAAAGGTTGACTAGCTCATCCTTGTTTCCAACACGGCGCTCTTGTCAACGAGCTGGGTTCCTTTCGCTGCCGACTCCCTGGTTGCTCTCGATACGGAAATTGTAAAGGCCGAGGCCTCCACAGACCGTCGGTTGCCAGCATCTGTTTGGGCCGAGTATTACCGCCGCCGCGAGAGGCCGTACGTTTGGAGCTGGACAGATGGGCCTTGGAAGCAAACCGTGTCTCGTGCCGGTTCCCCGCAGCAAAGCGTGTCCGGGCGTTTCTGGAGGAGGGGGAGACGCTAGGCCGGTGCGCCGAGGTCGTGCGGGGTCGAGGTGGTGCTATCATCTGTGGAGCTTTCGAGTTCCCAGGGATCCAATGTGCAGTGCAATGGTTGCTACAGTATGCAAAAAAGCGCCTTCATCCCGTAATCAACCTTACCATGTCCCTCCCTGACGAAGACGGTAGCCTACACCGCATTCAGAGTCGGAAACCCTTGGTCATCATGCTTTTCTGTAAGCCTGGTGCACATCAAGTGCAACCTACATGTTGGACTTGATCAAACCTAAAAGAAGGGGGAGGGAAGACCCAGCCCGACCTTCCTTTGGCTTCACAGTGCCCCCCTCCCCGGGTGGCCGCCAAGCCATGCGCTCGTTACCTTTCGGACCTCAGTTCATCGGGCCAGATCCAGTCCAGGATCGACCCGATGCCGAAGACGACGAGACCGCGTCGGACCCGTCATCACGACGGCGCCGGCAGTCGACGACCGCGAACGCTGCGGATTCCACGAAGCCGTGCCGATGGTGTGTTGCGGGGCCGGCGCCGTTGAGCCCCGCCGCGGCGATGGCGGCGGCGTGCTTTTCGTCCGAGGGACTGGGGCGTGCGGAGATGGTGGCGGGGGCCCCGACGGGGACGAGGTCGTCGAGGTAGCCTGTACCTTTCGGGTGAGCGAAGACCGTCGTAGACCGGTAGTTCGGGGGTTGGGCCAGCAGAGGAAGAGGGATGCACGTACACGAATCCTTTTCTCTGATCCTTTTCACCCATCTTTTTCCCTCGTTTACATTGTTTTTGTCGCCGCGAATTCTTACGATCTGCACCCTCAAGCGGCCGGCAAATTGGTCTATGTCGGCACGAAAACGCCGGTCATTCCCCCTCTCGTTCCCTTTTCTGACCCCCGTCACTTTTCATCATGCGATTTTATATCGTCCCGAACCTTAGCAATAATGAGGGGAGATGATTCCCAATTGCTTGCTTGGCTTCGGTGCGGAATTGTTCAATGTTGGTGGGGAATTTGTTGCAAAACACGAGGAATTTGTTGCGAGTGCCCCTCGCGGATTGAATTCTGGAGGTGTGCTCCGCCGCCGTACATGGTGATTGCGCGGGTGTAGCCTTGGAATGTAAGATCTGAGCCGTCCTTGCGACCGGCAAATGCCTTGTAGAAGAGCTTTCTCTTCTTCTTCTTCTTCTTCTTCTTCTTCGGCGATGAAGGAACAGGGACAGAGGACACCATTGCGGGCGTAGAGAGACGGCCAGAAGGCTGTCTGTTGGTGACGACGATGGATTGTGATGCTTAACCTTGGCAATAGGGACAATGCTTGGCTCCTGCCTCGTCCAGTGTGCTAAAAACGAATGGAAAAGAAAAAGAAATATAAAAAATACAAAAGCGCCACACTCCCTCCGAGGCGGGGCTCCACCCTTCGGTGACGGCCCCGGTGTGGATACCGCCGATGCCCCACTGGGCCCGATAGCTCGGCATCCGGCCATCGCATTGCAACTTCTCTCGTCCATGTTCGGTGTTTACTGATTAAAACTTGCCGGAAAAAAAAAGAAGGAAAAAAAGAAAAAAGAGTTCCCTTCCTTTCATGCGTACTATGCTGATGCGGATACGGATACCGTTGCTGCCTCAATGCAACCCCGCTCGCATTGGTGTGGTGGGCGAAACATGCTTTCGGGCTCGAGTCTTCCACGAGGCCCGCATGATGGGACTTTGTCGCAATGTTCGGATGAACGCTTTGCGTCATGAAATACATAAAACGTCTCCTCCCTCTTAAGCTCTCGGGTTCCAGCCTTCCTGAACTCGACCGACCGCACTTGTTCGTCACTGATCTTTCTTGTTACGTCCCCTCCCCGAGAGAGTAAAATCTTCATTGCCGTCACGTAGAAAATCACGAATCCAAGACACAACAGAAAGCGCGTGCGAGAGATCAACCCTACCTCATCCCTTACCCACCCAAGCAACCTCCGGAGCCCCCACCATGTCGCTCAACCTGGCGTCCCCGTTCTCCCCCTTCCCGAGCTTCGTCCTCGGCACGGGCCTCACCTTCGTCGGCCTCCTCGGCTTCGCTCGCCCGCTCGCCATGTACGACGCCTTCGGCATCGCCCGGCCCCCAGCCGGCGTCGATCCGAACCCCTTCAGCTACGCCAAGTCGGCCCGGGACCTGGCGGCGGGCGCGCTCTTCATCCTCCTCGAGACGTACCAGGAGGGCAGCGGGAACGAGGACGCCGTGACGGCGCTGTTCGCCGTGACGTCGTGCGTGTGCGTCGCCGACTGGTGGACCGTGAGGCGGATGGGCGGGAAAGGGCCGATGGGGATGCTACACCTGGGGAGCGGGATCGCGTTGGGCGCCTTCGCCATATGGAGGTTCTTATACTAGGAGTGGGCTGTGTGGGTCGAGGAATGAGGTCTTTCGCAGCATGAATGTTTGGTGTTTCGGCGGGCGATAAAGACTCGAGGAGACGACTGCTTATTCACGGGGTAGCATCGGGTTGTGCCGGACGGATCTCTTGAAAGATTTGTTTAATACAGATACGAGGCAACAAAGTAGCAGACCACGTTTTCTTCCCCAACAAAGCAATTCTATCTCTTGGAACATGTTGACCTCTGATGCAAATGCGGAACAAACACCTTGTTCTTGCCTGAAAGCTGGTTACTCGGACTTGCTAATAGTGCTTTGACAATGACCTGGTGGGATTTTCCTTCATGGCTGAGAACAAATTCATTGTAGAATCAGAACGCACTAATGCTCTTCAAAGACTTTATAATAATGGACTTGCAGCATCGCAAATCTATATAACCGTGATGGTTGCGTTCCGTAACATCCTCCAATCCAAACAGCATCAATCGACCAACACTACCAACCACGCACCAGCTCATTTGCCTTGTACGTTTTGATAGCCGATCAAGCGAACTACTATCATCAGCTTTCAGCGACAAATTTTCCGTACTCGATTTCTATCCAGACATCCCTGCTTCTAAGTAACACCCACTATACCTTCGCTTTCTGAGCTTACTACCATTCCAGAGATGCCTTCTAACAACACCAAACGTTCGGCTGTTCGGTGTCACCCTATGACTACCCGATCTACCGCCGCCTGGAGGGGAACGAGCAGCGCCTCAGAGAGCGGCTCATCGGAGAGCAGCGTCCCCGATAGCAGCCCTGATAACTCTCCCGCACGAAGAAGCGACATGCCTAATCCCAGCAGAAAGCGTAGGCGTGGCGCCTCGGAATCCGAAGAGACAGAGGCTTCATCGTCCGTCATAAGGCCCATGAAGAGGCTCAAGGTTTCCAAGGGACGCGCCTCATCTCCCGTCGATAGTGAAGATGCCGAGGGCTCATTGCCCATTAGGCGACCGATGAAGAAGCTCAGCATCTCCGAGAGACGCTCCTCAACTGACATTGATAGTGACGATGACGCTGGCGAGACCCCGAGCCTCCCCGAACTGGGGGACGAACTAGACGGCGGCAATGCTGCCCCCAACACACCATTGCCAACCTTGCACGTGCGCTCCGACGGGTTCTGGCCCACGATCCGCAACGATTACCTCCGCTCGCTGGAGGACGAGAGTATCAGGGTCGACATTCCCTGCGTCATCTGCGGCGACGAGTGCGTCGTCGATGGACAGTCGCGCTGGGAGCTGCGGAGGCCGGAGGGCATGGGCAGGGAGATCCCCGCGATCCTCTGCTGTGGCCACATAATAGGCGACGAGTGCCTGGAGAAATGGAGACGGACGAGGCGAGGGCAAGGAGAACCTCCCAGCTGCCCCATCTGCCGCATGCCTCTCCAGTGCTCCGACTGCGGGGACGCCATGCCCGGCTGGCCCCTCACGCGGGACATCCCGGTCGGGGGGACCAGGACCCTCCAGCAGGGCGGCCACCGCGTCACGCGCTGCAACGGCTGCGAGGCGGAGGTCAGGCTCGGGGAGGTGATGCGGCTGAGCCACCACGCCGAGGGGGGGCGTCCGGACGTACCCCGCCTGTTGCAGGATTGGTTTGACGCGACGAGGGACCGCGCCGCGGCCGAGGTGCGGGCGGGCCGGTGCGGGCACGTCGCGTCAGAGGACGTCACCGACCTTGTCCTGGACGGGACATTCATAGCCATGAGGAAGCGTCTAGACGACTTTGAAGAAGAGGTGCACGGCTGCGTGGAGGAGACGCTGGACTTGATCGAGCGCGATCTGGACCTTCGCTTGCCGTGGAACCACCCCGTACCTTTGGAGGAGGAGGAGGAGGAGGAGGAGGACAATGACGACTGGTGGCTGGAGAACGTTTATCGTTGGAGCCCTTACAACCTATGAAGCCATTCTTTCGAGAGTCGGAAGCTCTAATGCGCATATACAAACAGCCCTGAGCTCTCCTTGGTTCAAGACCGAGGCACGTATAGTAGTAAAAGGTTCCCTCCTTCCCAAGGGGACATAGTATTACGTGTCAAATATACAAGTACTGCCTAGCCGGAAGTGGTATCGCGCTTTTCAACTTGTGCCAGAAGCGCAGTTGGTGACCAAGAGACTCTGGTCGACGTTCTTGCATTCCTTAAATAGGCGACTTTCCGCTCGGAACAGTGACGGTGACGTTCTCAGCGCGGATGTTGTTGCAGCGCTATTGGGTTGCGAACGGCTGTTAGCAATCTGCATTGAGATGTCTTGGAACAAGGTTAACAGCTTGCCTCTGGGGCACTGCAGACCAGCGTGCCGGCCTGGGGGTCAATTTTCTCGGACGTCGTTCCGCAGATGTTCTTCAGAGTGATATCGGAGATTGTCAGGTTGGCCTGGCGTACAACGTAGTCGGTATATGGGACCGTTCCGAGCTTGGGGAGAGGAACAAAGAAAAAAAAAGAAAAATCCTTCTCCAGAAAAGGAAAGCCTACAGGGAACTCTTCGCAGAAGGTCTGGTTCTTCTGTCCGTAGCACTGGGTGGTGGTGGTGATGGCGCGGTCGTTGTTGATGTCCCTGAAGGTGTCGTTACGTGACGTTCCTGACGCGGCCGAGGCCACCGCCGTCGTTCAGGAGGGTCTGGAATGCCGTCTCAATGCCGGGCCAGACCTTGATGCGCGCGGCATCGCTCGCGTCGGCCATGCTGGTGTTGTAAACGTAGACGTTCTCGAAAGTGTCGGTCTCGTCTTTGTACTGGCCCAGTGAACCGACGCTCATCCCGTGAGAGCCGGTGCAGTCCACGTTTTGAACGACAATGTTTGTATTGCTGTTTGGTTCGAAGGAGACACAGTCTGAGAGATGGCTAGGCCAGCGCTTGTCCTGGTTGTGCCACCATTGCGGATGGTCATGCCATCAACGCAGACTCAAGGCCTCCATGACTTTGGGGGCCCAGGTGAGAGTCGAATGATTGACTAACCGTCCGTGTGATGATGTACGAGTTCTGAATGACGATCCGATCGGAGCGATAAGTATCCCAACCGTCGGAGTTGGCAATCTCCACACCATTTACGGCCTATTGGGGTACAGTTAGAATAGCTCCTGGCACATTCTTCTATGTGTTTCGACTCACAATTGCCCGGAGATCCATGTCGCTGATGACCACATCAGTACTGTTGGCGATCAAGCTGGACCACTGCGTTCGTAAGTCTTGTGCCCAATCCTGTTCAATATAGCGACTCACGTTGGGCGGGTTGCGCATGCGAAGGTGGGACATGGTCGCTCCCTCAACACCCTCGAAGGAGAACAACATTGGCCTCAAGATCTGATGTCTCTGTTAGACAGCCGGCGCTGGAGTCCATCCGAGACGGCTTGATCTCTTGTTCGTTTGAAATCTCCCCCCAATACACCTGGCCGTGGCCGTCAATAACGGACTTGTCATTGCCGAGATCCCCGTAAATGTTGACGTGTTCGTCGCCAAGCTACCAGAAGACCGACTGGTTCTGGAAAGCACACTTGAAGCTTTGCTCAACCCAGTAGTAAGGGTCGGTGGCGAAATGAACCTCGCCCGTGATGACCACGTTAATGTGCTCCCGAAAGTAAGGTCCAGCGGGGAGCTGATGAGGTACTTCTTGTCCAAAACTACCGTGCCGCCACCATTACATTCCGTAAAGGCCCCGAAAACCTTGGGCGCGTCGTCGCGGCCCTCGGTGCAGCTGGGCTTCACGTAGCAGTATCGGCCCCTGTCTCGCAGAGGCGAGTATGGCATGACCCTTCCGGAGTCGAAGGGGGCCGGCTCAACGACCGGATGCTTCGGGATGTCGCTTTGGGTCGTAGCGGATGATGAGAGGCAATGGCCACAGCTAAGACGCTCAGGGAGGCAACACGCATGGTTGGCAAGTCTGGAACGCACACGCAATAGGGAATGCCAAGTTTGGTTTACCAGATGAGCACCGTTTCGATTGTAATATCTGTGGACTGTCTGGCTTGAAGTGACTGCAACCCGGAAATGGAGAGCTCAGGGGCACGAAGTTGGATGAGAGAACAACGACCACCGCGAGTTGGCTCGGCGCAATATGTGGAAGATTATGGAGCTCACGTAAGGTTGCTCGGACGGTCGGTGCAAGATTCGGCGGACCGGGGTCTACAATGACATGGGCGAGTGGCCCTCCATCTCACCATGTTGACGGACTGGTCCAGTCAGATTAGACTTCCGCGACTGAAGAGTCCTAGGTATATTATACATGCGTCCCGCCCCCCACATGTTCTTCCCGTTTTGCGCGCGCAGAGTCTTATGAGTAACGGGATGCGGAAAAGAGATTGCGAGGATCTGTAAGCCGTGAAACACTAGGAGTCATCCGTCTCGCTGTCCTGCTCTCGGTGTCATTCTGTCCACGCACAAGGGTCTGGGCTCTTCCAGCCCCTTGGTTCCCGGGGATTAAGCCGCTTTGCCGTTCGCTCGGGGTAGCAACTTGGCCCGGATGCCTTTGCTCTCCAAATCGGCGACTGCAACGAAGAAGTCGCGCTTGCAGACGACGTCGTCGGTCGTGGTCTCGAACATCTCCCACTCGAAGCGCCGGACAATGGTGGCTATTGTGATGTACAGCTCCGCGTATGCTAAGCTAATGTCGCGTCAGACAATGTCAAAACATTCGGCCGGAACTGGCATATTCTTACTTGATTCCAAGGCACTGCCGGCTACCTTTGCCAAAAGACACGAGGTATTTATCGAGCCGCTTGTTCTGCCCCTCCGCCTCAATCCAGCGTTCTGGTCGAAACGCTTTAGGCTCGGGGAACACGGACGGATTCATAAGAACGAAGTAGCAAGACTGGGAAACCGGCGTCTAAACCCGAGTCAGTATTCTTTCAAAACCTCAAAGCAGATCGTCGGTCGACTGCCTACCCCAGCAGGTATCCTATATCCCTTATACTCGATATCATGGTGGGCGATCCTAGGTAGCCGAGTTGTGACCCCATATGAGAGCCTCAAGCCCTCTCGGATAACGGCAGTCTGGTGGCACAATCGGTTAGAAATCAAGGCCAGCTCGGCAAGGGGCGGCAGGGTGTCGTTGATCCCGGGGCTGAACGCACAAGATATGAGAGCTTCTGCAGCTCGGTCCAGGGCAGGACGTCGACAGCGCTGGGCATCGCCGCATCCAGCTCCGCTCGGAGTTTTTGCAGCACTTCGGGGACATGCTTCAGATAAAAGAAGATTCTCGCGAGCGTCTGCGCTGTTGTTTCGGAGCCCGCGCCTGTCAAAATTTCGGCTTCGTCGCAAAGCCGCTCGAGCGACTTTTCTTCCGGAGGCAGGTCGCTGTCGCGCAGCGTATGGAAAATGGTTCTTCGCGACGACCTCGACATGGAGATGTCGTCTGTACGCTCCAAGATGGGCTTGACTTGCTGCTTGACCCCTTCATGCCACCCAAAAAGATGGCCGACGGAGGGCTTTATCGCCGACACCCAGGAAAGCGGGAGCTGCCTCATAAGTGGGAGCATCCATGGGAACTGCCGGCTAGCTGCGCCGCCCTCAAAGGCCCCAATGACCGTCTCCTTCCACAGGAGCTTGAAGTCCGGTTCGTCCAAGTACTTGCGGTCGTGGGCGAAGGAGTAGTCACATATGATGTCCATCGTCAACGCCATAAATGCCACGTCCAACCGCACGATTTCCCCTGTCTGGGCGAGCCCGTCAAACCGCGCCGAGAGCTTCTCCGCCTTTTCCTTGATCAGCGGCTCCAGCTGGACCACGGAGCGCACTGAAAAGAAGGGACTCAGGGCCCCGCGGCGCTGCCGATGCAGGTTGTGCGACACGGTCGAAAAAGAGCTTTCATCCGAGCCCGCAGTCTTGACCCACCACAGATACTTGTCCGACTTCCTGCTGGAAGAGTAAAGGTCGTCGTAAAAGTCCGGGTCGTTGATGTGCAGTTCATACGGGTTGATCCGGAGGATGGGGCCTAGGGTTCACAAATTTGCGTCAGTGAAAGCAATGCGATGTTCGCTCGAAGGCGTGATGACGGTGGCTTCAACGGTGACTTCGAACGCTGGGCTAAGGTCTGACCATATTTCCGGTGCATCTCTTCGATGCGCCACATGAAGGTTCCGCGCTTGACGATGTCCCAGTAAATCTCGTTCCATAATGTCAATGCCGCAAGTTTAGACCCCGGAAATTTGGCTAAAGGGCTGAAGTAGAGTCTGTAAACGGCGACGGCGATGATATAAAGCAGCCAAGCTCCTCCGAGCAACAGCAAGGTCAAGGTCCATTCCATGATGGGCAGCACGAGTCTCACTTTCGTTCAGCCTCAGCGAATGTCCAGATTACAGACTTAAGTAGATGTATTTATTAATGGGTAGGAATTCTCTGCTCATGACCCTGGGCAATGGGCCCATCGTTGAAGGCCCGTTCCGGATCCTACTCTCCAATATCGTTGACAGGGGTGACACCACCGGCAGGGTTCCACGGGGAAATCTGCAGCATGCTGCAAAACGAAACTCCATGCAATATCGTTGCTGCTGGGTTGGATGGTGGACGGGGCTCGACTTCGGGGCTCGACTTGCCGTCAAAGTGACATTGCCATACCCAGAGATAAATGAGAGCGGAGAAGCCCAGAAAAGAAAATGTGCCACAACCCCTCCGCTTTCGGTTGGCGTCATGTCACCGGCCCCTAAACATTGCTTGTTAAGTCGTTCCCCGACGACGCTATATGGCGAGATCCCTACCGGCCCCTCCCTAGGGCCGCAGGAAACCCCGTCAACGTCACATTTCACATTCTCCTGCCTTTATTTTCCTTCCTTATAAGTTATTGATAGTCTCAGCCTCCGCTCAGACCTCCTTGCCTCGTCGTGATCGATGCGCTCTTATGAAGCTACCCATAGATCGTGGCCTTTACCGTAGACATTTCTGGCTGATAGAGTTGCGGGTCCGCCAAGGGACAAACCCGCGCGGGCCGCTGCTAATGCGCCATACTCTCTTTCAAGTCCGTCAACCCTCGCCGGCCTAGTCGCTGGTCCGTCCGCCGTCCCGATCAGCACGGGCACCGGAACTTCTTCGCCGAGAGTATCAGTCCCGGAAGCAAAATCACCCTTACAAGAAAAGAAGCCCATATTCATCAACGTTGTCGTTGGTGACACTGCCATGTTCATAGAACGATGTAAGCGCAGAGCAACCCCCAGCAGACCTTTTTGTACTACCTGCATGCGAGCCCGATCTAGTGAGTACTTCACAAGCGGGCAGTGTTATCAGAGACGTTCGTTAGATATCGCCTGGCCAGGGGCAATGGCACCTCTCATTTGTTTCTCACAAGGTCAACACCAACGCCAAAGATTCGGTTGGATTGACTCCGCCCTTTCTGGGCAGTCCTGAATGGCGACACGAGAAAGTCAGAATTTTGCTCCAAAATGGAGCGAACCAGTTTGAGCGCGACATTCACGACTGAACGGCCCTAAGATGGGCAGTGGCAAGTCTCCAGACGGATATTGTCAAGATTTTGCTCGATTATCATACCATCACGTTATCAAATTTACGGAACCAACACTCGCAAGCTCTGAAAGAACTTAGTTTTGATAATAAAGCAAGCCGCTGCCTTGCCACAAAAATGCGCCGAACGAAACCTCATAGACGAACCAGAAGATACTTTGAAGGGGCCCAGGGAGTACGGAAACGATTACGAAGACCTCCTTGCTGCCTTTAAGGAAAGGTCTTTTAATCCCCAATTTCTATGGAGCAGTGGAAATTTCGGTCTTTTAGTTGGAAACGCTTGGAAAACCATGAGCAAAGCAGAAAACATTTGCCATCATGATTTTTATATTGATGACCTGATCAGCTCGTAGGGTTGGGACAATACAAATCCCTGAAAATCGAGGATGCTCCAATCGGCTATCAGGGGTGGCAAGGTCCTTGCTATGCGGCTACTACTAGAAGCCGGCGAGAATGTCAATTTTGCAGATAAGCAAACTTCCCTATATACCGCAACCTTTAGAAGGGACAGTGTCTCATCGATCTTGGAGCGAACCCCTACCTAGAAAGCAAAGTAGGTTTTAACGACTTTCTGGTGGTTTGTTTGGGTCAAAAGCTTGTTCTTTTGAAATGCCTACTTGACTACACTGAAGTAAGTAGTCTTGAAAACCGTTGGAGATGGCGTCTCGAAATGCCACACATACGAAAGAACGAAAATCTTCTCGGTGCAGTGAGTAAATCCCTTGCATCTTCCGGTCATATCAACAAAGTGTTCCAAAAGGGGACTGTGTTCTCTCGGGCTGCCAGCTTGGGTCGATTGGCCTTCACAGAAGAGCTGTTGGCATGTGGCGCAGATTCAAACCTTGGCGATGAGGAGGGGCAACAACCACTTCTTGTTGCGACTCAGCAAGAACACATATGAGATATCGATAGACCTGGGCGCTGTTGTCGATAGATTGGATGACTGTGAGTGGACAACTCTTCATCTCGCCGCACTTGAAGCAAATCGGGGAGTGGTCGACATGCTGTTATCAAACGGTCCGCTCCATTTTGCAGCCATTGCCGGCAATGCTGAGATCGCTCGGCTTATATTGTAATAAAACGTGAACGTGGGGACAAGGTTTAGGCTCCAAGACGTTGCAAAATTTGAGACATTTCCAGGGCTGTGGGACAAGTTGAGAGTAGGCATCACGGTTTAAGCCCCTGGGGGAAGCTCATATGATGAATAGGCATAGCTGGCATCTCGTCTGATGACAATTCAGTGGAAGAGGGTGGTCACGGGACGCCAAGTGACAAGTCTAGAATCTGCCGTTGTGGAAATGGACTGTTTGCCACTACAAACTTCATGCTTTAGCTAGGTAGGTATCAGGATTATAAATGCTCTTATTCTCAAATTCTCTCTTGGTCTTGCTTCTTGTTCATCGTTGGAATCTTGTGGTCTCATTAAGAGCGTGCCCTGTCTTTCAGGACTACGCTTCCATATTATCAGCCCAATGGTCCGGCTCCTTATTATGACTAACTCGCCGCTTGACTCAACAAATTGAAGTGATGCCGACGTGATACCGACGCTGTATCCGTGATGCAGTTGCCATATAACGTGACACAACCGATGGAAACGACTACGATCGAGGGAACCTTGTTCGATATCGATGAGGCGGTGGTGGCTGCTGTCGACGGAACGGACCATTGAATTTAATTTCCCATTGTTTGTAATGATTAACATTGAAGGCCGGCGGTGGCGGCTGCGGCATGGGGGGGTGCGGCCTGTTTAGTCGCGGATCTCTTGGGTGAGGTCTTGTAGACGGCGGCCTCACTATAGTTGGCGTGGCGGAGCTTTCGGTGAACGAATCATACTCATACCAACTAGGGGGGTAATGTGGTTCTGGTCTTTTCTGCGAGACGCAGAACCAGGCGATGAGAACTATGGCCACGAATGCAACAATGCCTCCTAAGATGGCCCCAATTTGGACACTTGACAGTGAACCACTCGACCGATCCGGGGGTGGCGGGGCTACTGTCGGAGAAGCCACCGGCGGTGGTTCGTCCGAATGTCCATCGGCGTATGATGTTGGCAGGCCACCGCCTAGAGTAACGTATGTGACGAATGTGGTGCTTGGACGATAAATTGTCTGAGTTATGACATGAATCTCTGCATCCGCATCCTCCTGTCGGGCAGCGACGGAAAGAGGGGTTTCGACGGGGGGCAGCGAGATCGGAGTTTGATAAGTATGCATCGCTGACGGAACCGCATCGGTTTGGTCGGTGAACTAGCTGCTTTCTCTAGACTGGCTTGGTTTCGGGAGAACGACGGGACGAATAACAATGTGAACGAAGGTGTGTTGGTGTTGAAAATCAAATAAGATGGATGAACATCAGACACGGACAGTCACAAGAAGGAAAAGAATGAGCAAAATGTGTTGGTCTTATCCAAGAGATAGAAAGCAGGCTGTGACCCGCGAACCGATCTGCGTGCTAATATCCTGCACTTCCATCTTACCCGCCAAGGGACACCCAACAACGCACACTCCTCATCGCCAGCCCAAGAGACACATATGAACGGCAACGCCACTCTCTCAGAAGGGACTCGGCAACGCGGACGGGCAACGCAAGCCCCAAGCCATATTGGACAAGACTTCCAAGACGGGACTTGCCTTGTTTTGACACCTCTGGCTCACCTCGTGGTCGTCGTACGGCCGCGCCTGACACCTCCGAAGACATGCAAAACAAATGCAAGCCATCGCAGCTGACCAGTAGAAGCATGACAGCATGGTGTTATGAAGCTGCACACTGCCCACATGATTCTGCCAGTCAACACAGAGATGGCTGGGCTGATGAGGCCAGATCGGCCAATCGTGCGAGTTGGTTGGGCTGAGGTGCAGGAGTGTTGGCCGGTCGAGCCAATGCCCTCGAGTTGCGGACAACCCTCAGCAAGTACCGCGCAGTAAGACATCCTACACCCACCCGCACAGGGGTCGGCCCGTAGTGTTGGATCCAGAGTGGAACATCCATGGGCCGAGTTGCTCATGTGGTAAACGCCGATGATAAGGGGTATATCAAGCCCGAAGACGTCTTGGTTGATGACCCTCCTTCGCATGCGCGAACCTGGCCCCCGAGTATTCCGAACTATTCTTCCTTCCAGTCGTGGACACTAATGCACATGCCTCATCGACCGCTTCATCGCGCCCATCATCACACTCGAGAGCCTTGACACAGAACAAAGATGGGATCATATCATTCACAGAATCTTGAATAAATGCCGACGAACTAAATTGCCATATGAACGGGCGACGCGATGCCGGCTACATCGCTGCTATTTCCAGGTGTCGTCACGTACTTGATCGTGCTCGATCAATCCTTTGCGCCCGCGAACCCAAAGCGTCAGATTTTTCCCCTCTCCATCCCCCAGAGTTACGCCCAGCCTAGCAAGAATTACATGTGCCCCCAAAAAAAGTACTCGAACGAAAAATGACAAAAAAGGAAAAAAAAGTTTATCATGCCGAAGTGCCAGGAAGGTTGCGCGTGCGCGGATTGCCGAAGAGTCCGCGAAGGAGATTTTCGTCACAAAAGAATGAGGGCGTAATCGCGTTCGATCAATGGGGGCCAGGCGAGCCAACTTCAAACTTTTTTTTCTGACAGAGTATCAATGGCAACGTCTGGATCCAGTCGAGTCAGCCCGCCTTGTTCAGATTCGTTTGCGTCTGTACCAGAGCCGGGAGGGTGGAAACCCAGCCTGGGTGGGTTAAGAGGCGAGAAAACTCACATATACTTCGATCGGACTTCGGAAAGATTATGCGACGGCTCTCCCCGTGGAAGATATTCCCACTATTCCCTTCCTGCAGCACCGCCTGCCGCACCGCCTGCTGCACCGCCGGCAGCGGGCTTGGGGTTGTTGTCGACCTTGATACCGACGCCGGCACCGCCCTCTCCGGTTCCGAGCTCGATGTCGGGGCCCTTCGTGAGGGCGGCCTCGGCGAACGTCAGGGCACGATCAAACCCACTCTGTCTCTTCTCAACCTTCTTGTCACTGGCGTCTTGACGTCTAACAAGTTCGCGTTGAGCACCTCCCTCAGCGCCTGCACCTCCCCCAGCGCCTGCGGCCGGTGCCGCTTCCTCGCCTCCGAACGTGAGCGCACCATCACCCACCACCAAGGCAGGGGAGTATGCGCCCAAATTGATGTTCAGGGGTGCGGCGTTGACGCCCATAGCCAGAAGGGCCAGGGCCATGAGGGTGCTGGTGATCTGCATGGCGAAGGATTTGGATGACGGAAGAAGAATTGAAAAGATTAGGTATCGTGTATCGGCGCAGCCGGCAAGTCTTTCTTCGGCAGGATTAATAAGAGTGTACTGGAATGAAGTGGGTGTCCCTTAGAGGAGAAGCCAAAAAAGAACAGAACAAACAGCACAGCTGAAGTCGAGAAGAAAGGTAGATGGATAGAAAGAAGGTAGAGCACACGGGACAACGAGTGGAAACGCAAGGTGGGAAGAGAGAGCCTAATGAATGAAATCCCCACGGCGTGCCGGGAAGAGGTTCAAATACTCCACACCGAGGATCAAGGAAAGACGAATCGTGGGGTTGAACGTGAAGGATGGTAAGGAGACGGGCCAAGAGACGGCAGCATTCGAAGCGGCGACTGCGACGCCATCATGCGTGTCAAGACAAGCCCTGCCAGCGCCAAGGCCAAGCGGCTCTGTCAAAAATAGAATCTCTCTGCAGCAGCCGAAGACAAGAGGTGATAGGCTGGGGCGGCGTCTGCCACTGGACGAGCGGACCCGAAGGGGCCAGGGGAGGGCAAAGAGCCGCCATGTGGTGATTCAGCCGTCTCTAGGGTTGGGGGGGGCAGCGCGAATTGTGGTGGAGAAACGAAGATGGGTGTCCGAGCGGAGGTGAAACGATGCAAGTCCCAAGACTGCCATCGACGAGGTTTCCCGAAACCATATAGAGGCTTGGCAAAGACCTCGATGCGTCTCCTGCTCGCCAGAGACGCGGTCCATCCTGCCCACTCAATAACTATGTCGCATTCCGCCTCGGGTCTGGACGTTGGTGCGAGGCAAAGATGGATGAAGCCCGCGTTTGACGTCGGGCCACGAGGGGGGGCCATCAACCAAGGGTACGATCTACGACTTGCCACAGGCTAACGGCTAGTTGCAGACAATCCTCCGACTCGCAAGTTCAGGAGGCCAAGAGGATCGCAAGCCGGCCACCGAGTAGATTGCATCGTCTGCATATTCCTCTGGCTTGGCATAGATCCGAGGGGGGGGCCAAGAAGATAGCCGTTTTCCAAGACCAAATAAGCCGGCTAACGATCGAGATACCAAGGCCGCCCCCCAAGACTTTCCAAGAGATCTCCAGCTATCACTGACGTTTCTTTCTTGCTGCGTTACCAATACGTAGCGTAGCATATTCCTATGAGTTTCTCGTGCCGCCTTCGTGACGAGAGAGTTGTTTCTCCCGGCTTGGAAGCTGATTGGGCCAGGCGATGGATGTTTCCTCGAGGCCCATGTCGACAACCTACGCACGTACGTGCCGACGCGGCCCAGCGGAGTCGGTTCACGTACCCATTCGACTCATTAAAGAATCGTGTGAAAAGGCTGTTCGTGAGTAAGGGGTAGTCGACACAGCAGACCGATAAACAAAACCCCGGGGCAGTAGATGGCAAGGGCGATGCGACATGACAGCTCTTGGTGAAAGACCTTCATCTAATGGAGGCATGCGCGCGGTGAGAAATGCCCCGGTCAAGTTACGTTGTCGAGCCCATGTCAAACCTGACACTCTGGTGCATTGATGTCCGCCGGGAGGAGGAGAAATGGGCGTTTGTGTTGCTACTCAGGGTGGTGTCGAGGACGTTCCGTGGTTCTTCCTTGTACGAGGCTACCGCCGGCGGGAACATCATTCAAGGTGTGCAACCCCGAATCTGAAACACCTCACAACAAAACGTTTGTCTCTTTGGGTCACCACATCCTACCCGACTCGGAGATGCCCCCAGCAAACCTAGGCTGGGGGGGGAGGCTTACTTACAATGTATTACCTTGGGCCCGCCGGAGGCCGCACTCCAAATTGAAGTAGAGTCGTGCACCGGAGATCAATGACTTCTGTACGGATATTTCCGGCATAAGAATGTACGTAGTGTTGCCAACAAATCGAGTCCACATATAGCGGCGCAATGAGTCGCGTGAAAGGATTCACAGAATACCACCCATGAGGTTGCATTTTTCCACATGAGAGAAAAATAAAGATGTAACCTGGGCAATGAATCTCCTGCCTCACTTGGTCTGGACCGAATCTCGTCTGAATGGATGAGATTGAATACGGAGCGCTAGCGGACGAAATCAGCCTAGTCGTCCGAACGCTTTGGTTTGCCCACATTCCGGGTCAAAGTAGGGTAGTATCCAGGGGAGTCCCTCAGCAAAAAGACCAGGGATTAACACATTTTTTCCCTTGTCGTCCCCCCTCCAAAATCTCCTTTTCTCATGTAGCTGATAAAACAATCAAGGGCAGGTCGAAACCACCCTAAGTACGGATATTGAACCTTAGATTCCGTGCAGGTATAGCTTAAGCCCTTGCAGTAAGCACTGACCAGTTTTTATTATCCGTTAAGCTCGCACTGCCAGGACGATATCGGCGTTGTGCTGTAGGTGGCAGTCTACATGGTAAGTAGTTATAAGGAGGAGGATAAATCCGAACAGTTTCAAAGTTGACTTGTTAGGAAAATGGTCGGCCCCCCGAATTGTCGAGTGCGTGAGAGCATCTTCCGTTGTTTTCCGAATCAGAGATTACTGCTCTAGGAAAACCGGGCAATGTTGTTATCAGATCTATACTGGAAGTCTCCGTTGTGTTGCCAAGACCACGGCTCTGTTCGGTTAGGTAGAGCCCGGAGCAGTTGGTTGCTCAAACACTCTGAGACATGCTGTTTCCACCGGATGGGAACATCAAACGGTCGCTCTGTGCATTCATTCAGACGGTAGGAATTTTGGTGACTGAAGCCTTGAAGGCCACAGGTCTTTTCATTCGCCGATTTATCTAGCTACACAATAACCTGGTGACCTGCTTTGCCTTGGCACGCCTCGAGAGCCTCTCAGCCGTGACCTGGGCGAGGGCGGGTGTAGTCACGCTTCTCGGCCCAGACCTGCGCGTAGTTGTTGCGGTGGTCCGGCTGCAGCCATGTGTAGTGCCTGTGAATCTCAGCACTGTGGGTCGTGTCTCTAAGAACCGCCAGGAAGCGGTCCAGCTCGGGAACCCTGACGTAGTCGCTGTAATCTTTGCTGTCGATCTTGTGATCGTTGGACGGGTTCCAGACGGACCGGGCTCGGGCGTCGTTGAGGATATGGCGGACCAGCTTCCTGGTGTCCCTCTCGATGCGCAGGATGCGGCACTTGGGACAGCAACCGGGCAGCGAGGCCCCCTCGGAGATGGTGCGCGGAAGCCTCCTGAGCTCGTCCATGGTGCTAGGCAGGCCAAGACCCATCATCCCGGGGTTTTTGCAGCTCCCGGCGCAGTCGACGTACTTGCCCACAGGCACCGCGCAGAACGGGCACTGTCTCTCGTTGGCCGCGATGCTGGCGACACAGCCCTCGCACAGCATATGACCGCAGCAGAGGATCATGGCGCGGTGCTGAGCGCCGGCTTCCGCGGCGCTCATCGCAATCGAACAACGGGGACACGGAAGGGTGTATTCGTCAAGGACTGCCTGGGAGGTGAGAAGGTGCTTGATTGCGGGCCAGAACGCCTTGGTTTGACTCCCCCCATTGGCGGGCAAGGTGTACGAGCTGCTTGGCTTTTTGGGATGCGAGCTTCCATTAGAGGCCGTCGGGTCTCCGTATCCGGACAAAATAGGGTGTCTGCTCGACACACTGCTGGTGACACTTTCAGTCACGCTGCCGGCCACGCTGCTTCCGTAGTGGGGACGGGCACGGCCTCCGGCTACACTGCGGCTTCCACTCCGCGGATCGGGGTAGCTGGCCGGCACGTCATTCGCCCAGCTGGCGGTCGAGCCGGCAACGGAGTCCGGAGTTCTACCCCACTGGGCAGCGTAAGCCTCGGGTCGGAGCCTGAGTTGTTCTTGAATATGGGCTTCCGCAATTCTAGCCCGTGCCACTCTTTCGGGGCCGAACTCCTCCAGCTCCGTCCTCCGAAGTCTCTCGAGCGCGGGCGGCCCGTCGCTGATGACGGTGCAGTCAGAGCTGGCCTCGGAAGGGCTTCGTGGTCGGCTGCTCCCCCGACTGCTGCCACCGCTACGATCGCGGAGGCTCAGGTTGCGAAGTGCGTCCAGGTTAAGTCGGTCCATTTTACTAGGGGAGTTTGGGGATATGCTGTTGGCAGCTTGCTTGTGCAGTTCCTTTTTATGGTGGGTTGACGAAGTCGGTGTTATCAGTGATCGGAGTCCTGGTGCTGGCTGTGAGTATTACATTCGAGTCAATCCATAGAAGACAATGGTTGGCTTAAGTATCAATCTTGGTGAATCGAGCAAACTCAAGACCTTTCTTCTCACGGTCTCGTCTCCCTCGACATTGGTTCTTTGTTCGCAGAGCTTCATTGTGTAACATTAATATATGCCTGGGAGCACCAGGTGTCAGCTTACAGTAGCATGCAACATTATGGGCAAGTCTCTTGGCCTCCAGTTTTTTTCTTTTTCTTTTTTCTAGGTTCCGTTTCCAAATACAGGCGCCAGTTAAGACCGAATTCGTTGTGTCTGGGACGGAACAATGTCAAGTGTGCTACTCTCCTTATTGATATTTCGATTGACCTCCGTAATAACTCGTATTAACATAGGATTCGTATTTTCCTTTCTTTCAACTGCAAGGGTAGCTTGCTGTTAATACAAGCTGACGAATCCATACAGCCATGGTTAATCTCTTTCGTGCTTTTTGATTGCTCGTTTTCTTTTGCCTTATATCGATCAGATTCGAGTGTTTGAACTATGCAATGTGTCTCTGCGACCCGTTATGATGGGATTTTGGGGGCGTTCTCCATCATGCCAAGCCCAGGGGCGAGAATCAGCTAGGATCGTCTTCCCGATCCGGCTTCCAAGACATTCATTCTCCTTTGTTCTTTTCATGTCAGCACGATGTCTCCCTTGCCTTCGAGGTGCCAACGGCAAGTTGCGGGCAACTCTACGTAACCAACTTGCCAATTGCCTTAGTCTCTCACCCAAGACTTCAGACATCCGACTTTGCCAGCACAGCATTACTACGCGTAAGCCTCAAGCTTGGGGCGTAAGCCGAGAGGCAACAGATCCCCCCAAATACCGGATTTACACCACTCAGACGGCCCACGCCCCCCGCCAGTGGAACCTGCCGAGCCGTTGGCGTGGCGGACCAAGCGGGAATTATGTTATGAAAACTCAAAATCCAGGACGCCTACCGTCATCGAAGATTCGTTTCAACTCAGCCCTACGGCGGTTCAGGAACTGACGTCAACATAGAGCTCCGATGCACCGCTTGGAATGGAATCCTGCAAAATATTCTCCCTTGGCCCACATTGGCTTATGTGTAAGTCTAGCCTCAATGCGTCACCATGCTCAAAAGCCTTGGGGAATACACACTTTTAAGTAACACCATTCTCCTGTGCCTGTCATTTAACCGCGACCTTGCAACTTCTTATTTTATCGATACCCCTTACCGATACCCCAAGTTAACCCTTGTTCAATGGGATAACACTGAATCCCTTTGTCCTTGTCACCGTTACCTAATAAAAGATCCCTTGGTGGTATATTCGAAGTCAGCATGTACAATGGCCAGAAATATCCCGCGCCTGAATCACCGATTGTACGTATAATCGTGCTGGAAACGGATGAGCCTCACCCCGATACACACGCAACCAAGGGTAGCTTCGGAGAGATCCTACACAGCCACTTCCAACATGCCGGCGCCGAACACGATCCCCCACTAGGGATCGACACCGACCAGAGGTTCGTAGTGGAAGAGAAGGGAGGCAAGGTCCCTCAGTTTGAGGACTTCGATGGTTATCAGGGTGTCTTGATCACCGGAAGCATGTACGACGCTCACGAGGACAACCCTTGGATTCTCAAGCTTCTTGATGTTCTCAAAGGTGCGTGAATATTAGCTCGGTTTTGCTACTCTCTGCTTGTGTCTGACCCGAAGAAACCCCAGAATTGTGGCAGCGCCGGCCGGATCTCCATCTTAGCGGCGTGTGCTTCGGACACCAGCTCCTCAACCGGATGCTCGGCGCCGAGATCGCGCAAGCCCCATCCCAAGACTGGGAACTCGGCCACTGCCGACTCGACCTCTCGCCGGTGGGCAAGGAACTCTTCCGCACAGAGGACGATCACATTTTCCTGCACCAGATGCACCAAGACCAGGTAGTCGCGCCGCCTACGCTAGAAACCTCCAAGGGGCTGCTCGAGCCTGGCGCGAGGGTGGATATATGGGGCCATAGCGAGCACACCAAGGTACAGGGCATCTACATCAAGGGGAGGCTCTTTACAACGCAGGCTCACTTGGCATTCGACGAGGAAATGGTCAAGAGACAGATCCAGATGAGAGTCGACAGCGGAGGCATCCAGGATTTGGAGCATGCAGACCGGGCATCGGAGACGGCGCATCTCGAGCACGACGGAGATAGAGTGGCGGCTGCCATTTTGAGGTTTTTCCACGGCGATGACGATGAGATTGAATGATTTCCGCCAACAAGACGCTACTAGCATTGATCCCAATTTGTATTTCGCGACATGAGAGAGATGGAAGACAATAAATAGATCAACCTCTTAATTAAAGTAAACAGACAGTTATAGATATCCTCTAAGTTAAGAGTTCCATCTCAATCTTAATCTCCTCTTATAAGTTTTAGGCTGTCAGGACCACATATGCCCCAGTGCTTCATGCGCAGTGATTCTTCTTGCTGAATGCAGATTCGTCATCTGCACAACTTGGTCTCTGAGCTACGCGTTAACACAATTTTCCATCCTAAAAGGCCTTCTCGGTCTGCCTGCTTAAAAAGCAGACAGGTTTTCAATAAGACACTAGCAGAATTGGTTCTCTTTGCCGACAGCCGGGAAGCAACCCTGTAAAAAGCTTCCTGGGAGTCAGATGTAGTTGTATATAGATAGGCTCATAGTTTTGTGCTGGCAGCAACTGCCCGGCCCAGTCACAAGTACTGGTCAGCTGGTAATACTCAGATCATTCATTTATCTGTCGCAAAGATGGGAACGGCTTCATGTGGCCAGTACTAGTGGTAGCCGCTACAGACGTAGCTTACTGCACGCATAGTCAACTTCGTATAACCATTTCTACCCGACATCACTTCACACATGTCCATAGTCTCTATGTAGATAATAGGACAACTACTTTACACTCTTTTTTATCAAACGCTGCAACTCATCATATTATCGTTCCTAACAGAGATCTAGATTTATCGCTACTTGAGGTTATCTTCGTCCTTACAGCTGACTAAATCTTTTTCTGGGCTTGCTTGGATCCGTCCAAAGCCTTCCTTGAGCTTTACCTATATCAAGGGCATTAAGCCCGGCCGGGATATCTGAAAAGGGGATTTCCTCCAGTTCCGGGTCGATTTCTTTCCTTGAGAGTAGCTCTAATACGTCCTTCAAATCGGCTTCGCTAGCACCTAATGACCCGATCAGTGTGATGCTACGTGTGACCAAATCGGTGCTCGAGATGGTCACGTTTCCCGCTGCCAGTCCAACAAGTACGACCTTGCCTCCTTCTTTGACACGCTCAAGGGCGGATCTCGTTATCTCTTTGGCGCCAACAAAGTCGACTATTACGTCAAAAGCAATATCCCCGACCTCCTTCAAACTCTTGAAACACCCGCGAGCGCCGAGTTGTTTGGCCCGCGCGAACTTGGAGTCCACGATGTCGATGCCGTAAACCGTGGCGCCTTTGAGTGCTGCAAAACGAAGACCTTGCATCCCGAGGCCTCCAATGCCGACAATCCCAACCGTTGCGCCGGGACATACGCCAGCTTCAATCATTACGGCATGGTAAGCTGTGGCCGTCGCATCCGTCGCGACCGCGGCTTGGGAGAAAAGAACACCATCAGGGATCCGAACGAGTCGGTTCACTGGTGCGACGGCGTACTCGGCCTAGCCGCCGTCAAATCCGAGCCCTATGGCCATCGCCCAACCCCTGACGTCCATGTTGAGAGGATACGCGAGAAGTGACACAGCGACGCGGTCGCCAGCGCGGTATCCGACCACACTGGGACCGATAGCGGTTATGATGCCTGATACCTCGTGGCCCAGCGTGATGGGCTTCCTGACAAGCACACCGTCGTGTCCTTTGACGAGATGACAGTCCGAGTAGCACAATCCCGCCGCCTTCACACGGATCTGCACCGAACCGGGGCCAGGCTCGGGTATTGGGATTTTGCAAAGCTTTAGGCCCTCTTTGGGAGATTCGTACTGAAGTGCTAGCATGATGGCGAAAGTTTGGGGATATTTTCAAAGCGAGCCAGTCGCCTATGAATTTGGGTCTCCGTAACTACTAAAATAAAACGTGTCGTTGACACCTCGCATCTCGAATACTTTCAGTCCGTTCCCCCTTGACATAGGATTCAAAACACGTAATTATGACATCCTGCTTACATGTTCGAGTCCTAATTGACAGAGTAGCACTGGCGAACTTCGAGATCTTCATATTATTCCGTTATTGCTCAGCCAGGTTCTGCACGTTCTAGCTGACAAGGTCAATGTCAATGCACCCTGCTCAAAACTACAACAGTGGCCCTCACATCTAGCTCATGCTGCAGTTCACGCAGATTAGATTACTTCGTCAACCAGTGTGGCTACTGAAATTAAACTCGACATTCATCCGATAGACAATTAAGTTGCGAAACTCTGCATAGATGACAGGCGATCACCCGTCTATGCGGTGAGAGAGAGAATGGAAACAAATGATTAATAACTCTTCAAAAAGACAATCAATCTATGTATCATGGTTTAGGTTCAAAAAAGCCCCAATTCTGAAAACAATCAGCTTACGAATTGACAGTTTCACGTCCTCGGGAGAGACAAACTCACCCAATTATAATGTAGCAAGCGCATATCGACGCCCCTTTCAGTCTGCTCGCCCGTAAAACGCTATTTGCATCGCCGAGAAAAAAGGAGTTAATTAGTACAGTTGCTCCTATCAATGCAGCTGCGTCAAATAAGCTGAAGCTCAGACTCAGCTCTCGTGCCATAATCCATGATGCGATGATAGTCAAGGGAGCAACGCAGAGTGCAATCTGAACAGCCGAGCCCACTGCAACAGCGACTGCCAGATCTAGTTTCTCCTTATATGCCACGGTCACAACAACAACGAACTCGGCCACGTTCCCGACAATGGGGAGCAGGATGAGGCCGATGAAAGACTCCGACAAATGTCCTTGGCGTGTAATCTCGTCGATTGTGCCGACAAGGAACTCGGCACACATCGACATCGAGGCCGAGCTGATTATCAACAACAGGACAGAAAGCGCTTTTTCGCTATTTGATCTCCGATGGGCTTTGCGCTCGGGCTCCGCAGCGCTTGCTCCAGGACGCCGTGGGATTCGAGGACATGCCAGATCAGGCCTTGTCAGACTTTGACGGATGTTGCTTGCGGCGGAGTGGCTCCAACCGCTGCAACCTCGCGTGGAAGAGGCAGTCTTCCGGGCAAGGGAGCAGTCGCGTAAACACGCCACGTTGTCGTCGCACGAACTTGAACGGCTGCTACAGTTTCCGAGCTCCTGAAAGTTACGACCGCGCAATGCTCCTAAAGTTTCAGTATCAGAAGAGAAACCTGAGTTAGGAGTGTCGATGTCCCCGAGCTCAATATCGGACTCTCCGTCTCTAGTCGCATCTTGTTTTTGTCCCTGGTTACCTCGACCTGCGAAGCGAGTCGCGCGAGATGAGATGTCCGAGATATCTGACGACATGGTCGGTGGAAGAGTAGCAGGGTACTGCTCAATATCAGACACTTGTGACAGCGGGGAGATGAATGGAGTTGGCGAGGCGTGGACCCTTATCTCATGGATGACATAGAAGACGTATATCACCAAAGCCATGAGGGCCGATGCTCTACTCATTCGCAGCCTGGCATCACCTGCTCCGGTAGTCTCATTAAGTGTGAAATTGAGAGCGGCCTTCGATTGGTTAGCTCCAACTCTCGGTCATCAAGGGCTAGACCACACTCACAGGTATTAAAAGCACAAAAGTTGAGACAGTCAGGAGCCAAACCAAAAGCTGTGTCTCGGCAAAAGTCAATACCGGGTCGTCGTAACTGATCCCAGTGACGCAAAGAGCGACACCCAGGATTGGGAGCAGGTTGACGAGCATCGAACCGAGAATTGAGGCCTGAACAACACGGACTCGGTTGTGCTTGAGAGCAACACTGAACTCATCAGCCCTCCTCTTGCCTTGAAGGTTAGATACGGACCTACATGCTTTAAGTGAACGAGGTCAGCTAATGCGCCCAACATCAAGGCAAAAGCTCAGCGTCTTACAACAAAATCAGCTCTACCAAGTTACCCAGTGTGATATTCAGAAGTGCTCCAACCGTGTCTCCGGCATCCTCGGCGATCTTCTCAGTGGCGCTGGTGAGTAGCGATGACAAAGGCACAATGGCGATACCATTCGTCACGAAGACGACTAGAGGCGCCCTGTTGGACAGGAAAGCCCAGATACCAACTGGGACGAATACAAGGAGGCTATGCAGCCAAGAGAACATTGTTGCTCATATGGTTTTCTAAGCCCATAACCAAATTCCGTGGTGTAGTAGATTTGGACATTTGCCGGTTGATGGGGGTGTTTGCAAGTAAACTAGCTTGAGCACCGGCAGCGCCGGAGAAGATTTGGTGTCGCCTGACCCCGTGATGGGTCCGAGAAGATATGCATTGACATTACGCAAAGACAATTTTTTATTCGGACAACTGGACCGCGACCTCAACACCAACTAGGGTTATTGATGGCATTCAAATGTGGTGTCGGGAGACCTGCCTGCATGAGTCTCGCCGACGTAAATGAAGTCTTTAACATCTTCACCGACAGGAACCCTTTCGGCGAGCTGCGGGCTAGTGACTCTACCTTCATTCTCAGACTCATATGCCGATAGTATTACAATCACCGCTTAGACTGTAAGGCTTTCAATCTTCGCATGGACCGACTCTATGGCCGAGCGTGCAAAAGCGGGAAAAGAGCGATATGTTTGGGGAGACATCATCCAAAATGCATACGCCGTTCCAGGGAATCGACTTCCAGAGGTTCTTCGGGTCGTCGCCCTCTAGCTAATGGGGCGAGCTGGGTAAGCTTTACCGATTTGTTTTCATTTATTATTCACCCATTTTTCTCATTAGGCTGCACTGCTTTTCTTTGTTGCTTCAGCACCTTACGGAGCCAGTTCGCGACGCTGCTGTGTTAATATTCTTCCAGGACCTATTACAGCTCATCCTTCCTGTCAGGTCCGGAACGGCTGCCGAGGGCTGCCCTAACATCCCGGACTATTCTTAGTCTACTCTAGGTGCACCGTTTATAACATTACTACTTTATTTGTCTTCTCGCATTACATTGAGGTCTCTTGGATTGTGTTAAGGTTGCTTCAATATGGAGACTAGCTGACAAGGCGCATACTATGGGGTCTCAGTCTTATGGAGTTGATTCTCAGTCACAACTAAATTCAGACGCCTTGTCCCATGTTTCAAGGCTGATGAGTCTGTCACTTGGGACTTTCACTCCGGCGAATTTACCATCAAGGTGCCATACAGGACCTCTACCACAGATAAGACGCGCGAATTAGACAAAAACTGCTTTGAAAATCTTTAGACCACTCGGAACAGCTTCATCTTGGAGGTGAGTGGTTTTCATCACAGCTGTATGAGCTTTCCTGATATACTAACAGTAAGTATAGAATCGCACGCCTCTGATGGTATAACCGGTCTGGCGTCCGGCGCCTGCGCCGATCGACCTTGGAGCAGTGCGACCTACCGAGTGCTCGGTAATTGCCAGGTCTTACCAGACGGTGAAAAGAAACAGAACACCGGAGCTCCGAGCCGTTTCTACTCAGTCTAGCATTGGCAGAAAAGTAAGCGGATGAAGTGGAATCATTGCAGCAGGTTCGGGCCTCGATGTTAACCCTTGGCCAGATCTGACACTGGAGATCCCGGCCCCTTCAACACACGCTTGACAAGAAGTCAGGGCTATTATCTACGTTGACATGATGCTCATGTTTGTTCGTTGAGCAGATAATGCGGCGCCGTGGACAGACTAATTCCCCTCTAATGACGCCTCTTTAGGCTTAGTAGGATCGCATCCCATCCTTGCAGCGCTAAACTACTGCATTGTATCATATGGCGTTGTTGTCCACACACACACACACACACGCCGTGTAGTGCATATCGCGACGCTGGAACACACAACATGCGCCCCTACTGACCTCATTCCGCAACGAAGGTGATTTGCCATGCAATAGACACCGCACCATTGAGGACAGTTGTCATTGATCCAAACCAACGAGCAGGACCTCGCCGAAACTGGAGTAGACAAGCGGTGTGTCAGCGGCTGAGCCCAGAGCCCCGCGCGGGCAGCAGGGATATGCACCCAATGGCAGAACTCAAGGATAGACTGAGCCAAGCAAGCTTGCACGACATATGGTGCGTCTCCGCAGTCTAATGGGTGACGTCAACCCACTTTCATGTCAACATGCCAAGGAAGACGATTACAGGGCCACGACGAAGTCTGGGCATCAAAAGCGCGCACCTGTCGTCCACCCTTTGCAGATATTGGGCTCTTACTTTGGGTGTTTGCAAGCTCCCCCTGATAGACCCACGTCTGCAGCAAACCGGCCCACTATTGTTGCACCTCGACTGATATATCAACATCGTTTCTTGAAGCTTCGTGTCGAGTCTTCGCTTCACCTTGCTTCATTCTCTTCGTGGACGACCAAGCTGAAACTTCGATCATCATGGCAGGACTCGTCGACAAACTGACTGCTTCCGGCGGCAGCGAATCCGCAGGTAAGAGGACACCATAACCAGCCATAGTCGAGGACAACCAAAAGCTGGGGGTGGGGTAGCTGACGATCTCTCAGGGTTCCTTAACGATATCATCGAGCAGCTATGGCCCAACATCAACGTCGCCGGGTGCAAGATGGTGAAGGACATTGTTGAACCCATGTTCGCCACCATGCTCCCAGGCCCTCTGGCTTCCCTCAAGTTTGTGAAGCTCGATCTTGGCCCTGTTCCCATGCGCGTATCCGAGGTAGATGTCCACAAGGTCGACAACGGTGGCATCAAGCTCGACATGGATGTGAATTGGGAGGGAAAGAGCGACATTGAGCTCGATGGAAATATGGTTCCGAAACTTGTAGGTTCATCGCAACAACGGGCATCTGTGGTGGTCACTTACACATGACGCTAATTTGCACGGTAGGGTATTGGACATGTTAGTCTGAAGGGCAGACTCTCAATCTTGCTAGCTCCCTTGACCAACGTCATTCCTCTGGTATGGATCCTTGTATGAACGCGGTATCGTGTGTCGCACGCTTACAAGTATAAAGATCGGTGCTGCACAAGTCGCCTTTATCAACCCCCCTGAGCTGAAGCTCGACTTCACCGACGCGGCCAACATCGCCGACTGGGTCCTGGTTGACAAGGCCGTCCGCAAGGTCATCATAAGCATCGTCTCTTCCATGGCGGTCTTGCCCAACCGCTACCTCGTCAAGCTCGACAACAACAACGACTACTTCAGGACCTACCTCCCCCAGCTGGGTGCTCTGCGACTGACCATCGAGAGAGCGGTAGGCATCAGTGGGCCCAAGAAGAGCGGCGCCAAGAGGCTTCTGGCCAAGATTGTGAAGGACATACCCGATTGCTACTGCAAGGTCAATGTCGGCGCGGAGGAGGAATGGCGTACGACGATCAAGAAGAACGACCACGACCCGGAGTGGAACGAGACGCACGACTTCCTCGTCGCGGACTACGACCAGAAGATCTTCATCGACGTCCAGGACGACGATCTCGGCGGGGATGACGACATTGGCGTCGCCACCACCACCGTCAAGGACATTCTGCTCAACGGCGGTTCTCAGGAGTTGGCCCTCACTCATGAGGGACAGCCCACCGACGCCAAGGTCGTCGTGCACGCCAAGTTCTTCGACTTTGTCGATGATGCCGGCGCCATCACCTCCACGCAGAGCCAGAACGAGGGGCAGATCGTCGGTATCGCCACGGTTCTTATCGCCAGCGCTCTCGGGCTCCAGGGCCAGCGCGACGAGCTTAACCCCAGCATCAAGGTGACTTGGGGCGCCAAGGAGTTCCGCACCGCGGCCAAGTCCTACAGTCCCGGGACCGACATCTTCAACCCGTCTTTCGACCAGGCGTTCCGAATCCCCGTGACGGCAGATCTGATCGCCAACCCGGCAAACTTCAAGATCTCCCTTATGAACAAGACCAGCGAAACCGGATCTGTTGAGATCCCCTTCCAAGACGTGCTGCAGGCCCCCGGCCTGGTCAGAGAGGATAGTTTCGACGTTGGCTCCGGCGCTACAGTCAGAGCCAGCATCTCTCTCCGCGGGTTGCAGTCGGCTCACTGAACAAGCTGGTAGTGCCGACCGTCGTTAGGTTCTGGTCTTCATGTAACATTATACGATTATATCTGATTGAATGAGATTTGTCAGCTACTCGAGTAAATGTGTGTTTATCGTGTCCCAAACAGCTCAGACAATGTTGGTTTTCAAGAATGAAGTCAATACTATCGCTTTCATGATGAGTCATTGATGGATATAGTCGCTCTCAACCCCCATAAGCGGTCTAGTGCAGTTCACTCGATACATATGTGATATCACTGTACGTAAAGCCCGATACGGGGCACCTCTGACCTGTGCCAGACATGGTGAGATATAGACAGACCATAAGCATTTGCGGTATTCTATTGGCTCGGTTCGATACGCATGTGACACCATGCCAGCTGGGCATTGTTGCGCTGGGGTAATTATTGCTATCGTTGCCCGCATGCTACCCCTTCCAACCCGTCCGGGACAGCATCATGGTCAAAGAGTTGCATATGATAGCGGCGATGAAGGATCCCGGCCGACCTGACTGAAATGGCCGATCAACAGCATTGTAAAAGCTCCTCTAGATTTCACGTGCAATATCGGGCCCTAGACACGAGCAACAAAGAGATTCGTCTAGTCGAGGTAGAGCCTCTCAGACCCGAGGACTTTGTTTCAGACTCTGGTCGTCGACGACCAGTGGTGCGATGCCGCTTGAAGCATTGTAGCCTGAACGACTGGCCTTGCCACTATGCAGCGCTATCCTACGCTTGGGGGGACCCTTGCGTGACGAAGGCCATCTATCTAGACGGTCTAGAGATCCAGGTCACCGAAAACCTGGAGTCGGCCTTGAGACACCTGGCAGCCGCGCGGTGGAACGACACAGAGTTAGGCCCGACGCTATGGGTCGACGCTATCTGCATCGACCAACGCAACGAGGCAGAAAGAACGCAGCAAGTCTCCCTGATGAAAGACATCTTCCGGAATGCGCACCAGACGTTCCTGTGGCTGGGCCCCGCGAGCGACGACAGCAGCCTCGCCATGGACACCCTGCGCCAGATGAGCCGCGCATCCAGCTTCGTCGGCTCCCATTTCAACTCGTGGTCCAAGTTCCCGTTCACAAGTGTAGCGTCTGACCCTCTGGTGACTGCCATACGAGACATCCTCGACAACAACCTCGCCAGGCTTTGTCTGGACGACTTTGCCAGGTTGGGAGCCGTAAGCTCCCTATTCAACAGACCGTGGTTCCGTCGGGTCTGGGTCATCCAGGAGCGGGTGCTGTCGCTGAACTGTGTCGTCTGCTGCGGTCGAGAGTGGATTACGTGGGAGGGGTTCCGTGAGGCGTTCTGGCTGTTGTGTGGCATACGCGACTACCTCAATATCGTCGGCAGTGGTACGGGGAGGCTGGATAGCTCGGCGCTCGCGACGTTCCTCACGAAGGCTCTGAACAAAGCGATACCCGTTTCTTTCACGAGACCCAACTCTTCCCTGCTGGTCCTCTTTTCTCTGCTCTCCGGGATGGCCACCGGGGCCCAGCTCCAAGCCTCGGACCGTCGCGACTACGTATTTGCAATCCTGGGCCTGGTCGACCTGGATCGAAGCCCACTGATCCTGGCTGATTACACCAAAGACTGGGCCACTGTCAGGATCGAAGTTGCTAGAGCATGCCTGATGTACTATGGGCCAGGCTTCTTGTCTTTCGCGGGCCCCGGTGAACATGCCCAGGATCCTGCCTCGGTGGAGCAAAACGTCCCGTCTTGGGCACCGGACTGGTCGTCGGCAAATCTGCCTCAGCCTTTGGCCATACCTTCCATGTTTGTGGTCAGGGGCGAGAACAGAGTATGCGCCTACTCAACAATGCCGGATTCTACCCAGAGCCTCTCGCGGGCCTTCTCCGCCGATAACCGGCTGTCATTGGACGCTCTACGGCTGGACGATGTCGCGAGACTGGGAGACCCGTTCCCCGAGACGGACGACTTTGCCGACGACACAGCTCGCGTCGCCGCTCTCGGGCTCTGGCTCCAAGATCTCGAGGCCGTGATGCCGTGCATCAGCCAGGTGTATCGGACCACAGAAGAGCTCAACGAGGCCTTTTGGAGGACTCCGATCGCAGACCGCGCGTTTGCTTACAACTGGGAGACGGAAAGAGCATCGAAGGAGACCCTCTCGGCGTACCGTGCCCTTAGAGCTGGCGAGGTTGCCGAGGGCGTGAAGTATGCCAACATTGCCAGCATCAAACTCCTTCGGAGACGCCCTTTCGTGTGCTCCAGCGGGCTTGTCGGTCTTGGGCCCATAGGGATGGCCCTTGGCGACTCTGTGTGGACTGTTCCAGGTGCCAAAGTGCCCTTGGTGTTCCGCTCAGCTCGCACCAGTGGCTTCCTGGTTGTGGGCGAAGCCTACGTGCATGGTATCATGGATGGTGAACTTCGGCATGTATGTCCAACGGCCGAGCTTCAAACTGTAGAGCTTGTTTGAGGATAAAGGCACGTCATCGAGACTTTCTTCTCCGATACAGTTGAAGTCGTGGGTTTCGGCACGAGAACTCTTCGCCCGAGACATGCAGCACATTCAGGCCAAGGCAGTTAAGGGCTACGTAGTTCGTGCCCGGCATAGAAGACCGATCCAGAAGGAAAACTCTATATACGAAATGATTGCAAGAAAGGGGAGGGTTCTTACATACGCTTGATACAATAATGAGCATTCAACACCTTTGAGCGATGGTGGTCTAATATCTCTATGTTCAGGATGATTGTAACGCTACGCCGTAGTGGCGTCCACCAAAACACCGCCGCTGATTCCATTAACAGGCATCGGGCCAGTTGGATCCGACCTCCCTTCTCTCTACGACTCATCCTCATTTCATCCCGACGCGGGAGCACCCCTCTTCTGACAGGCTTTGACTATGCGCCTCTCCCATTTTGAGAGTCATTAGCATATGACCGCGAGGCGGCGTTGAAAGCAGCTTGTAGACATAGTTCCCCAGATAACTGCCGCATGATGAGGTTGCCAGAAGAAAATTGGAATCTGGCGTAGTCTCTTGATGGTAAAGGCTGGTCATTATGGCATCCCATTCCGAGTTCGACGACCTGCTCGCCAACGGCATCGCCCTGTACGCCACCCTCTGGAGCACGCCGACGTGCGCCACAGCAACGACGTCAACAACCACAAGGATGGCATCCAGCAGTTCGATAATCACAAAGAGGGCGTACCGCGCGGTCCGGTGAGGGACACGTACTGGTTATGCTCGATGTCGTGGGGGTTTGCGAAGCCACTTCTGGACCTTGACCGGTACTGCCTGCCCATCAACATCACGTACAACAACACGACGGCGCAGAGCGATCGCGGCTGGAGGCCCTGGAGGCTGGATGACGTGCTCGAGGGCCATTTCTGGGTCGACTTCTCCAACGCGTACCTGACCGAGGCCGCCAAGGCCTCGCAGGGGAGCCGTCGTGGCCACGTCGTACTTTTGGCTGAATCTTCACTGGCAACTGGGAGTGGGCGGCCGGCATCTCAGATAGATTCGGCACGAGGTGGAGCACCATACAAGCAAAGCTCTTGTGGCGTCATGCAATCGATGCCTTGACAAAGCCGCACCCAACACACGCATCCCACTCGTACTGTTTCCGTCGAGAACGCATCTGTCCAGCTCGTGTGATTGCGACTGACAAAAAGCAGCAGCAAACAGCAGAGAAGAAACAGAGGGGGATTTATGTGGGTTCAGAAAGCAAAAACAATCGGAATCTGCCTCGAGGGCGAATCGAACGCCCGATCTTCTCATTACGAGTGAGACGCTTTACCACTGAGCCACCAAGGCTGTTTTCAGATCCTTGCCACTTTTGGCAATCTTGCACGTTATGACGCCGTGCCAGAATTGTGATGGATACTAGAGGGTATACTGCTGTGGTACGTGGTCGCGCGTGTCGAATCATGGGGGGCGTGGCTAACGGGGCATAGCTCCAACAACGGCACGTTATGTTTGATGGCCACGGGAGCAAGGGAACGGAGGGCCTAAGCTCCTCTTCCTCGGTGAAAGCAAAGTTATGGGAGTGGGTGAATGGGATGGAGGCGTAATACATATTTCTCGTCACATATTCTCACGGTTAGGTGTTCAGGAGTTGGCTATGATAAGAACTTCAGACCAGGACACGCTGGCGTTTTCAATGTGCGACTACATTATGTCGCCTATAAACTAGAGCAGAAGCTAATTAAACAAACAAAGTCCTCCCACATCATTGACTGCATTGATCAACTAGTTGTTGGACGCTGCGGCCTCGGTGACCTTGACCCAAAAGTTGTCCTGCATGTGAAGATTGAAGTTCACGCTGTGCCACGGGTTCCCGGGGTTCATGATCTGAAAGTCAAAGGTGCGAAGAAGCTGGGCAAGGTCGGCGTCAGCACGGCTCGCTCGCAAACGAGTCAAGAAAAGCCGGGGGGACGGAAATCGGGGACAGGTGCTGCTCACCTCAACGTATATCTTGTTGAGCTCCATGAAGGCCACGCTCTTGCCGGCGCAGCCCCATCTGCCGTACCCGAACGCCAGCTCGGTCGTCTTCTGCATCTTGTCCCGCGCCACCTCGTCCGCCTCGACCCACCGCTCGGGGCGGAACAGGTCCGCGTCCTTTCCGAAGACGTCGAACCGGCGGAGGGTGCCCCACACGTTCTGCGCGATGCGGGTGCCGCCCGGGATGAACTTTCCGTCGATGGTGTCCCCTTCAGGGGGCACCTCTTTGGCGCAGAGTCCTGTGAAGGGGGCGTTCATGCGGAGACCCTCGTAAATGACGGCCTGCCAACGTCAGGATCCGATAAGTATATGACAAGGGCCTGTGGAGTACGGAGGCGGAAGAAAGGGGCAGGGGGGGTACCTGAAGGTATGGGAGCTTCTTGCCCTCCTCGTATGTGATGGGGGACGAGATACGGCCTTCAGCGATGGCGGTGGCAATCTCTTGCTTCAGAGTGTTGTACGTGCGCGGTGAAGTCATCGTGTACAGGAACGTTGTGCGGATTGCGGTTGCAGTCGTGTCGGAGCCGGCAATGATCTGGAAGAGGACTTCTGTCTCGCACTCGGTCTGGGTGAGTCCGTGGCGGACGAAGGCGCCCTACGGGGTTTTCTTTTCAGCGCTGGATTTGATCCAGAACGGGCATGATCTCTTACCAGCATGTCGCGTTCTTCCTTGGCATCCGGGCCGAACCGCTTCGCGACCACCTCTTTAGCAACTCTGTCAACCCTGTCAGCATGGTCCCCCCCGATTCATTACACAGACGTCGGAACGCACCCCATCAGCTTGCCCAGCCCGCTCTTGTCCGTATGCTTGGGTCCCACGGTGCCCAGGACGGGCTTGGAGAACACAATCTCTTGAATGAAGGGCACCTCGCTGCAAAGTTGCAGGTAGGGGATTGCCGCCTCCGTGGTGCTGATGTAGTCGTGCACGTCCGAGTCGGTGGCGAGGTACCCAAACTCCCTGCCGTAGGCGAGCTTGGTGATGGTGTCGAGGGTGAAGTACTGCGCGACCTTTCCCAGGTCCATCGGCTTGACATCGTCGCCGGCGGTGATGTATTTCCTCCGGATGAGGTCGACGAAGCTGGCGATCTGCGCGTCGATGCCGTCCTCGAGAGTGGGGTTCTCCTTGCCGGCGTAGCCGCCCGCGCACTTGGCCTTGAGCTTGTCGTGGGCGCCGACGTCCCGCAGGCTGAACATGCTGTCCTCGTGGGGGTTCAGCTTGGTCGAGTCGTACCACGACGAGCGGCCGTACGTGGAACGGACGGCGTTCATGCGGCGGAGGATGTCCGGGTCGTCGGTGACGAGGTCGTTGGGGCCGATGCGCACGAGGGGGCCGAGCTCGCGGTTCAGCTTGGTAAAGTGCTCTCCCGGTTTCCCGGAGCGCGCGTTGGACATGAGCCACAAGTAGGAGAACCTGCCGACGAGCGGGCCGGGGAACTCGCGGAGGCGGTTCCAGGCGACAGCAGAGGAGACGACATAGTAGACAACCAAGGCGGCGACGAGGTACCAAAGCGCCGAACCAGCGCAAAGGGCCGACGTAAAGTCGGAGAGAGCCATCATGCGTCTTTGACTCCTTGACCACACAGAAAAGTACTGAGTAGGTGGGAGGGCCAAAGGACGGTAAAAGCGCACTAAGCATTCAACAGGCAAAGGAGGCTCTCCTTTTTAAACAGGCAGGACAAACGTGACATTCCCCTGCCTCTACGAGCGATATCATTTGCCACATGCTTACATGGTAGTTAAAGCGGGTTGGGCTATGCTGGCTCGCCTCTTGTTACATCGCCTCGGACGGCTACCGGAGCCTCGGTGATGATTATTTCTGCTTCCGTACCGAGAGACCAGGGGCGGCGAATAGTGGCCCGGCCCGCAGCCATATCAATTCGGGCATCATAATATCAATGACCAGGGGAGTTCTTCAACGATCGTGCGGACCAGTGCCGGCTGCCGCATCTGATAGCCCGATGAACCCGATGGCGCCAATCATGTTTTTGACATTACATCGACACGTTGCTGTGGACCGACAGATTTGCGACTGGGGGGGGGCCTACGAGACGCGCCAATGATGGTCGGGCATCTTCGCAATCACGCTGAAGAGAAGAGGACATTTCCGATATTTCCACCGCCGTTTCCCCAACTTTGTGCGATGGTACACGTGCTGTAAGACTGTCTAGTGACGATAGTAAGGGCATAAGGTAGTGTGTTGTGTAAGAGCGAGCGGCCTTTTTTTTTTTTTTTTTTTTTTTTTTTTTTTTTTTTTTCAGCCGAGTGAAGGGGTAGCAAAGTGACGACTCACAACGAATGGGCAGATGACCCATGTAGGGCCCATAAAATGAGTAAACAGCGGAGTGATGACTGGGCTACTATTGGGCGAGACAAGGAATGCAGGGAGCCCGAAGGAAGACGGATTCTGTGATTGACCCAGCCTATACGGGCAAACGGTGGGACGAGGTGCAGTAGTTTGGGCCTCAGAACAAGCCGAGGTGGGCGAAGGATGAAATGGATAGGGGGGAGGAGTAGGTGGAGGCAGCAAAGATGTAGTGAAGATATGGATTCCCCCTATGGAACCCTTAGGCACAGCCCTCTCTTTCGGTCAATAGAGCCCAAGCATTCAAGTTTCTTCGTAGCCGAGTTCCTCGACCTCTGGATCGCCCGGTGCTCGACCTGTCTGTAGAATATACTTGGGCCAGTAGTAAAGAGCTCCGTGGGTGTTGATACACTGTCGTCTACACGTATTATACATCGGTCCGTCCGTCCGTCCGTCGGTCGCAGCGGGATCCGCTGCCCGCGAGGCAGAGCCGGCACTCAGGGGGCTTTGGTGCGCAGTTGGACGCCGTGCCACTCCTTCATCATGTCGCCCAGCACGGCGTTGACCATGCGCTGCTGCTTCAGCATGTTTGCGCCCTTGAACTTGGCCGATGTGATGTCGATGGCGTACATGGAGCCGCACCCGCCCGACACGTCCTGCACGATCAGCTCCGAGGGCGCGAACTCGGCAACCAGTTTGTCCCATATCGTCGACTCGGCGGCGTCGAGGTGGTCGGGCTTCTCGAGGGCTGGCGAGGTAGGCGTCGTCTCCGAGGAGTAGCACCTTCTCAGGATCTTCTGGATGTTCTGGGGCGGTGATGGGGCTGTGAGGGCATGGTGCGAGAGAGTTGATCGGGTCGTGAGAACAACTCGAGAGGAGTAGTCTCTTGTCGCGAACGGGAGGCTTGTGACGGAACCTCTGGCGACGATGCTGCTGGTCGAGTAGGTTTTGGAGACGGCCACCACGCGGCGACACGACCTGCAGAGCATCTTGAAGGGTGTGAGAGGTGGGATCGTGATTTCGGTCTAGGTAGTTTACAGGAGCTGTCCTGTCTCGTCTCGATCTACTGGGTATCGCGTCTGTTGGTCGTCGCCGTCGATGACCAATTGCCCGCCAAAGAGAAAGTAATTGAGTGATTAGGTAATTGTGAAGCTTTACCTCCATATGGGTTTTTTCTTTCTTTTTCTACTTATGTAAGCTCGGCTCAATTTGCAGCGACGGCCGAAAAGACCGCCAAGGTTTAGCCGGACCGCCCGCTTGCTTACTTCACTCACTGTGCGCTGCATCGTGCACGGTGTCTCACTCAAGCAGGATGTAATGACCCAAGTCATAATTGTGTGAGTCTCATCGTGAGAACTGGCAGTGTTGAATCAACAAACGCAATCAAACACATCGTACACACAAAGATATAGACATTTAAATGAATACAAACACAAAGGAGAGCACAGACACACATAGAAACAGACACGCCCAAACATCCTAGGCGCGTCTGCAAACAACTGACCCTATGAGCTGGTATCCCATCACAAGTTGGTATTTCAGTTCATCGCAGTCTGCCGCTACACATTCACTCGAAAGTAGGCTAACACACATTTGCAGTCTTACTCCGAGCCCAGGGGCTTCATGCAAGGGCTCGTCCTTGCCATCACGACACGACCTCGTCCCGCTCGGCTCCCAGGCTTCATATGCATGGGGGCCGCCAATACAGGCCACTCCAGACGCCGGGAAAATATCAACTGCATCTCATGTTATGCTGGCCTAACTATCCTCAGCTAGATTCATTACCCGGGACTCAACCCAGTTCGAGACTGCCATCCTCCCTCCTCCCCTCCTCCCCCCCTGTACACCCCCCCGCATTCTTCTCCAATGAGTTACTCCAGACGGTAAAGGCTGGGGTGCTGGCACCAGGGCGCTGAACGCGAAGAACCTCGTTTTGCGGTGTTGCTAATTTCCTCCAATCAAAGATCCGTCCGGCAAACTTCTTGGTTCGTGGTATGGCGATTGAGCGCATCAAGCAAGCCAAGGTGCCTGCGGTGCCTGCGGTGCCACTTCGCTGGAGAGGGCGTATAAAATGCTCTACATGAAGAGTAGGGACGGACCGCTTTGATCGGCGAGGCAGCTCACTTCTGCCTCTTCCTCCTTCACCGTCTCATGGCTCGCTTGTGTTATTTGCTTGCGGCGGCCTCGGCCTGTCTCGGGGCAGCCGCAGCTCGGGAACCTACAGCCCAGGTAACCAACGGCACGTACCGGGGCCGTCATCTGTCGGAATGGGATCAAGATGTGTTCCTCGGCGTCCCCTTTGCGCAGCCTCCGGTTGGTCAGTTGAGATATCGTTGGCCCCAGAGTCTCAACTCTTCCTTTGACGGAGTGCGAGACGCCACCCAGCAAGGATACAGCTGTATGCAGTTCAGAGGCGACTTCAACATGTCGGAGGATTGCTTGACACTCAACGTCGTCCGGCCGGCTGGGGAGCACAAGAAACCGCTTCCGGTTCTGGTTTGGATCTTCGGCGGCGGCCTGTATACCGGCTCCATTGTAAGATACCGAACCCTCTCCCTGCTCGAGGCCCATCTGTCACTAAGACCTCGGCGTCTGTCAAGGCCGACCCGCAGTACAACCTCTCGGGCGTCGTCAAAGTCAGCCAAGATATGGGCCAGCCCATCATTGGCGTGGCCATGAACTACCGCCTCAACATGTACGGCTTCCTGCAGACACCGCAGATCCTCGCCGAAGGGTCGAGTAACGCCGGCCTGCTCGATCAGAGGCTGGCGCTCCGATGGATCCAGGAGAACATTGCGGCGTTCGGCGGCGACCCGGCGCGCGTGACGATCTGGGGCGAGAGCGCTGGCGCGCAGAGCATCGCCTACCACCTCTTCAGCTACGACGGCCGCGACGACGGCCTCTACCGCGCCGCCATCCTCGAGAGCGGCGGGCCGACCGGGGCCCAGGTCCAGAGCCTGGCGTACTACAACGCGCCCGTCGAGAACCTGACGCGGTCCGTCGGCTGCTGGGCCGCCAAGGACCAGCTGGCCTGCCTCCGCGGCCTCAGCCAGGCAGACCTCTTTGCAGGAAACCCGAGCCAGGTGTGGAACCCGATGGTGGACGGGGACTTCCTGACGGCCTACCCGAGCCAGCTGATGCGCAGTGGCAAGTTCGTCAAGGTGCCGCTCCTCACCGGCGCCAACGACGACGAGGGCGTCAACTTCAACCCCAACAGCCCCAAGCCGAACACGGCGGTGGACCTCTTCAACGGTTTCGCATACTGGCGCTCCTACGCGCTCTCGCCACCGACGGTCCGCCGGCTCCTGGAGCTGTACCCCGACGACCCCTGCACCCAGCCGCCGCTCTCCGTCACGGACTGCTCCGTGTATCCCGAGTACGGCCTGCAGTGGAGGCGGGGCGCCGCCATCGGCGGCGACCTGGTCATGGTCTCGGGCCGGCGCAAGATGTGCGAGCTCTACGCCAGGCCGACCGGGGCCGACGCCCGGCCCGTCTACAGCTACCGGTTCGACCAGCTGCTGTGGAACCGGACGCGGCTCGAGGGCGTGCGGCACTTTGACAACGTCGCCTTCAGCTTCCAGAACATCTCGGGCCTGCTGGGGCCGTCCCCGCAGTTCGACAGCCACGCGCGCCTCGCCGAGGCCATCGGGCAGGCCTACGTCCGATTCGTCCACGAGCAGGACCCCAACCCGCGGGGGGGCGGCAACGCCACGCACACCAACGCCACCGGGCTGCTGCCGTTCTGGCCGAGGTACGACGTGAGCGCCCCGAAGAACATGGTCCTGAACGCCTCCGGGAGCTTCGTCGAGGACGACACCTGGCGGAAGGAGGGCATAGACTTCATCAACAGCTACGAGGTGGCGAGGGAGCTCCTTGCATGATGGGCCGGGCCGGGCCGGGTGGCATTGAGTGTTCCGGAATCCCCGGCAAGGGCGGAACCACACACCAAGATACGTAACCAAGGCGGTCTCCCCCCCGTAGGGCGGAACCATGCGTAGTTGAAAGAAGGTGTGTGTCAACTGTACGGATAAGAGGCGTCTTAATCAGCCAGGTTTTACGCATGGCATTCTCCCAATCCTGCCCGCCATGCTCCGGTGGAGCCTATACCGACCCCGTGAGTTCGCCCATTCGGCCAAGATGACAGGGCAGACAAGTTCCTCCGTACCTGTGATGCAACGCGGCAACCATCACACCACACCGCCGCTGCCCAGCCGGCCATCGACGCCGGCCCCTTTCCCGAAGTGCGCTATCACGGTGGCATCCGCCCATCTGTAAGGTACGGCCCCCTAGTTTTCTCTCAGGGGACTCCGGGGAGCTGGGTCGGCCAGCTATATGGAGACCATTGGCATGCGTCCGATGGCGTGTTGTACCATCATTAGTCCCGGAATTGGCACCTTGGCATGACCGGGATTCGTGGGCTCGATGGCTATGTGCTTTTCGTGTACGAGCAAACGACGCCGTAAAGTCTTCGGCGTCGTCGTCGTCGTCGTCGAGTCTCGTGTGAGGCTAGGCTTGTCGTTCTCGTTGGGCACGAGCGCGAGAAGCAAACATGTGGCTTCATGACACGAGGCGCACGGCGTCTTGGCCATCAAACCTGGTGCCCCGGCTTCAATCAGACGTACACGAGTCGGTAGGTTCATCTCAGACGTGGATCCTGTAATCTGTGACAAACGACTAGTGTAACGCGTCAGACGAGCGCCTCTTATTCAGAAACGCAAACTGCGCGAAGGCACAGTGATGGTGGTGTCGCTTGCATGCGCAACACGGATGATGCTTTTCAGAAGTCGGAGTGTGTCGTTGGACAGAGTTTCGCCCCATTTCGAGTTCGGGCAGGTTTGCCTTTCGTGGCCCGGGAGGACCTCGTAATTGCGGAACCGGCCGCACCAGAAACAAGAAACATTCTCTGCAATATATTATACTTTGTTTCCGTCGGAGATTCTGCCGTCGTTTAATTAAGAAAGGGGTTCGGGGCCACATTGTCTGGACAAGCAAGGGTCAGTTGGTCTGAATCATTCATACTACGTAGTTTAATCTGCACGGCTTTGGTTATCGTGCTTTTCCGTATGCTAAGCGTATTCTGGGGGGCTATAGCCTTTCCTTCCGAGCCTCTAGAACCAGACGAGCGCCTGCATCTATCTCATGTGTCTTGTTCTCATCCCCAGCTCAACGCAGTCTCGGTCGAACTGCGAATGGGTTTTCCGTAGGTGGGACGTGAGACAGGAGAGTCAGTACATCCGTCCTCCAGGAAGAAATACAACTTCCCCAGCCGGTATAGCCCAGGCACCACCGAGCTTCCCAGGTTGTCGTAGCACCCAGCAAGGCCGCGAATCCCCTTGCGTACAGACAGATACACATCATAACAAAGTACGGCTAAGCCCCCGTTTTAAATCCGATAACAGGGAAGGGAGGGCCAATCCCAATGCTGACAGAGTCGTTGGGCGATGATGGCCCGGGCGTATCAGTACGAGTGCCCCGTAATGTTCCTGGTTGTTCCCAGGGGGCGCAGACCGATCAAAGTTCGGTCAGAAACGATAACCCAGACGTGTACTCCGTACATACTGTGGTAGTCGACCTCGAGGAGCGAACCTTGTTCCTCGTCTTTCTCGTACGTAACGATAAGACCCAAAGACAACGCCTGCTGCACTCGATCGTGTCGAGCCGGAAACCCGAACGACTTCGGCACCGAGCGAGATCCAGCGTTGCTTGGCATCAACGTTGGCATCCCATACACTCTTCTGCGCTCCGTTCTAGGACCAGGGGTGGCCACTGAGTTATCTACTTTTCAGCACTTGAATCGGATGAGGGGGGGGGGGGGGGGAGACTCGTGCAACATGGGACGACAGGTAAACCAAACTCAACCCACATCTATGCCTGTCTTCTATAGCTTATCTTCCATAGTAGTAGTTACTCAAAGTAGTACTAGGTATCCGTAAAACATTAAGTCTCTGTGCTAAGCCCCCATCGGTTCTCCGTCGCTTTTGACCTTCGGCCCCTTGTCCTCGCTTGAGTTGAGTGGAGAGAACATGACACGGATGGACAGGACCAGGACCGTCTGGAGGGGATCAGCAGCTAGCAAAAGGCCCTCGCTGTTTGCACATCTCCTGCCCAAAGTGAATGGCTTCGGCCGGCATGCCGACTTGCCTCCGGTCCACGATTTGCTAATGAGCGGTTTATTGGCACTCGGCACCACCCACCCACTCGAGAGTTAACCAGTTTACCCGGCCGCCCCCCCCTCCCCCGCGTAGATATTGGCCTGGTTACTCCGTACTTGAGTGAGATTCCATCCATCGTCAAGCTTCGCGCTCCACTGCACACGACCTGCGATCCAAGAACGGCTGGCTGTAGCGTTACTGCGTAGGGTTGCCTCGGCCTACCGAGTGCCGCCGTTAAACTAACCAGCAAGCAACACCGCTCCCCACGGGTTCGGAGACACGGACAGGGCACCGAAAGTCGTACCAAGGAAGAACCTGTAAGGCGCAAAACGCACGTCTAGAAGGCCGATCGTAATGTTCTTCTTGGCACATAATGAGCCGATGCTACATAGTCAGAAACCCCTTGTCCAGCAGCAGTCTGCCGACCCGGGCGCCCGCCCCGTGGCGACGTCGCGCATTCTGCCGATGCGCATCCCCCAAATGAAGGCGTCAGCGATAGAACACGGCCGTCCAATGTCCTTTTGCCGTCTGCAACTACAGGCCCCCGGCTGTGCCACCGGATGTGAGCCTCCCCCCTCCCCTCTCCTTCGTCCGCCTCCAGCGACCCCGCCTACAGAGACATCTA